GTAAGGATGGCGAATCGACTGTTTATTTATTTAAACACATATATATTGATACAAAAGGGCACCAGATACATATGCGCCACACAAACTAATGAAAGTAGGAAGAGAAGGGATGAAAAGATAAGGCGGACTGAAATGTACAACCAGAAGACTCTTTCAGTTAAGAAAGTTAGAACCACTCTTTATGTAGAAAGTAAAAGAAGGTTGCAGCAGGCTCGCCACTGGCTTCTATTCTGAGCCATATCTGATAACGTCTCTTGCCACTGTGTTGCACCATCTCTCGGACCCCAACCAGGGAGTCGTGAAGGACCAACAGAAGCTAGCCCTTTGCAGCTTTCTTTCGTGCCACGACACCATGTCATACACTGACCTCCTCTCCGCTTTTTCCAACCAGTCCCAGAGTCGGAAAATAATGCACGACGTGGAATTCTCTGGGACGACATTCGTAAAACATGTCCAAGCCACCGAAGTCGGTGTTTCAAGATGGTGACACCAATTGAATTATCGTCTCTGCGCCCGAACACACGATGCCGAACCTCTGCATTACTAACATGGTGTTGCCACTGAATGTCAGCAATCCTTCGGAGACAACGATGATCGAACACAGAGAGTCGTCTAACATCCTCAACTCGGAGAGGCCAGGTTTCACAAGCATAGAGCAAAACTGCTCTCACCGACGTGTTGTAGATCCGACCTTTTACAGCCAGACTAACATCACGAAAGCGCCAAAGATGGCCCAGATTGGCATAAACCGCTCTGGCTTTCATTATGCGTGCATCAATCTCATCGCTCACGCTTCAGTATTCGTAATCGGTGGAAACATTCACTTTCAACCAGACAGTGACTGGAGATCGTTTAGATAGGACAGAGTTTCCACCATGGACGAGCTACTGTGTAAGTTGGAAAGGAAGGATATACAATTTGGGAATAAAGGGAGTGAAAAAGCGACGTAGTAAATAATAATAATAATAATAATAATAATAATAATAATAATAATGGTAATAATAATAATGGCGTAAATTGTCTTGCTTCTAATATGAGCGAGAATAGTATCGTCAATAGAATTCATCGTTTCATTTATTTGTGCGAGGGCTGTGATACTGTCCAGGTGCCCAGACTGAAGCAGGTGGTTTTTTTAGGGGGCCACACCCAGAGCCTTTGACCTAAAGGTCTGATCCACAAGGCAGTGGAGCATCGTAAGGAGATGCAGTCCCATGGTAGCCGGTGACCAACAATAGGTTCATTCGCCATTCGTTCCATCAGGATGCTGGAGCCCATGTACACCATTGGTTTGGAATCAGGGTTTTCCAACTCCCCTAGGTGGACCCTCCGTGTCCACCAACCCGGTTAAAGCGCCGGACATTCACTTTTCGTCCTCTCACTTTCGTGAACAACACCCCCGCCACTAGAAGGCAGTGAGTAGGACTTCCCTGGCAGAGGCTATATATTCGCTGGCCATGTGAGAGCATTTCGAGAGGGAGAGTGGACTCTCCGCACTCTCGGCCGTACCAGGGCATTTGGGGGCTGATGAAGTAGTGTAATCAATTATCTTAAGGATAAATTATCTCATTTGATCAACTCTTTATGCGTTTATCAACTTATCTTTTCATGTGCAGCCAGGCATATAGGTGGCTTGATGCGTATTTTACCCGAAATAATTTGAGAACATTATCCGGCTTGGTTGAAAATAGGTGAAAATGGCTGAATAAGTTCAATAATCGAATGCCTTGTTAATGTAGGTCACTCAATCAAAGTGGATTCTGCCAAAGGCAGTTATATCCTATCTTAGTATTGCCAAAGTGCCCACCATACATCTGGAATAACAAGAATTATGTGTCCAAAAGAAACTCGTACCACCTCTTTTTCTACCATGGTCTTAATCACTCGTAATTTCCTTCCTACCTTTTTTCCTTCACAGCTATCTGCTTCCCTCTTATCCCCTTCATAGACCTTTTACCCTCGACCGATTTGTCTCTGTTTCTATGATCCTCCTAATTACAGTTCATTTCGATTTCAACTGTTTATCTTATTATACTGAGCAATCCTTTCCCAATTATAATTTCCCTCTCTATCTTCATAATGAATATTCGAGCTCTCAACAACAAAATTTTTATTAGTTTCTTTGATAGAAGATAACATTTTAATGCCTTTGTTTATTCTATTTCACTGTTACTGTGTTTAAAATTTTTTATTATTACTACTATTGTAATTGTAATCATTGAAAAATAAGTATACATTTGCAATCGTACAGCTTTAAAAATGAATTCGCCGAAAAGTGGATTCTTCACTGAACCAATATTTTGTATTTTATGTCTCTATGGGTATATTCCGTTTACTTAAAAAAGTAATATGAGGAAGAGTTCAGTTAAGAAAAATACAATCAGAAAGGATTTTCCCGGTTAAAGGAGTCTCTCCCACTTTCATGAAAGTAAAAGAAATACAGCATAACCTCCACCGACTTCCATTATGAACTGTCTGATAACGTCTCAAGTCAGTGTGTTGCTCTATCTCTAGGACTTCAACCAAAGAGTTGCGAACGATCGACATATTCCAGTCTTATGCAGGTTCCATACCACAACATCATTTCATAAATCTTTCACAATCGCACTACTATCTCAATAGTGCCTAGAATTTCTTAGGTGGACATGATTCGTCTTGACCTTTATTTTGCGTCGACTGATTTGTAGATCTGTTTTCGCATGTTATGATGTTCATATGTTTTTAGTTACTTTAAATTCCCTCATATCTTAGTTCGCTAGCTGTGGAGATAATGTCATTTAATCTATTAAATGCATTAGTTCCTTGCTGTGTACCAAAGGAACAGTATATTTTGTACCTTTACAACGTTGAGTGTAAAGCATATGGTTTGGTAGTTAAGTCGTTCGAGGTTTTCACGGTTGCTTAGTCTGTTGTTATGAACTATTTATTTGTTCCATCCAGACTAAAGTTCTACAACAGTGTATTATATCCACAGGTTGGTTTTTAGTTAAGTGCTATCGTTTTCGCTTTTCTGTGTGAATTTCCAGTACTAGGGAAATAATCTGATCGTTACGTTCGGGTCAGTTAGACTATTAGTTTTCGAGTTTTCGTTTTCATATAAATATAGTGAAGACATACTTTTGTTAATAATTATCAATACAGGTCGTAAGTTGGACCAATTAACTAAACTGGTTCGAAAATATGTCTTATCGTGATGTTGATTGTAGCTTACCGTACCTACAATGTATTGGATCTAGTATCACAGCTTGAAACCGTCACACATCGATATACTGTTTTACCAGCATAAACATCAAATATCTCAGATTCAGTGTGTATTAAGTGTCATTAGTACTTTTATGATAGAACAAGTAATTAGTGTAGGAAGAATGATGAAAGGGATTTTTTTGCGACCCTAAAATCTGCCTGTTAGCGGCTCCCATGTGTCATGCACTAAAGATGATATTTTCTTTCTTTATTTATTTAAACACGTAAACATCGGTACAAGGAGACACCAAATACATATGCGCCACATAAATCATTCGATTATATGAGGGTTGGGATACTGCTCGGGTGTCCAGACTGAAGCAGGTGGTTTTCTTAGGCCACACTCGGAGCCTTTGACCTAAAGGTTTGGTCCGCAAGGCAGTGGAGCAACGTCAGGAGATGCAGTTCCATGGTAGCCGGTCACCAATAATTGGTTCATACGCTATTTTTTCTCAGGATATTGGAGCCCATGTGCATATTTTCTTAGTCCTTGGAAAAAAATCAATTAAGAATACTGTAATTATTGACTGAACTTAATCTTACACATTTTTAAAAGATTCACAGTGGTGTGTGCTGGCTGTTGTATTGCCGAACATCGTAAGTCAGCAACTACCTGTGATGCATTAAAGGCGGTAGAAAAACCGTAACTATACTCTAAAGTAAATTACTCCAAGTTATGTTTTTTGAATCTTGTTTGTTCTTACTACACTTTTAGATCTAATGTTTCCTAATGTACGTGAACAAAACACAAGATTTTTAGTAATACTAAAATATTGAGGTCTCCATTCTCAGTATAATATCTCAAAATTAATTATTCGGGTTGTCACCCCGAACCTATAATACTAAGTGTGCCTTTTACTCGACTTTCCAAAAGAGTATAGGATCAACCGTTTGAACTCGCATAGTGTATAAGTCACTTATTTACTCCTATCACCCCTCATAGAGCACAGGCCATCAATCAACAACGTCCTGCCTATTTCTTACCTAGGTCTCCAATCCAATTGTTGCCGAGTTTTATTTATTGTTTTGATGTCTACCTCTGGTGCAATGTATTCTTTGGTCTACTTCTCTTCCTTTTGCCATGAGGATTTCAAGTCAGGGTTTGCTTTGTGATCCAGCATCCTCTCTAACCTAAAGCTGGTTTTTCCCCTGCCATAGTAGGTTGTTGCTAACAGTGTTTGGCCAACAGATCTGGAGTACCTCGGTTAAAAACTTTATCAATAGCCGTATCACTTTGATGGTGTTTGTGGTAGTATTAGCTCTGTGCAGTAGGACTGTCTTGACGTTTGTATTTATTGGTATACAAACTTTGTATCTCTTATTTTGTCCACCTAATAAAGATCGACAGTATTTCTATTATTGTTTACTGTTTATTCTATGTAGATCATTAGAAAATACTCATAACTTTATAAATAGTACTAATTATGTGTTTCGTCGATTGAATATTGCTCCGTCTGGATCCCTTCTGAAGGTTGCTTCCGGTTGGAACCCTGGATAAATGAGGAGGGTTGGGTGTGAGGTTAGCAATCCCATTCCGTAGAAAGAAACTTAGTTAGGAAAAATACGCTGATCAGAATAAATCACTTAAATCTAGATTTGTTTCGTATAACCAATTTTAGATAATTCTTAACTTATCGCAACTTTCACTCTTCTTTCATTTCAGATCAACTATCATTGTACTGATCAAGTTACTACTTTCGACTTTTCTATTATCTTCATTAAAAAAAACATTAAAACATCAATTTTCTACTTAAAATAAAATGAGTAGACTTAAATTTGGACTACTTGCGCATCGATTATTATCGTCCACATACACTGTTGATCGTACTCTTCAAATTCCAACTCATTTATTTGTAAATAAGATTAATGTTTTCTCGACACAAATAAAACGATTTGCCGGTCATGCTCATTGGCAAAATGTGAAACATATAAAAGAAGCTGGTGATCGTGAAAAAGCTCAAAATGCACTGCACTACGTTAAGGCTGTACAGAGAGCAATTAGAGGTAAAGTTAAAAATCAGTCTTATTCGATAATAATTGTAGAAGGCGGAGGAATTCGTGATCCAAAGAAAAACTCGAAATTAGCTGCAGTTTTAGCTGAAGCTAAATCAAAAGCTGTCCCCTTTTCTACTTTGGAAAAACAATTAAATACGGATAATGAAATTGAACCGTATATAATTGAAATAAAAGCTCCAGGTGGATTATTTGTGATTGTAGAAAGTCGAGCTAAACACGTTGCCTCTGAGCGTCAACGTGTCTGTTCTATCGTAAAAAAATATGGGTAATTTATTTATTCACTCTAATTTCATTTAAGTTTCTCTCTTGTTCTTTCTGGCGATATGGCTAACAAGTTCTTCGATCATATTGGTTTAGTCACTGTCTCTGCTAAATCTAGTAAGCATTTATCAGATTTAGATGCAGCAACTAATTTGGGCATTGAAATCGGAGCAAAAGAAGTTGAATTAAGTTCTAGTGAAGATCAAACTTATCATGTAAGTGATCCAAACGTTTTTAGTTTTGCATGATACCATTTGGAAAGTTTGTAGTGCCGCGATTTGTTAATCGTTTAGTTCGATAACCGTTATAATTCTAATCTTAACGGCGCGTAAAATCAAAAGACAAAGGATAGCAGCAACTACAGTTTACTGTCGAATAACTCAGGTTAGAAAGTTAACAACACCTAAGCGAATATGAACGAGCGAGTGAGCGGCAAGCGAGAGAGCGAGGCGAAAGATGATGCGTATTGGAGATTGGCGGGGAAGCCAACTCGAGAGCGAAGCGAAGATAATGCGTATTGGAGATGGCTGGGAAACCAACTCCATTTAAGCAAGCGTTAATCAACATTTATAGTCGGACAAAAATGAGTGACAGACATACGATGAATAAGATACGAAGTGTACACATATATGCTCATATAAAAGTATAGTCAAGGTTAATAAGCAAATGATTAACAAGATCAAAATATGACTCATAATGGATAGGCGAATTGGCTTGGCCAGCAATTAGAATAAAGTATATGGGCTTAACATATAAACTGATACTCCAAGTTAAATACCTTTTTTGACGTTCTTTTTCATGAAATATACCAAACTCTACTCATTTTAGGTGACTATATAGTCGCGCATATTCCTGTGAAGTATGGTTTCCTGTTATGTTTTATTATTTATCTCGGCAACAAGATGTCCGTTACTCTAAATCACATTAAATTACTAAGTCGTTTTTCCTCCTTCTGTAGTGTATTTTATTCATCCTATACCAATACCTCATTTCCAATATTTATAATTCAGATTATATAAATATTGGTACAAAGGGGAACTAAATAAATATGCGACACACAAGTCCCTTGATTTGTGTGAGGGCTGTAATACTGCCCGGGTGCCACACCGATGCAGGCGGTTTTCTTAGAGAGCGTCACCTCGAGTCTTTGACCTAAAGATCTGATTCACAAGGCAGTGGAGCATCGTGAGGAGATGCAGTCCCATGGTAGCCGGTCACCAACGATTGATTCATATGCCCTTTGTTCCCTCAGGATACTGGAGCCCATGTGCACCATTGGTTTGGAATCAGGGTTTTCCAACTTCCCCAGGTGGGTCCTCCATATCCACCAACCCGGTTAAAGCGCCGGACATTCACTTTTCGTCCTCTTACTTTCGTGAACAACACCCCCGCCACTAGAAGGCAATGAGTAGAACTTCCCTGGCAAAGGCTGTATACGTGTGGCCGTGTGAGAGCGGACTCTCTCCACTCTCGGCCGTACCAGAGCATTTGGGGGCCCTCATTTGTTTATTATTTATCAAACTTGTTTTCATTTTGTGTGTGTGCATTTTCTTCTCTTTTCTTTTTTTCATCAACTAATTTTAGTTTCATTGTGAAGTACATGAAATTGATAGTTTACGTCAATCCCTTGAAAATACATATCAAATTCCAGTAATCAATACCCAAGATATTTATTATGCTAAAACCCTTGTTCCTATTCATCCAGAAGTACGTCAAACATTAAATGAAATGTATGAAAAAATTAAAACACTTGAATATGTTAATAGAATATTTGATAATGCAATCATTAATAATAAAACATAAATATTATTCGGATTCATGATTTCCCGCCCCCCCCCAGCTCTACATTAACCCCTCCCCTTCTATAACTTAATCCAATATAATTTCATATGTACAACATTTTGATACAAGCCGGATACTTCGTATATATTCATTCGTACAACTTTTTGTACTCTATATCTATTTCCTAATTATATTTTGAAGATCAATTTCAGTTGAAAAAAAAGTCTATTAGATTTTCTTTTTTTCTGTCATTTCAAAGGAAATATCTTTCTTTTCTTTGTACATTGATGTCATTCATAATGAACATGGAACCAAATAAGATCAATTAAATATCACTCAATATATCTTAGTATATTAGTTAGCATATTTAACAGTGTATAACAAATACAAGATTATCGTACGGTAAATTAACTTGCTTGAATTATTAAGTACTATGATGCTCCTTGAGTTAGAGATTAAATTGAAACTGTCAACCTCTGAATTTTTTTGTCGTAATATCTTAAATTCATTTGGTGCTTGTTTTACATAAAAGTCAAATTTACAACCAGCAATTTCAAATTTCCATAGATTGATTAGTAGATGTCAGTTCGTTTAGTTGAAAATAAGGTAAAGTACTCTGTGATTGATTCACATTGAACAATATTTGTTCCGTTGAATAGTATTCTAAAAAATTAAAACACTTTTTTAAATATCAGAAGGGGTTTTGTGGAAATTTCAGTATTTTTTTATTGTTGAAATCATGAGTCAATTGAAGCTAGACTACCATGGAAAACCTGGACGGCCGTTTCGTCCAGCAGTGCGCATCCACAATCCCGCCTCGCGAGATTCGAAATCAGGACCTACCAGTCTCGCGCCAGAGCACTTGACTGATAGACCGTTGAGACGGCATCCAACGGTTTTAATGACCAGTGGAGTTCAACCGCGTCTGTTGTAGAGATATCAACTCACTAAAGACAACTGGTGAACGGTTGATTAGATTTTTTAAATATGTTTATAGATACCGCCTCTGTTAGTGAGAACCCATGAAAAAACCTAGGTAGACATTAAACAGCTGGACCATTAATAATTCTTTACTGTAAAAGATTAGATAGCGGAAGCCTCTTATATTTCTTTAGTATAGTTTTAGGGATCGATATTCAAAGATGCTGAAAAATAAGCCTAATAGTGGTCTGTCGTTATATAGGCATTTATTTATTTGAATACATAAATATTGGTACAAAGGGGCACCAAACAAATATGCGCCACACTACAGACACTCATTACATACTTATGAGACATTCATTCTGTATTAGTTGATCCCTGAATACTACCAATGTGAGGTTATCTAGTCCTTAGTGCTATTTAAATTCAAGCAAATCAATTGTAATGTAGACCAAATATATTAACGGTAACGCAGATTCATATGTTTCTGTAATATCAGTTCTCTAAAGATTGAATAATCAAAATATGTGTAATTCAGTGGCCCGTTTAAAGCAAGTAAGCCAATCAACCGCTGGACATGAGACTTGAAAATGATATCGTCGAAAAGTAAATTACATCCCCGGAATTATCTTTACAATTCCAAAATCAAAATTAGATGGAATACTTTTGAACTTAATTAGTCTGATTTATAAGAAGACAAATATGCGTCTCCTGCATACAAATTGACTTAGTCTTAATATTCTAGTATTTATAATCACGATCAGTTGAAAGTAGGGTCTAACACCTGACTGGTATTTTGAAGAACGTAACCGACTTTAAGCGCCAGCTAATCATTATTCTCAATCAAAACAGAGGCACTCGAATTCAATTATACATAACTTTGGACAATATTTACCGATTATGATGAATCCACTTCGTTTTCTACTATTCTTTTTACTCGTTTGTAACCATCGTATGGAATAGAATTATTGCGACGCGCAATTATAGTTTTTGGTCACTGCCACTGATTTCATACAAAAGCGAATTTCCTTTTTTTCAACATATTTCATATGTTAAAGAGTAAGAACCGCCAACAGATAGACATTGGCTCTAACATACGATCTGGAATGGGAACTGAACGTAATGCCATGTAACTGATTCCGACCCTTGATCATCCCAGTCTATAAGAGAAGGCGGATCCAACAAAACCAAATTCCTAACAGTTCATTCATCTTTTTTTCATGATCACTGATACTTTGCATGTTTAATCACTGTACTGATGTGATATAATAACCTGGGCTAATGCGTGTTTGTGTTAGACTCTATATTGGTTATAACTGACATGAGTATATTAACATTATACGTTATGTAACTATTACTAAAGCACATGTGTTTAGTGATTTATTCCAGTATTCAAAGACATCATATGTTGTCTAAAAATATGGAATCACCGAGTGATCTCTTGTAGTACCACTTTTAGTAAACTGTTCTATGCTTAGCCTAGGGAACAACGGCGTGGATTCGGTTATTTATTTTTCTCCTAGGCATCAGGTACGTGCTCAAGAAGTGTAACCTAGGTCATATACTATAAATATTCACTAGTTAATCATTATAGGCATGATACAATGTTCATTTTTCCTATAATTTACAGTACTCAGTTAAAATTGAGACAGTTTTTATTCACGGATGTCATTAAATGTATATCGTACGATATTACGGATGAAACAAAGTTGGAAGAATCAACTAGTTGACTCAAATCCATTGGTTTAAAACGACATATTATCTAAAGGTTTTGATCCTGATAACCAGATTCCTAGGATGAAATATCGATATCCAGTGCATCCTGGTTTTTGATTCGTTCAACTAGTGGGACAGAAAAGAGTAGGTTGGTTTAAAATACACTTACTTTCTCAATTAGATTAAGATGAACTGATGACAATCTGAAAAACCTCGTATATACATTATTCACAGGATATCAGTCAGTCAGTCACAACGTAGAACTTCGTACGTACGTACATCAGTTCGAGTTGCCATACCACATTAGCACAGAGATGCAGTTGTCGATTCTAATCCCATAGTGGTAGAAGTAGTAGGAGTATAATCAGAAATCCAAAAGATTAGGGTTTGAAGAAATTATTGAAGGAGTATAGTACAGTGAAATAAATTTGGAAAGAGAAAAAGATAAAGACATGAGGAATTCAGAAGATTAGAATTTGGTAGAACACAAAGAGTGGATGCATCTTCGCCATTGCAAACGATTTTGAGCCATATCATTCAAGGTCTCTAACCATCGGTTGCTGTCATCTCGCGAATCCCAACCAGGTAGTCTACACCTACCAACATGGCCCAGTCCACTTGTCAGTGACTTCATTGATTTGTGCCACGTTTTGGTCTGGCTGCCCCTAGCTTTCTTCCAACCTACTCCTACACCATGAAACATTGCACGTCGGGGCAGTCGGTGGTCGGGCATAAGTAACACATGTCCCAGCCATCTCAACTGACGAAGTTTCACTACTTCATCAATCGATTTGCCATCCCTACCTAGTACTCGTTTCCTAACAACTGCATTACTTACCCGGTGGTCCCAGGATATACGAGCAATGCTTCGAAGACACCTATGATCGAACACTAGTAGCCTACGAATATCCTCTACTCTTATTGGCCATGTTTCACTGCCGTAAAGAAGGACGGAGCGAACTGCTGCACAGTAAACCCGTCCTTTGGTTGCTAGACGGATATCTCGCCTACGCCATAAATGACGCAAGTTGGCGAAAGCTAGACGAGCCTTCTGTATCCGTGCTGAGATTTCGTCACATACCAGACCACAAGGGCTGATAAGACTCCCAAGATAAGTGAAGTGGTCTACACGCTCAACTACTTCACTCCCTATCATTAGTTCAGGTGTCGCTGCAACCCAATCCTGAAGTAACATTTTGCACTTCGAGGGAGAGAATCGCATCCCGAACATGCCTGCATTGTTGCTTATAGTGGTCAGAAGACTCTGCATGTTGTCAGCGTCTTCACCGAGTAAAACTATGTCGTCGGCGTATTCTAAGTCAACAAGTGAGCCTCCTGGTAAAAGTTCAACTCCTGGAGGTTTAGCTGATGAAAGTGCTATCTCTAAAAGTATGTCAATGACAAAGTTAAACAAGAATGGGGAGAGTGGACAGCCCTGACGAACGCCACCTGTGGTAATCAGTTCTGATGACAGTTCGCCATAGGCTCTCACTTGACCAGTTGTGTTCGAGTAGAGAGCCTTTATGAGGTTAATGTACTTCTTTGGTACTCCTTTCACTGACAAACACTGCCATAGAACCTCACGATCAACGGAGTCAAATGCCGCCTTAAGGTCAAGAAATACTACTATTGTGGGACGTCTGAATTTGTGTCTATGTTCTAGGACCTGACGTAGGGTGAATATCTGGTCTATGCAACCACGTCCTGGTCGAAAACCAGCCTGGTTTTCTCTAGTCTGCTCTTCACGAGCTTTGGTTAGGCGACCTAGTATTATTGAAGCTAATATTTTAAACACTATATTAGTCAAACTGATCCCTCTGTGATTGTCACAAGAGGACTTTTGTCCTTTCTTATAGACTGGCACAATCAGTGATTGGGACCAGTCAGATGGAATTACGTCCAGTTCCCAGATTCTACCTAAGACCTCAGTCAATCTCACTGCTAGTACTGGACCACCATCCTTAAAAATCTCAGGGGTCAACCTGTCAGGGCCTGCTGCTCTCCCTCGCTTCAGATTTCCTATAGCTTTTTCAACCTCACAGAGGGTTGGAGGACTTACATCAATTTGCCATTCAGGATGACTGGGGATCGTGGGTAATTGAAGTGTGGCTGAAGGCCAATTGAACTGATCCCTAAAGTGTTCTGCCCATCGATCCAATCTCCTGGATTGAGAATGAATAATATGCCCATCTTTATCTGAGATGGTTTCACTGATATTCGGGTTCCTAATACCGGTTTCTTTAACGAGTCTGAATAGCTGCCTACTGTTACCTATTGCCGCTGCCTTTTCCATCTCTCTTGCTTTCGCTACCCACCACTGTTCACGATCATTACGTAGGCTTCTTATTAGCCTACGCTTAAGTTGACTCCGCTCTTCGTTATGCTCAGAGCCAGGTGGGATGAGTTTACGAGCATCTATCAGTGCGGTAGATGCGGCCGAGATCCATTGTTCCTCCCTAACGTTATGGTTTACCTTACTAGCTGATATCACTGCTGCTTCTACAGCTTTTCGGATGTCATTCCACGCTGCCTCGGGGTGGACACAACTTACATGGCTGCCTAACTGTTTTTCTAGTTGTTCCTGAAATATATTCTTAGCTTGCCTATCATTAAGTAGAACCCTTAGAGGCTTCCCTGCAGTGTCTTTCCTACGACCAGTAAGACGCAGACAGATACGTGCTCGCACTAGAGCATGATCTGAATCTAAGCATGTGCCCCAGAATGAGCGACAGTCTTCTATCGAGCCCCTCCATCGGTGGCTGATAGCGATGTGATCTAATTGGGTCCAACGTTGGGACGAATTCGGGGGTCGCCATGTCAAAAGATGTTTTTCCTTATGCTTAGAGTTAGTATTTGCAAGAAATAGGCGGTTATCTGAGCATAGCTGCAACAGACGGTCGCCATTATCTGTTCTTTTCGCCATGACACCACAAGATCCTCCCAGGTGTCTTTCCCTTTCACTTAGATTACCTACTTGAGCATTAAAGTCACCTGCTACCATTACTACATCAGAACGCCTAGCTTCTCGGAGAAGGTCAGAAAGTTTCCTGTAGAACTCATCTTTTATATCGTCTGAGCTGCAGTCAGTGGGAGAGTAGGCAGAGACGACGAAGAGGCAACGACGAGTTTCCCTATCTTTCCGGGTCCTTACTGATCCGTTTAGTCGGACAGCGCATAGACGACTGTCTACTGGGATCCAGTCTAAAAGAGCTAGTTCTGCCCTAGGACTTAATGCTATACCTACTCCAGCGAGGCCACGGGAAGCAGCATCGGGGCTTCCAGATACACGAAGCGTGTATCGAGATGAAACTTTATTTTGATTAGGTGCGGTCAAATGAATGACACTACTCGGATCTTGTATGCGCGTTTCGGAGATTCAGCATACATCGATGGTGTAAGATTCTAGAGTCCTAGCTAAGGAAGCCTGTTGTCCTATTTGGTACAATGTTCGGACATTAAAAGTTCCTACATGTAGTTTAGAGCGTGGTTTCAGGAGACCGGGAATAACGTTCTGTGTACTCGAATCGTTTGCACTAGCGGTGCGAGGTGATAAAAGGACGTGGGAAGGGTTAGTCGTGGAGATGACAGAGTTATTAAGTGTAGGAAGGATTTGAAAGCGACCAACTTGGTCTCATGTGCAGTTAAGTGTATGAGGGCTAGTATCACTTCCCGGCTGCCCACACAGTGGAAGGGTATTTCTTGAGGGACCTGAAAAAGAAGTTGGATTAGTGTTGGTCTTAACGACCTGGGAGCGTGACCGCAGTGCCCAAGGGACATCTGCTTGAGGCCGGTCACGCACGGCCTTTTTGTGGGGGATTTTTGACGTGTTAGCTACGTTCTTCAAAAGTCCTTACCGCCGGAGACGGAAATCCGTGGGATAAGGCGAGGTGTGCATTTTTAGGGTCGACCTTTTCTAACCCACTCCTCCTTGTGGGAAGGCAGCATCGCTGTCATGTTGGTTGTCTGAAGGAAACACCTTACTGCTTTCACACCTCTGTACAGTCAGCAGTACGACTTCGCATTCGGACCTTGGGTTTGCTGCTTTTAGTCTCACCGCTCTTCAACCGACCTGTCTGGCATGGTAGGACCTTGAGGAACGATTGTTCCAGCCAGCATAGCTCGATTGGATCATCACGATAGGCAAGCCCGACCACCACGTAAAGGTAGCAGCGACGGTCGGGATTCACAGGATATTATACAATATTAATAACGACTACGGATAACTCAATACATTTTATAGCTATTTCTAGGCGATTCGAATCTTATGTCCTCTCTGATACTATTACTAATACTTTTTCAGCATTTGTCTTGACAATTTCGTAGCGAGACTATAATTTATAGACAACCTTTGAGCGAATCTTAAGTGACCTTGAGAAATGTTAGCCTACCAGTGAACAGTCAACATAGAGCAAAAATATATTATACAAAACCAAATAATTAAAGTGGATACACTTCTTTTATATGGCCCAAAAACTTGTCAAGGTTAGAAAAAAGGTCCAAAGGTTCCAAAATCGTAATGCATAAGGTAGAAGTACTCATCCATATGGCTCCATAATAGTTGGTCTCTGGAGCTATGATAAGGTCATAAAAACCCTCTCAACCTCGACCACATAGCTTGTATGTACTCCGGCTGTGTAAGTTTATCATTTTTTTATGGATATGTCCTTACAATACTCATACCACTGCACAGCCGGAGTTTCAGTAACATCTGCGATTATTGTAGCCAATGTTACTGGTGCTTTTATTATACAGTTGGCGGCAATTATTATAATATGCCTTGATCTCAATCTGGATCGAGCCATAAAAATATATATTCTAGCAAACGTCTTCCTTCAACATATATTACATCGAAGGACAACATCACGGTAGTCTGCACAAGGTCTACAACAAGTCATTTAATACCCGCAATCACTAATACAGGAACTTCTTAGTAGTCTCATTTGTTGTAACGGCTTAATTGTCAAGTTTTCTCTATAATTCTCAGTGAACCGATCGTACATGAGCACCAGGTACTGAAATTAGCGCTGTGACCTTGAAATCCCTCAAACGCTTCTGATTGGCTTGTCCATAAATTATAGTCTCGCCGAATTTCGTCTCTCTGTACTGATATTGTGCGGTTATGGAATTAATGTACGCATACCTCATGCACTGCATTTGCTTATGATTGATATAATAACAATGAGAATACAATTATCTCTTTTCTATTGTATTTTTTTTGTTTAAAAATATACACAATCATCAATGTCATAATTGGTTAACATTAAGAATAGAATTAAAAGTTATGGTGTTTGGTAAATCACAGATTCTATTCATAGTTTCAATAATTATAAAAACTATGACCTATTTTTGAAATAGAATAGATTGAAATTAAATGCATGATTTAAAAAAAAAAGGGGGGGATAAATCAAAATGAGAAGGATGAATAAATGGAATACAGATTGCCTTGATAAGTAACATTAGAACAATGATCGGTGATGATGATGGTTGATTGGTTGGTTGAAATCGCAACATTGTGGATCCAACGGATCAAACTGTTCAAATTTCTTCTCCTTATTATTATCGTTATTACTGATTGTTGATGATTAAATAGTGCCTATTGGTTTATTGTAGGAATTATGACGAAGTTTGAGTAAAACCTGTATGTAAATAAACGCAATACGTAAACGTAAATAAGGCAGGTAATGGTGAAAAGGTATAAAATAAAAAAGTTAGACAAATAATACTACCCCGCCACACACACACTCCGGTTATACACGTATATATACATGAAAATAAAATGGTCTATGGTCCTCATAGGGTGTAAAGAAGATTTGTAGCCCAGTAATTGTAGATGGAATACAGAAAGTTGGATGGAACTCACCACTAGTACGTATCAGAACGCAAAATGCTGCGGTCTCAAGACTTTTATAAAAACGACTTCAGAAGGAACTACAGAAGTGCGAAATCGTTCAAATTGAAGCAGCTGTTAACTATTTCTTTCTGTTTAATAAACCATCAGTGAAAATTATTGATGTGGTGGTGAATTAGTGATAAGATCACGGTGAATCCACAGTTTATGGGCGACCTTTGAAGAACTCTTAAGTATCCACCTACTACTTACTAGGGCTAAATGAGGGTTATAAATTAGTGTGAGGGATTGGAATTAGGACCGAAGATTGGATGTTGGGATCAGGAATAACAGTTAGGATTCTGATCACGAACTGACACCAGCTATAATGCAAAGATGCTACTTAGTCTTATTGACGAATGGATTTCGAGCCAAAATCCAACAATTGCTATCTTAGATCTGACTGATTCGTCCATAAATTATATTCTCGCCTAAATCACTTAGATTTTACAACTAGCAGGTGCGTTAGAATCCCACACCAGATAAATCAGTTCAGGTAGAAGCATTAATTCTCACATTTAAAATGTACCGCAAGTCAGGCAATAATACACAAATCCCTACCTAACAAATGCGTTGCATCAAACGCCCTCAACAAAGTCTCTAGAGGTCCAGAAAAAGACTGGAGATTTTTTACTCAATAGGCATGGAAGAGAAACTTATCCAGAAGAATGTGGAGTTGTTACCTTTTGGTTGGAGTCACTACATTTAGAATGCACCCAAAAGTTTCTAGACTACAGAGGTCATAAGTTAATCTTGAATTAAGATGGATATTTTTCAAGTTCCCTTATAAAAGTAGTCGGGTTACAACAAGGGACTTGGAAATGAGTAACAAGCACTGAAGCATTAGATTTACCGACTTAGTCACTTTATCATAACTTTAAATGAGTTGCTTAATACAAATTAATATTTGAAAATAGTCCCATGTACGCGGTTTTCAGATATACTTCATATGTGAAGATATTGATAATATTCGTTTGCTTACAATGAAGTACATACGGGTAGGCTTGAACCTGAAACATAATGCTTTAACCTGTCTTGAAAGGATGAGTGTTCTAGCTTCTATAATTCGATTAGGTCATCACTATGTACAAGGCCAATCATCAAGTCAAGGCAACAGCTACGGTTGTGCTTGTGCTAGTGTTTGATTATTCAACTTTAATGAAACAACTAGAATTGTCATAATCCACGCAAATATGCAACTCCGCCTGTAGCTCCTCTGGGGGTTACTGCCGGTCCCAAGCCCGGGTAAAGGAGTAGGGTTGGGCATGGGGTTAGCGACCCCATCCCGTAGAAAATCAACTCGCTAAAAAAACGCTAACCAGAAAAAATCATTCAAACCATTTAAACTCTGCCCTCGGAGTAGAAGGAATAATTATGACGTCTCATGATGAAAGCCGAGTTCATTCGGAAGTCATGAGGCCGATGCACCTTCTTACAACCAGAGCGACAATTTTTTATAGGTACATGGAATGTCCGGACAATGTGGGAGACAGGAAGAGTCTCCCAAATCGCTGCAGAAATGAGAAAATACAACATGGAAGTGCTTGGAATCAGTGAAACACATTGGACGCAGGTTGGACAACAACGACTGTCTTCAGGAGAACTTCTGTTATACTCCGGTCATGAAGAAGAAAATGCCCCACATACACAAGGAGTGGCACTGATGCTGTCCAGAAAAGCACAAAATGCACTTATAGGATGGGAATGTCATGGACCAAGGATCATCAAAGCCTCCTTCAGAACAAAGAGAGAGGGCATTACAATGAACGTCATCCAATGCTATGCGCCTACCAATGACTACGATGAAGACGCTAAAGACCAATTCTACGATAGGCTGTAGTCGATCATCGAGAAGTGTCCAACCAAAGACCTGAGAATTCTGATGGGAGATCTCAATGCCAAGGTTGGAATGGACAACACTGGATACGAAGACGTCATGGGACAACATGGACTGGGAGAAAGGAACGAAAATGGTTAGAGATTTGCAAACCTATGTGCCTTCAATAAACTGGTCATAGGTGGCACCATATTTCCACACAAAAACATACACAAAGCCACTTGGATTTCACCGGATAACACTACACAGAATCAAATCGACCATATCTGCATCAACAAAAAGTTAAGGAGGACGATGGAGGATGTGAGAACCAGCAGAGGAGCTGATATAGCATCAGATCATCATTTGCTGGTCGCCAAGATGAAACTAAAACTTAAGAAGCACTGGACAACGGCGCGGACAACATCACAAAAGTTTAACACGGCCTTTCTTCGAGATGCTGACAAACTCAACAAATTCAACATAGCCCTCAGCAACAGGTTCCAGTCCTTTCATCATCTACTCAATGGAGAGGGAACTACCATGGAGAGCAACTGGAAAAGTATCAAGGAGGCAATCGTTTCAACATGTCAGGAGGTTCTGGGCCAAAAGAAGCACCATCACAAGGAATGGATCGCTGCTGGTACACTGGATAAAATTGAAGAAAGAAGGAACAAGAAGGCAGCAATCAATATCAGCCGAACCAGAGAGGAAAAAGCCAAGGCACAAGCCGAATATACAGAGGCAAACAAGCAAGTGAAGAGGAGCATCAGAACCGACAAACGTAAATATGTGGAAGATTTAGCAACGACAACGGAAAAGGCTGCAAGAGAGGGAAACATGAGACAACTGTATGATACAACAAAGAAACTTGCTGGCAATCACCGTAAGCCAGAAAAACCAGTGAAAAGCAAGGAAGGCAAAGTAATTACCGACATTGGAAACAACGAAACAGGTGGGTAGAACACTTCAAAGAACTCTTGAATCGACCAGCTCCACTGAACCCACCCAACATCGAAGCAGCACCCACAGACTTCCCAATCGATGTTGGCCCACCAACAATTGAAGAGATCAGCATGGCCATTAGACAAATCAAGAGTGGCAAAGCAGCGGGACCAGACAACATCCCGGCAGAGGCACTGAAAGCAAATGTAACAGCAACTGCCAAGATATTCCACATCCTCCTCAGTAAGATTTGGGACGAAGAATAAGTACCAACAGACTGGAAAGAAGGACTTCTTATCAAAATACCAAAGAAAGGTGATCTTAGCAAGTGCGACAACTACAGGGGCATCACTCTTCTCTCAATACCAGGAAAAGTCTTCAACAGGGTATTGTTAAACAGGATGAAGGATCCTGTGGACGCCCAACTTCGAGATCAACAAGCTGGATTTCGTAAGGATAGATCGTGCACAGATCAAATCGCAACTCTACGGATCATTGTGGAACAATCAATCGAATGGAACTCATCACTATACATCAACTTCATCGACTACGAGAAGGCATTTGATAGTGTGGACAGGACGACACTATGGAAGCTTCTTCGACACTACGGCGTGCCTCAAAAGATGGTCAATATCATACGGAACTCCTATGATGAACTAAACTGCCAAATCGTCCACGGAGGACAACTCATCGACTCGTTTGAAGTAAAGACTGGTGTTAGGTAAGGTTGCTTACTCTCACCCTTTCTCTTTCTCCTGATCATCGACTGGATCATGAAGACGTCAACGACTGGAGGAAATCACGGTATACAGTGGACAGGCAGGATGCAGCTGGACGATTTATACTTCGCAGATGACCTGGCTCTTACATCACAAACGCAACAACAAATGCAGGAGAAGACGACCAGTGTAGCAGCAGCCTCAGCAGCAGTAGGTCTCAATATAAACAAAGGGAAAAGCAAGACTCTCCGATACAACACAATATGCACCAATCAAATTACACTTGACGGAGAAGCTTTGGAGGATGTGAAAACCTTTACATATCTGGGCAGCATCATTGATGAACACGGTGGATCAGATGCAGATGTAAGGGCGAGGATCGGAAAAGCAAAAGCAGCATACCTACAACTGGAAAACATCTGGAGCTCAAAACAATTGTCAACCAACACCAAGATCAGAATTTTCAATACAAATGTCAAGACAGTTCTACTGTATGGGGCGGAAACTTGGAGAACTACGAAAGCCATCATCCAGAAGATACAAGTGTTTATTAACAGTTGTCTACGCAAGATACTTCGGATCCGATGGCCAGACACTATCAGAAACAAGTTACTGTGGGAGACAACAAATCATATTCCAGCGGAGGAAGAAGCGCTGGAAGTGGATAGGGCACACTTTGAGGAAATCACCCGATTGCGTCACAAGACAAGCCCTCACATGGAATCCTGAAGGTCAAAGGAGAAGAGGAAGACCAAAGAACACATTACGCCGAGAAATAGAGACAGACATGAGAAGAATGAACAAGAACTGGATAGAGCTAGAAAAGAAGGCACAGGACAGAGTGGGTTGGAGAATGCTGGTCGGCGGCCTATGCTCCATTGGGAGTAACAGGCGAAAGTAAGTAAGTAAGTAAGTACGCAAATATGCACTAGTGATTATTTATTATTTATTTAAACACATAAATATTGGTACAAGGAAGCACCAGATAAATATGCGCCTCAAAAATCTCGTTTGATTCGTGTGAGGGCTATGATACTGCCCAGGTGGAGCATCTTAAGGAAATGCACTAGTGATAATGGTATCTTATAAAAAAGCTCAAATTTTACTAGTGTTACGGATGAAAAGAACCGATTTATGTTATCAATTTAAGAATACATATATGTATACCATAAAGTCATACTTTTAAATCGGCGCAGCGATTTCGTTCAGCTTGTATAGCTTCTAACGAACGAGCATTGAGTTGTTCTAAACGAGCATTATCCAATGTTAGTTGATGTAATGTTGTAGCTAATTCTAGCTCACATTCATCTTCATCATCATATTCTTCTTCTTCTTCTTCATCATCATCGTCGTCGTCATCATCATCATCATCATCATTGTTTTGTTCATGTTTTGTTAGTTGTACATTTTGTACAGAATTTATATCGTTTACTTCTTCAGTTAGACGTGAATAAGCGACTGAATCAGGTGAAGAACCTCTATTCGTTAAAATTGGTTCTACCAACGAATCAACATCACCATGATCATCATTATCAGAATGAAGATGACGGTGGTGACGATCGGAGTCACTTGAATACTCATCGAGCAAACATGTTTCTTTTTGATTATTAATACTACTATATTGTGTAGTAGCAGTAGTATGATCGTCATCATCATCAAGAACATTGTCATTGATTACAGTTGTTAAACTTTCAGCTATTTTAGTCCATGGTTGTGAAATATAATAATTCATTTGATCTTCATTATTTAAAGTATGTCGTGGTGTTGAAATAATAGGATTTTGATTTAACAACCAAGCTGGACAAAAACGTTTAGCCGTCATATAGGTACGATATATTCGTTTGGCTCGTCTACCTCCAGATTCTAGAAGGTGATTTATACATGACTATGTTGAAAGAAAACAGAAAAATAGATCTTAGAACGAATGATTAGTTTTACACAGAAACAAGGAATAATAATGGAGAATAAACATTGATTTACAACAGAGTATTCAACAAAAGCATATCGCTTCTGGTTAACTGCACTGATCAATTTCCATCTGTGAAATAAAAGTTATTTACATTAATCAGTGTCTAATGTAAAAATACAGCCAGACATTTACAACCCATCATCATGTAATAGGGACCGCTACTATATCATTTTAAATAGCTAATGTTTTCATTCAGCCGTCTGATATTTAACATCTTTGACTGATGCGAGTTCGAACATTACGGGGAACATTAATTCCCTCATAATGGCGGATATTCCTTAATGACGAGTGTCAACTATCACAAAACCTAGGCTTAGTGATTTGAACAGGTTGCCTTCAACCACCAGACACGGATATAAATAAATAACGAAGAGAAATCAGTCAGTCAGCTACGACGTAGGACCAGGCACATTTATGCATCGGTCCAAGTTGCCATATCTCGTTAGCACAACAAGATCAACACCGAATTCATAGAATCAGTTAATTTAGTGATGTTAATATTTAAAAGAAAGGTTGTATATAAGGATATAGAACAGGAAGGAAGACAGATATGAAGCAATTTTAATCTCAAGAAAGTCGGTGTATAGAATAATTGTATTTGATTACTACCGTGTCATCATTAAATGTAGACTCTTTCTTAACCCGAAATTCACAAGCTCTTCAGATAATCTTCCCATATCAGTTGATAAAGTGTCATGATTACAGATCAAATTAATATGAATTATTCGCTACAGTAACAACTTCTAATCCAAAATCAAATTGTTTCAAGATGTACGATGACGCCTTAAAATTAGGAGGCAGTGGATAATTGTTTTGTTTCAATTCATGACTCTACAAAAATATTCATCCACGAGTATTAGAAGCCGAGGTGAAAAACATTGGTCCAATAATAATATTATTGAAATATCTTATGGATATTAGTTCAATTTGTAAACCGTAGTTGCCATGGGCTGAAATTATTCGAAGTACTATTGAAAATCTGGAAGCTCTGGAAAGTTATTTCATGACAGTATGGCATTCTACAGTCGTGTGCACCTACGTCCCCCAAATACAGATCGAACTTATGACTTTAAGAACTCAGGGCGAAAGTATCTCATGGTAACCAACTAACAAACTAATTACTTTACCTGTAACCGACTAATTTCTGCATTTTCTGAACGTATTCGTGCATGTAAATCTGTTTGTATTGCGATCAATTCTTGTTTACGTGCTTTATAATACATAATTTGACGTGATTTAGGATCATTTATATCAACTGTAGAAGAAGTTTTAATAAATTCTGACAATTTTGGTGCTAAATCTGATGGTGGTGGAAGTGAAGGTGAATGACTGATAGAATAAGTTGAGTTATCAACATTCGAAGTTGTTTCATTAGGATATAATACAATATTATTATCATTAGTATTAGTGGGGATCAATGTATTCTGAGTGTATACATTAGGAATGATTTTGTCATTAATTTCTATAGGAGTTTGATCTGAAGGTGAATGTAAAATATCCTCAGATTTGATCTCTAGTTCAACGACCTAAAAAATTGAAATGAGAAGAAAATAAACACATATATATATACTACTGATTTGTGAAAATTTTCTTTGAGGTTAGAGCTATAGGAGAATTCAATGAAATCAGTCAACTCGTAATCAAAGTATGATCTAGCACAAATGTGTTTTGATACAAAATTATAATACTACACATTCCATAGACAAATAAGTCGATAATTGTGAGAAGCAGACAATATATTGACAAAATGGTTCAAAAAGAAGAAGCAAGTATCCCGGTTAACAGTCAGTTAGCTGAATGTAAGACCAGGCAAATATATGCACCGGTCTTACTTAATTTAATAGTAGTAGTATATTAAAGAAAGATTGTGTATAAGCATACAGTACAGGAAGAAAGACAGATATAAAGCAATTTTAATCTCAAGGTTTAGGGGAAGACAGAGAGTGTATACACCTGCACCATTGTGATCGATTCTGAGCCATGTCACACAGAATCTCCAACCATTAGTTACGATAGTCGCGAGGACCCCAACCAAGTAGTCTGCATCTACCAACATGGCTCACACTAGTAGTTAGTGATTTCAAGCACTGATGCCACGTTTTGGTTTGGCCGACACTAACTCTCTTCCAACCATCCCCTACACTAGTCAGCATAGCACGTCGTGGTAATCGGTGTTCAGGCATACGTAACACGTGGCTTAACCATCTCAGTCGATGAAGATTCATGACCTTACCAACTGATTTACAATCATTCCCTAATACCCTATGTCTAACTTCACTATTACTTACCCGGTGATCCCATCGGGTTAAAAATTATAAGTCAAAATTTAAAATCAAAGCAAAGATAAAAAATGAATACAGTTGAATCATTGCTACAAATCATGACCAATATTATTTAAAATCTCCAACTACACCGATCACAATTATCGTGTGGACCTCTAATCAGTTAGTCGGTATTTAGTCAGATTTAACAATTAACGACTTCATGGACTAAACTGAAATTTTGGTTTCAACACATATAGACATGTTTATCTATAAAGAATGAAATATATGTGAAATCAATTTGATAACTATAGAACATAATCTGAGCCATATTGGTAGATGCAGACTACTAGGTTGGGGTCCGCGTGACTATCGTAACCAATGGTTGGAGACTCCGGGTGAAATGGCTCAGAATCGATCACAATGGTGTAGGTGTATACACTTTCTATCTTCCCTTAAACCTTGAGATTGAAATTGCTTCATAACATTCTTTCTTCCTATATTATATCCTTATATACAACTTTTCTTTTATATATTACCACCACTAAATTCACTACTATGAATTCTGTGTTGATCTTGTTGTGCTAACGAGGTATGTCAAATTGGACCGATGCATATTTGTTTCTGATCCTACGTTGTAGCTGACTGACTGACTAATAATAATAATAATGATTAGTGATTATTAACAGAACATAAACTTTTTTTCAATACCTTTTAATGAAAACTTTAAAATACAAAAAAAAAAGAAAAGATAAAAACACTTTAAAGATGAGTAAATACAATTTCTTTTTTCAAATTAAAAGTTATTGTTATTATCAGAAGGGGTTTTGTGGATATGATAGTAATTTTTTAATAGTTGAGATAATGAATCAATTGAGGCTAGACTATCATGGAAAACCTGGAAGCACTGGACGACCGTTTCGATCGTTTTGTGCGTGAAACTGATAAGTTCGAATCTCGTGAGGCGGGATTGTGGACGACACTGCTGAGGAGTCTCATAATAGGATGAAACGACCGTCAAACAGTGCTTCCAGGTTTTCCATAATGATCTAGCTTCAATTGATTCATGATTTCAACTATTATAAAACTTATTATTTATGAATAAATAATACTTACTGTACATGTACAATATTTAAAATATCATGATTCAATCATTTAATGCATATAAACGGTTCACTTTACAACTAACTATTTACATGAATAAAGGTTAATATTGTTGTGACTTTACACAATAAACAAAGGACGTATGACAATTCGTTATTGATTTTTATATCCGGCTTCTATCACGTGAATTATCCACCAATGGAAATAAAACTTTTCCGACCTTAACACTGTACCAAATCAATGACGTTCAACCGGTATAAGCAGTCTAGCGTCCTTATTAGTCCATTGTCCGCCTAGTCCTTTCAATTGAGTCTAGAACACCAATGACTGCTTCTGTTATGCGAATCGTTTATTTTAAGCATACTCCGTTTATATATACCAGACAGACAGACTGCATCACACCATAAAATACAAAATAATATTTGTACAAGATCAAGCCGAATGTAGCTGTCAACGTGGGAGACAATAATCAATAAACTGAATATAATTTAGGTACAGGAAATCGTGTAATAATAATCTATAGGTCAAAATGAAGCTTATAATAAGATGAATATAGATATACATAATCTAGTTACTGAATAGTTAAACCATAAGAATATATATAGAATAATCGTCCATTAATAGTTCCCGGAAGTTAACCGTATTTAATTCTTCGCTAGAATATAACAAATATAACTGATATATTCTAATATATAACATATATACTATTATTTATTTATTATTTAAACACATACATTTTGGTACAAGGAAGCACCAGATAAATATGCGTCTCACAAATCTCGTTTGATTTGTGTGAGGGCCGTGATATTGCACAGGTGCCAAAAGTGAAGCAGGTAGTTTTCTTATGGGCCCACACTCGGAGCCTTTGACCTGAAGGTCTAGTCCACAAGACAATGGAGCATCGTGAGGAGATGCAGTCCCATGGTAGCCAGTGACCAACAAATGATTCATACGCCATTTGTTCCATCAGGATACTGGAGTCCAAGTGCACCATTGGTTTGGAATGAGGGTTTTCCAATTCCCCTAGATGGACCCTCCATATCCACCAACCCGGTTAAAGCGCCGGATATTCGCTTTTCGTCCTCTCAATTTCGTAAACAACACCAGTGCCATGAGAAGGCAGTGAGTAGGACTTTCCTATCAGAGGCTATATATTCGCATGACCATGTGAGAGCATTTCGAGAGGAAGAGCGTACTCTCCCCACTTTCGGCTGTACCAGGGCATAACATATATACAGTTGCTAACAGTTAGTCACCATACAGAAATATTAGAAACCAATGCTTATTTTCATGCTATAAGTAAATTATGAATAATAATAATAATCATAGAAATTTACTTGGTTATCCATATTAGACACTTGTTGTTGGCTATTTGATGTCAAAACTTCTTGTTGATACATAGATTTATCATTTATATGATTATCTTTATTCTCATTGTCTGTATTCTCTTTTAAATATCCTTCTTCATGGTTATTATTTTCATCTTGTACAATATTGTTTACATTTAATGTATTATGACTGTTATCATTAGCATCACCACCACCGCATTCATCATTATCAATATGATGGTTATCTTCTTGATGTATACAATCATTTGTAACCACTGTCCCACTCGCAGCGGTTATTGTTTCCAATGGTGTTGCTGTTGATGTCGAGATTTGCTGATTCAATTCTATGTTACCATGGTTATTATGATCATTGATTGATTTTTCTGAACAACCATCACAAGTCGTGGGTAGTTGTTGTGTCATTGAACTAATTGGTTCAATCGGTAATTTTCTAAACATTGAGATTATTAAACAAAGAAAAAAGAAATTTTATTTTAAACAAAAAAATATCATCTATCATATTTCAAGCAAGGGGGAATAGATCCTCTTTATGATAGAATCATAGAAATTTCCCCCGGTAACACAAAATAAAAATGAGAATATATTTCTATACCAAAATATGATTAAGGGAACATTTTACAAATACACCATAACAATATTGATATGAATTAGTAATTAATACTAATATGTAAATAATACATATTTATATAAACTAAACACACTTACACACACACACACAATACAAATACACTCAACAATAAAAAAACTAAAAAAAACAGATAAGTAAACAAAGTAAATTCTGATGATGTCTTTAAACTTTATATAATTAAAACATTATATTAATAGTTGAATTCATGAGTCGATGTAATTTACGCCTGTTACCCCTCATCGAGGAGCATAGACCGCTCACCAGCATTCTCCATCCTGAACTCCGCCTTTAGCTCTTCTAGAGTTACTGCCGGTTCCAAATCCGGGTAAAGGAGGAGGGTTGGGCAAGGGGTTAGCGACCCCATCCCGTAGAAAAGCTAACTCGCTAAAAAAACGCTAACCAGAAAAAATAATTCAAACCATGATTCGATATAAGCTAGACCATCATTGGAAATCTAGAAGTACTGGACGGCCGTTTTGTCCTAGTATGGGGTGTGATAGTTGTTAAATCTAGAGCTTTGATTCTTGCTATTCCGCGTACTACTAGACTACTTGAACGATCGAATCTGCAACGTTGCAAGAGAGAAGATAGAAGACTAGCAAGTAGGAATTTTATTCCCAAAACAGTGTCAAATATAGTACAACAATCTCAAAACTCTAGATATAACAATAGTTCAACTAGTTTCGTATAATTGTGGATACTGTGTAATATGTCTACTTGTATTCATCTATACTTACTCATTAAAACGACACAAAATAATGTAACTGATCTAAGTGACTAAATCAGGAAGAAGGGCTAGAAGTAGATAGGACACACATTGAGGAAATCAGCTAACTGCGTCACAAGACAAGCCCTCACACGGAATCCTGAAGGTCAAAGGAAAAGAAGAACAAAGAACACATTACACCGAGAAATAGAGATAGACATGAGAAGAATGAACAAAAACTGGATAGAACTAGAAAGGAAGGTGCAGGACAGAGTGGGTTGGAAAATGCTGGTCGGCGGCCTATGCTCCATTGAGAGTAACAGGCGTAAGTAAGAACTGTAAGAAAACATAGATAGGTAGCATGGGCATAGATTTTTACTAAATATCCATCATATAAAGTATGACGTAAGAAGCATCAAAAATTTGATTAAGAATTTATTATGGACATCAAGTTGTTGGCTATTCACGTGGCAGTTTCACGATAAAACAACCTTAAAAATACATGGCGAACCCATGCCTACCTCCCCTCTTTTACCTGGGCTTAGAACCGGAAATAACTCTAGAAGAGCTACAGGCGGAGTTAACCTCGAAAATAACCGAAAAGAAATAGGTCACTGATAAATTAAAGTACCGTAACTTGGTTAGTGTGGCACGATGATAAGTAGGATGCGGATACCTTGATATTTGTTAAATTTGTTTTTAGAAATTTGTTACTATGATTGATATGAAAATCACTATTCGTTTACCAATGATTTGTGCTGGTTCATTCAACAGTAGAATAAATTAGCCGAGAGGATTAAATAAAACCATGAAGCATAGTTTGAGTTATTTTTTCTGGTTAGCGTTTTTTAGCGAGTTAGCTTTTCTACGGGATGGGGTCGCTAACCTCACGCCCAACCCTCCTCCTTTACCCGGGTTTGGGACCGGCAGTAACTCCAGAAGAGCTACAGGCCTAGTATTTATAAACAGTTGCCTACGCAAAATACTCAACATTCACTGGCCGGATACTATCAGCAACAACCTACTATGGGAGAGGACAAACCAGCTTCCAGATGAAGAGGAAATTAGGAAAAGACATTGGAAGTGGATCGGACGTACATTTTGGAAATCACCAAACTGCGTCACGAGGCAAGCCCTAACTTGAAATCCGGAAGGGAAGCGAAAAAAAGGAAGGCCAGAGAAATAGAAGCAGATATGAAAAGGATGAATAACAACTGGAAAAGATCGCCCAGGACAGATTTGGATGGAGAATGCTGGTGAGTGGTCTATGCTCCTCAACGAGGGGTAACAGGCGTAAGTAAGTATGAAGCATAGTATACATTAAAAATTTGAAATACAAAGACTTCTTATTTTATTGAGGTGAAAAACGTCACATTAGTTTTCATATCCTTAATTTTGAAATTAATTAAAATATAAATGAATTCATAATCCCTCTTTTTAATGCGAAATAATAATAATAAACTCTAACCTTAACGTTAAATTAAGAACTTCCTCTTGATCTAATTCCGAAACTGACGGTATAACTAATGGGGTACCAGACATGAACAAAACACAAGGATTATTTGATTTTAACTCATTTGTTCCCGCTAATGATGATGATGTGGATGTTGCTGAGGTCATATCTGACGATTGTTGATTTTGTTGTAATGCTTTCGATCTTTCATGTTGTTTTAACTTGCGTTTAAGTGTTGTTATTTCACGTTGAACTTCCCATAGTTCATCGGAATAAGGAATCTTCTCAAAAGTTGTTGAATGTTGGCGATGACCTTTAGAGTGTTTGTCAGTTCCAGTTATTCTAATTTCATTTTATTTAATTAAATACAGACACATATGTGAGAAATAGTTATATAAAAATAAAGAACAATATATTGTATTTGATTACACATGCAGTGCTGATGACAGTAAAGTGTTTCTCTTAGACAACTAGCATCTCCAGCGATACCGCTTTACAATAAATGAAGGATAGAGTTGGTAAAAGTCAGATCCAAAATCAACACACCTCATCTTAATTCATAGATTTCTTACCCTAGCTGCAAAGTACGAAACGTACGGAGCTAACACAAAAAGACTGTGTGTAACTGACATTAAGTGGTTGTCCTCTGAGATCTATGATCATAAACTCAGATTTTTAGGACAACACTTAACCTACTTTAGTTTTTAGGTCCCTCAAGAAGTATTCTTCTACATTGTGGGGAACCCGGAAATGAAAACCATCTCTAAGGTCACCTTGTTCATGAGTGAGTGAAATAAATCATTATTTTTGTTCAGGCATATGAACTGAAGAAAAACAAGAACCATTAATTCTATATGCTTTTCATCTCAGTTATTTCAAATTATTTTTAAAACTATGTACAGAAGTACATTACATCACATCACTTGTCAACCCATATACATTTGAGTGAATTTAATTGATGACTGATTGACAGCATTTGATCAAAAACGTGAAGATTACGAGTTGAAGAATTACCTACACTCAGAAAAAGATCCAGTTACTGATGTGTTGGCGAGAATGATAATGATTAGTTGTTTTGCTGAGTCAGACATGTAGATAATGTGAAAGGTATTATATACTCCCTATCCTTATTATTATTGATGAACTGTTCTTGTTGTTGGATTGTGTCGGATTATGGTGTGGAAATATATCGACGTTCTAGTCAGGCTAATCTCGTGTTTTTGATCTAAGTTGTGTTGAAGTCCTGTAGAATAGGTGACACTAGGAGGGAATCTAGATATTTGTCTAAGATGAATTAACGTCCCATATACGTGTAAAAAGTGAAAGGACTGTTATAACAAGAAACCTTAGAGTTGTAACAAGTATCCTATCCGTTTATAACAGTTATAAAATAACGTCAAACAATGATAAAATACAGATGCATTTTTCATAAAACGTGCTTTGAGCTGAAAACCAGTTTTCTAAGCCTATCATTGTCAAATAAAAACTGGTTGGATAGTAACTAAGTGAAGTTTTGAAAAGACTGCAAAACGACCATTATACTTAATGTGCACTGAATAAACAGTTTTTGTGTCACTATGATTAAATCAAGTGAAAGAATATACAAAAAACATAACACTTTTCGACAGTGTAGCTACTGACTCATTACGATAGTTGAAGTTGCGCGTACCATGACGCACCAATTAAACTGTATTGAATGCAATATTTATTCCTACAGAGCTCATAAAAAACGAGAGAGCCACATTAAACAGCCATTTCGTCCCCATTTAGAACTCCTCAGCAGATTAATACGTAACCCAAGATTGTCAGTGATTCTCTAGCTGATATCAGTCTGTTATAATGAGAACTACACTTACACTAGATTAATTAATTCTTCCACAAATACTGGGCTTCATTTAAATTGTTTTGGGCAGCCAGATTAGCGTCGGTAGTATTTACTCAAAAATTATGGCTCAAAGTTCAAGATAAAAACCTGTACATCGTAAATGAGTTATACCATTCAAACAAACACACATACCTTCGACGTTGATTACAATTATCTTTGGATCCACTCAATGTACCTGAGCACCCATCACCACCAACAGGGGCAGTAGTAGTAGTAGAAGAAGATATAGTAGTAGTATGCATATTAGTAGGTGGCATTGATATACTTTGTATTATTAAATTATGTAATCGATCTAGGTGTGCTTGTTGTTTAATTATTTCTTGTCGAATCGCTTCAGGATCCGTTAAAGTTTTACGTCGTTTTAGTTCTGTCATTATATGCTGTACCTAAATTTAGTTTTCAAAAAAAAAAATTAACAACAAGAGAGCATGTACAATATAGGAAGATAATGATTTCATATTAATCAGCTTGTGTATGCACGTATGTGTGTATGGGGGCATCTGTATAATAATCTTATATAGATATAATCAAAAAGTATATTTGGATCATATTGTGTACGGATAGAAAAGATAATAACTATTATTCTTTGAAAACAGAACAACAAGGGGTTTTTGTGGAGATCTTTAGTAATTTTATATAGTTTAAATCATGGGTCAATTGAAGCTAGACCACTATGGAAAACTTGGAAGCACTAGACGGCCGTTTCGTATTATTGTGGAACTTTTCAGAAGCGCGCATCCACGATCCCGCCTCGCGAGATTCGAACCTAGGACCTATCCAGTCTTCAGCGTGAGCGCCTAACAACGAAACCACTGAGCCGGCCAGCATCAAACGATGTTAATGTCTAACTTCAAACAATCCACGAAATTCAGCAACTACTCACCATTGTCTTCAGTGAGTTTATATCTCACAAAAGACCTGGTTGAACTCCACTGATCATTGCTTCTCACTAGAACTCCAGGAAATACCTCATAGAGCCAGTCACTAGTGAGCATATTATCGTGAATGAGCCCTGCTGAGGAGTCCCACAATGGGATGTAAAGGCCGTCCAGTGCTTCAAGGTTTTTCATGGCCGTCTAGCTTCAACTGACTCATGATTTCAACTTTATAAAATTACTAAAAATCTCCACAAAGCCCTCTTTTAATAAAGATCATATGCTCACTAGTGACTAGCTCCATGAGGTATTTCGTGGAGTTCTAGTGAGAAGCAGTGACCAGTGGAGAACAACAATTGTTTATTATGATTTTACATAAGTGTGAATAGTTGAAAACTTAGTCACATTAAACTGTGTGTACATGGATTGGTTAGTTATAATATGGTTGAATATGTTTAAATATTAGATATTTATTTAGTCAAAAATCATCAAAATCACAAACTGTTTAAATGTGGTACTAGGTTCAGGTCTCAGAGTGAACATCAACTCTGTGATGCAGGTACATCCAGCTGACAAGTCCCAAACAGGACGAAATGCGCGTCAAACTGGATTCCACTGCTAGCCACTATCCATCTTTGCTTATAATGTTTAAATGTGATTAGGTAAAATAAAACATTATTTCATGGATTGTTTATATTATCATAAGGACTAATAAAGGAATTTTGTGAACTATTTCGGAAAACTTGTATTTCCATAGTTGCAAGCGTGAGTCCATTGAACAACATTTCTGTTAAGAATCACACACTTCATACTGTTTTCGTATCCCTTGCTACAACTGAGAGTGAAAAGGGTCCTTTACTTCTTTCTGAAGACATAGTCGCGAGCTATTAGCTTTTTCGAAAAAAATTATACTTAATTGCTTCAGGAAAAGAGGAAATTCGGTGCATAAATCGGATAGATTAATGCAAACAGCATACAAAGAAGTCGGAAAACTCTAATTCTAAACTAATGGTATGTACTTGAGATTCATGATTATAAATGATCAAATGGTGTAAAATTACACAGTGATTACAAAATTAATGTATTTGTGGGGGAAGGTTTGTTGCCTAGGCTACTACATAGTAATTCTTAATCTTATTAGATATAAAACTATCGAAATTCATTTAATACCATAAATCAATAAAGAATCACGTATTTGTCTGCTCAGCTGAGAACTAAACATTTTGAGAGTTAGGGCTAGTAAAACTACTTGTTTATACAAGTTAAATAAGAAATGGGATGTTGTGTTCGAACCTATAGGCGTATAGCTAAAAATGAGCTTCTTTTAACCAATGAACTATTACTACTAACGAATTTGTATTTCAGCAAGTTAAGAAACTCAAACAAACTCAACAATGATGCCAGTATAATGAATACAATTTGAGTAGACAATGAGCGAGAGAAAGCACACATAAACAATCAATTTAAGCTTACATTACGTAAATGATATTCTTTGCTAGAATTTGCTTCATCACCATCCAGTTGAATTTGTTCACATAAATAAGCAAGCAATGATTCTTGTTTCTTCAATTCAATATCTAATTCTTCATTAGTATCAGGCAATTCTAATCCATATAATGATTTTAATGGAGGTATATAAGATTTTAATAGATAAATTGGATGAGGAAATAACCAATGCCAATTACTTGGATCAATATTATTTGTCCTGAATGGAGGCAATTTTGGATCTAATTTACATAGATCCAAAGAAAAATCTTTAACATGCATATTTATGACAGACAGATGGAATGAGTAGCAAAGTGGATTGATGATTGAAGAACAAATGATGATTGGAATTGAATAACAATGAATAAAAAGAAACACATAATTAATTACATTCGGGCCAACTATATATTGTAGTTTATAGCAAAGGTTGCACTATTATTAATATTACAAGTTAAAATCAAAAATTTACGAGCATGATAAGCAAAGATGGATAGTGGCTAGCAGTGGAATCCAGGTTGACGCGCGTTTCATCCTATTTGAGACTCGTCAACTGGATGTACCTGCATCTCAGAGTTGATGTTCACCCTGGGACTCGAAACCATAAACATTGACAACCTTCCTATGATTGTTTAAAACACTTTTTAACTAAACAACTTATTGATTTCACAAAGTGTTGAAAAAACTAGTTTAAACAGTTGCATTCTTTCCCTATAGTTGTGACCATATAGAAACAAAAACATACTTATTGCAATGACTATGCAGTTGTGTTACAAGACAAGCCCTCATATGGAATCTTGAAGGTAAAAGGAAAAGAAGAAGACCAAAGAACACATTACGCCGAGTAATGGAGATAGACATGAGAAGAATGACCAAAAATTGGATAGAACTAGAAAAGAAGGCCCAGGACAAAGTGGGTTGGAGAATGCTGGTCGGCGACTTACGCTCCATTGGAAGTAACAGGCGTAAGTAAGTAAGTAAGTAGTAATTCGGTTGTGTAATGCTAAAGTGTAATTGTGTTGTAATAATTATTCGATATGCATCAATCACTTTGAAAATGTCCTCGTGTATTACCAGTCTAATATTTCATCTCCAGTACGATAAATGACATATTTTTATACATATATTTCCAACATAAAATTAACGTGAGATCATGTGACCAGAACTCTGTATTAGTAAAATTTTCTAAATATGAAAAGTGGGAAAGTTTCACTGGACAGAATTGTGATACGATGCAAAACAACAAATAAATAAACCAGAAGGGGTTTTTGTGGATATTTCAGTATTTTCATAGTTGAAATCATGAGTCAATTGAAGCTAAACCACTATGGAAAACATAAAAGCACTGGAAGGCCGTTTCGTCCTATTATGGGACTCCTAAGCAGTGCGCATACACGATCCCGCACTCGCGAGATTTGAACTCAGGACCTACCAGTCTTGAGCCAGAGCACTTAACGTCTAGACCCCTGAGCGGGCATCCAACGGTGTTAATGTCTAACTTCAACCAATCCACGATGTTTGATAAACCGTTCACAAAATAAACCTTGAATAAAAAGCTTCAATAAGGTGAGATTTATATGATCCAGGACGGGGTAATAATTTTATATTCGAAGTATTCAGACATCAAATAAGCTAGGTGTTATATACTAGGGAAGAAGTAAGTACGGATAACTTACGGGACCTATTATCGGACTATTGTTCTATGTATATTCCTATTGTATAACTATTCAGTAACCAGATTATCTATGTCTATATTCATCTTATTGTAAGCTTCATTTTGACTTATTGATTATTATTATATGATTTACTGTTCCTAAGTTATACTCAGTTTATTGATTTTTGTCTCCCACACTCCCAGCAACATTTGGCTTGGTTTTGTACAATTATTATTTTCTATTTTATGGTGTGATGTGGTCTGTCTGTCTGGTATATAAACAAAGTATACTTGGAATAAACGATTTATATTGCCGAAGCTGTTATTGGTGTTCTGGACTCAAGTGGACAGGCTAGGCGGATTAAGGATCGATAAGGACGCTAGAGTACTAATACTAATCGAACGTTATTGTCACAGTGTGAAGGTCGTAGAAGTCGTATTCTATTGGTGGATAATTCGCGCAAGTTACGTCCTTGTTCAATTCGTAAGGTCATAACAAATCAGCAACGACCTTGGTCAAGACATAACGATTGGGCGACGGCTAGGTCAAGTCATAACACTAGGGCATTGGTTCAAAGTCCAAAAAATTTAGCTCAATTTAGGTAGATTTCACTAAGTCAGTTACTAAGTGCATAGATCAATGTCCACGGGTTTCAGTCATATTGTTACTTTAAAGTAACTCAATTAAATGTTTATGTATGAAAATAATCAATAGTCTATAAACAGTTTCGTCAGGTGTATATAAGGTCTAAAAGTATATTTGTCTATTAATTTTTTGTTCTACACATTGACTCATAGACTGAAACGTGTCGACAGGTTCAGATTACTTGGTTGGCGTATGTGCGGTTATCGTAGGTAATGGTTGAAGGTGCTAGCGATAACATGGCTCAGAATCGGTTACAATTGAACAAATTCATTCACTTTTAATCTTGAAATGATTATACCTTTTATTCAGCGAAATTTTTTAGTTCTTTTTCATATTATATTGTCTATGCCTAATCTAACCTAATACTAATTCTGCTACCCTAGCGATCGTCTTGATAATTTCATGTCACTATGCAAATATGATATGGGAAATTTAACCGATGCATACATATGTTAGGTCCTACGTTGCTCACAGATTAACTGATTATTTCAAGCAAAGTCATCAGACAAATTATACTCGAGTATAATCCCTGAAATGTATCGAGTATCCCTGAAATGTTATTCAAAAACCTTGAATTTTATCCCCGAGTTTGTCTTTGATGAACACTGAAGAATCGTTATACACAAAAAAACAGAGTCATAATGACGTATTTGTAGAATCCCAATATGTAGAAAATTAAATTTTCGACGTATCGTGACTTTGTGTAAGCTAATTCCTTAAGGAATAAATAAATCAAGGATCTGGCAGCTTAAATGGTATAAATGAAATGAATCAGAATACTTTTAGTAAAATCAAACAAGTCTGATTATGTAAATGTTATGTCACTTCAGTCAAGATGAGACCTACTTCTTTGTATGTTAGTAGAAAATGTAATATTTGTAATGTGGAAGAATAGGGTCAAAAATATTTATATGTTTATTAATGACGTTAGATGACAACAGAATTAAATATGTAGAAATTTTGGTAAATGGTTTATGTTGGATGGATTCCTAAGTGGAGAAGATTTGTAGCTCAAGTGGATGATTTTGATGGAGTTTTGTTCTCTGAGCTGAATTCCTAAGTTCTCGTTTCTATTGAGTACGGTAGGGTTTGACAATAATATGAGAAGTATCAGACACTCGCCTTTCTTAATAATTGGAAAAACCATTTTTTGAATTATTTTGACATGACTAATATTGATTTGCAGTTGCTAAAAATAAAATGTACTACTACTGTTGATTTAATTTGTAGATATTCTAGTTCTGCAGGATTATTTAGAGGGGATTTATGCAGCTTCTATTGTACCTTGGTACGAGTTATCATTTCCCAAGAATATTCTCAGACACAAAAAGCATCACAATTTACACCTCCTGATTTGTAGACACATTTGTGTTTCGAGGCAAACTAAAACATTTCGAAGAATGACAGTTATTTTATTATAGGCTGTAATTGTGCATGATTTAAGGATTTGCTGTGGTTCATCACCTCGATATAGAATTGTGGCTTAAACTTGACATTTTCTAATGTATGGTTCCAGAATGATAGGTTTATTCGAAGATCGAGTATTTCAAGATTTTATGGCGTATAGTAAAATAGACTGTTTTAAAGTATGGGTATCATCTTGCAAAAAAATTAACATACCTTGACAGAGTCAGTAGTAATAAAGTGTTGCAAATCTCAATCGTCATTTCAAAATAAGTTTCAAAAACATTGATAAATAAATCATTAAAACAAATTCAACTTCTGAAGAAGAGACTATCACTATCGTTACACAAAATAATCGATATTATGCAAACCCCGTTAATTAAAATATAAAAAAATAATACATCTGATCTATACGACTAATTAGTTAGAGCTCGAAAGGTCAAACTCGAACATAATCGACTTTAAAAGACAAGGTAGCTGTCGCTTTCCATAATACGTTTGAGACACACTGCTTTTAATTAAGACCTTTTGTTTAGTATTTATTTATTTAAACACATAAATATTGGTACAAGGAAGCACCAGATACACATGCGCCACACAAATCTCATTTCATTTGTGTGAGGGCTGTTATACTGCCCAGGTGCCCAAACTGAAGCAGGTGCTTCTCTTAGGGGGCCACACCCAGAGCCTTTGACCTAAAGGTCTGATACACAAGGCAGTAGAGCATCGTGAGGAGATGTAGTCCCATGATAGCCGGTGACCAACGACTGTTTCATACGTCATTTGTTCCCTCAGAATCCTAGAGCCCATGTGCACCACTGGTTTAGAATCAGAGTTTTCCAACTCAACTAGGTGAACTTTCCGTGTCCACCAACCCGGTTAAAGCGCCGAACATTCGCTTTTCGTCCTCTCAATTTCTTAAACAACAGTAATGTTGCGAGAAGGCAGTGAGTAGGACTTCCTTGACAGAGGCTATATATACGCGTGGCCATGTGAGAGCATTTAGAGAGAGAGAGAGAGTGGACTCTCCCCACTCTCGGCCGTACCAAGGCATTTGGGGCCTACAGCTGTTTAAACTAATGTAGGTAGGGGTATGGTTTATAACTGAATAAATATCATATTGTTTTCAACATTATTAAGCTAACATTCTATACTTATTGCTTGATTCAATATAAATAATAATATTTTATTTTGAAAAACAACATAATAATGATAAAACATACCTTTAGGCAGTATAGGATTTAATAATATACCCAATAAACGATGACTTATACCTAAACATGGTGATAATACAATAATAATATTAGCTAATGTCATACGATTTTCACCAGCTCTATCAATAATATTCATCATATGTTGTATAATCCATGCTAATAAATAACGATTTGATATAGGTAATTCTTGATGAATTAATACAGATAAATTATGATAAAATTGTATATTATCTGTAGTGAATGATTCAATAACATTACTTAAACGTTTAGTTAAAATTGGTTCAGGTAAACTACGTAGAAAATGTTTGATTACACTAGCAATAACAGCTGGATCATGGGGTAGTATAGTGATTTCTGTTGTTTGTGGACTTATACTATTATTATTAGTAGTAGTTAATATAGATGAAGATTGTTTTATTGGTGAATTACTGAATAATCCGGAGTTGGAATTTTTTACACAGAATGCTCCTGTAATAAAATTAGTCGGTGTAGGTATATTTCTGCCACGATTATCTGAAGATTTATGCGAGAATTGAGAATTGTACTCTTTCGATTTAGAATGAGCTGAAAACAAAATAAGACATATGTTAAAATGATAAAACAAAAATCAGTTCAAATAAAGAAAACGACATTATCTTACAAAAACCAAACATGATTCGTGGTCACATTATTCGGGTGTAACACTAGGTGATCTAAAGTAAATGTGAAACGCGGTTAGTAACTGGCTCTTGAATCGTGTCATCATAACTTGATCGATATCATTCGATCACCACTAAGAAGGACTTGACACACATGACATTGATCACTACCCAGTGATCAATCAATTGTGATTACATCTCAGTCCTACAGGAGGTCGGTCGCGGCTCGAATAGCTCAGTGGTAACGTCTCTGACTGTGAAGCTGAGCGACATGGGATCGAATCTGTCAGAGAGCACCAGCTCCCTCAAGATTACAGGTACACCTTGCTGACGAGTGCTAAGTAGCACGAAACCTGGGTCCAGGGTTTCTTGTTGATCACCTCCAACCACCATCTTACGTTATCATAACCATTGTCTGTAAAGAAATATAATTTGTTAACTAAAGCTACTTTATCGGAATGAGGATTGTAGTATTCTAACAGTTAAATTCGTGAGTCGATCTAAGCTAGATCACAATTGAAAATCTGGAAGCACTAGACAGCCGTTTCGTCCTAGTTTGGGACTCCTCAGCAGAGCACACCCACGATCCTATACGCGAACTTGGACCGGGGACCTCCGATCTCGCGCGCAAACGCTTAACTTCTAGACCAACAGTGTGACTTTTTGTGGACATCATTTTGTAATTATATTTTATTTAATATTGTCTTCGTAAACAGTTTCTCAAAAGCCTTTTTCAAGTGTACACCTCTATTATACACCTGTTCTAACCATAATTGACTGAGTTCGTTTAGATACAGAGCATATAATCTGTTTGACTACTGTATCATTATGATGACTTCAAGTTTAGTACATGTGGGAATCGTCATCGTTATGACAAATATATGTTAGTAAATATAACAATGACGATTATATGGAAATGCTAGACAATTACTTATATAAATAAAAAAACCTGGCACATATATGAATTGTTTTAAGTTATCATTTTTGATTAGTATCACGGTTGATGAAACTTTCCAGATAATTGACTATCGAGGAATTCAGGAGGCTTCTTATTATCAGGAAAATAGTATGAAAAGAGCAATGAGAATTGTTGGAAAAGAAAGAAAAAGTCCATTTGATCTAATGATAACAAATGAAGTTGCGCGCTAAACAAAACAGAGTTGCAAGATCATGTATATATGTGAATCGGTTTTATGTGGTTAATCTTGAAGTGTGTCACACAACGTCTCGAATCGACAATTACGATTAAAGAAAAAATTCTAACTAGGGAAGTCTCTACATTTACCAACACACTTTCTCAACTGTCAATAACTTCATGAAATAATCTTATGTCTCAATTTCATCTTTCTTCTAACATAATCTTATACTTGATAGTACTAGGTGTTGAGATGGACGGTAGTTGAACATGTGTGACATATATTCCAACTTCCTGCAGTAGATGAAGATTTGAAGCACCAATTTACTGGTTTTATATTTTTACATATTAACCTACGCCTTATTTCAGTTAATGACCTATTAAAAAAGAAGTTACTGATCCAATTCCAATCAAATTACGGAATATATATATATATATATATATATATATATATATATATATATAATGCTATTACTGAGAATTACATATTGTACTAAGCGCATAAGTATTGAGAATAAGGCGATTATTATTACTATCATTTAACGTATTGACTTACATGAGCTTAGATGTCGTATTTTCCCTTTAGAACTAGAATCAGATCCAATTTGAAAATGACTAGAACGTTGTTTAGTATAGTTAGCTTGATTACAATAAAATGCGGCTGATGTCGGTGGAATATCTGGAAATTCTATACCATTATCTATTGCAGAGATTACTGCTTGCACTTGTGAATGTACACCTGGTACCTAAAATTTCATGTTAAGAAAATAAACTGTATAGAAATAAAATATAGCCAATGTGCTGAGTAAAAAGAGGAGTAGATCAAATTAATTTATCTAAAATTTGAAGATGATTTTACAGTCCTGAACTAATATAAATTAAAAATCAGGGAGTACACTGGATAACCATTTTATTTCATAGTTTATATCATGGAATGAATAAAGATAAACAGTATCTGAACGCCAGAAAGTACTAGATACTTGTTTCACCGTAGTGTCGAATTCAAGACCTTACGGTATCTCAGCGAATGTTTAATCTTTGCTCCCACTGAGTTGCAAACTTCGACTGTTCAAAAATTACATTATTTTTGTTCATATATCCAGATTTCAAACTTCAGTTAATTTACGAACCTGTGCGACCATCACCATGCAATACAGCGGGTGGATAACTGCTATACTCTCAAGATGGTTGAACCCCAAAGGTTACAGCTACTCACTAGAATCCCGAGAAATTAGCTTTTGAAATTAGTCATTTATATATACATAATTATTGTAAGTAGATGTTTTTTTCTGATTACTGAATGTAGTAGTTTATATCAAGAATTAACTGAAACTAAGTAACCACTTTAGTTTCTAAATTTTTCAACAGTTTACCTTCACGTTTCGTGTTAACCTAAATACCTTCAGAAGGATTAATATACTCACTCGAACAGTGACTGTATACGCGTAGCGATGTGAAAGCATTTCAAGAGGGAGAGCAAACTCTTCCCACACTCGGCTGTATCAGGGCATTTGAAGGCAATATTACAGTTTCTGAATGTAAATAATTATTGAGAAGAAAATGAATACTTACACGATAAATTCCTTCAGAACTTAAACCATACTGTTCAATATAATCGATACAATGACGAAAAAATGCTGGCAGAACAATTCCATCATGACTAGGATTTCTGCTACAGGCTACATCTAAAGGCATTCCAAAAATAGTCTAAACAATGAGTAAGACAAAAACGAAAAAAATAATTACACTAAATTGTATTGATTATAAAATGAGTGCAAAATGCATATATGATGTTATCGATATATTCAAAAGTATATCATAAAACTGTTAGGCTGAAATTTCAGTCAGTCAGTCAGCTACAACAAAGGACCAGGCATATATATGCATTGGTCAAAGTTGCCATACCTCGTTAACACAACATGATGAATACCGGATTCATAGAAATAGTTAATTTAGTGGTGGTAGTATATAAAAGATATGTTTTATATAAGGATATAGTATAGGAAGAAAGATAGATATGAAGCAATTTTGATCTCAAGGTTTAAGGGAAGATAAAGAGTGTATACACCTACGCCATTGTTATCGATTCTGAGCCGTGTCACCTAGAGTCTCCAACCATTGGTTACGATAATCACGCGGACCCCAACGGCTGAAATTTACTTTCCTCATTCATATCCTCATCGAACATCTGAGGTTAGACCACAGAATAATGTAGTCATTCATATATTGTTTATCAATTTTTTTAGAGAATTGATTCTTCTCTGTAATAGAAAACTTCATTGTGGATAACAGGCGTAAGTAAAATTAAATTAGCCCTCGTGAGTTAGTGTTTTATTCAATATTAACACAAATTCAAAAACTCAAGCATGCTTTTTTCAATTCCGATTACTTATCCCCTAGATAAGATCTCAATCTGCTAACTAAACAGAGAGTGCAGTACCTAGTAGTCTCCTAAATGTTACATTATTTGTAGAACGTTGCTCTAGAAAGCAGGATACATTCACAAATTACTGCAACTTTATCACACGTGTGTTCGAGGTATTGGTCGTATATGGTTAGACCACTGAATGAGCAATGATAAGTTTAAGTAGGTGCAGGGTAATAAGCAAAGATGGTAAGTGGTAAGTTGATAAGGAGGTAGCGGTGGATGTTCACTGAATGATGTGATCGGGAGATGTGTAGTGTGTGACCAACTAATGTCTACTTCGACACGTGATGTTGTATGACGTAAGAATAACTTGGAAAAAGATAAGTGAGGCCATAATAAGATATGACATCAGTCAATGAATTTTTCGATTGTTGAACTGGGCCAAGTTAGTAGGTGCAGACAACGTTGTTAGGTGGGTTCTATATGATTATCATAACCAATAGTTCGAATTGTTGAACAAATTTTCCCTTAAGTCCTGGGTTCTCGAGTTTATAATTGTAGAGCTTGATGAAGAAATGATCGAAAACGAAATATCGTTCTTGTTATATCCTGTGAAGAATTATGAATAGTAACTTTGAGGACTATTTATGGACCAATGTGATATGCATATTTCCTATTGTATAATTGTGAAGTAACTTATGTATTTATATTGATGTTCACTTTATTTTGACTGATAGACTGTTACTGTACGATTTACCATTCCCGAGTTATACCCAGTCTATTAATTACTGTTCTCCTTATTCACAGCCACATTTGGACAAATCTTGTACATATGTTATTTTCTACAATATGGTACGATGTGGTCTGTCTGTTTGGTATATAAACCCAGTTAGTTTTAAAAATAATGATTAATATTGCAGAGGCTATAATTGGTGTTCTGGACTTAACTGGCTGGGCTAGGCAGAAAGCAGGACTGTTAAGTACTCAAGACTGCTCATACGGCTTATGTGTATCATTGCACTGATCGATTATTCACTCCTCTCTAATTGGCGGGAACCAGCACGTTCATATATGCAATCAGGCACTCGATATAACAACTGCCAGGACACACACTCAATCGATATAACAATGTTAATATTCTCTTGCTTATACTAATACAGTGTAGTAACTTGAAACAATCCATATACGTCTTAGCTCCTACGTGACCTAGAACTGATCAACTAACATGTGAAAACATCAGAACATCACATATTACAACTGCATCTCTGTGCTAATGTGGTATGTCAACTAGAACTGATGTACGTACGTACGAAGTTCTACGTTGTAACTGACTGACTAACTAACTGATATGACAGTTAAGATACACATATATTAATAAATGCAATGAAATGATGATACACATTTAAGTATATTGAAATTTACTTTGTTTACAGTTTTTGTTTGTTGTTCTTTTTTTGTTGATTTATTATGTGAATGTAATTTTAAGCCACGTTTCTTTTTAGTTTTAATTGAATTAGAATGTTGTAAATTTGACTGAGATACTGTGATCATTGAATCAGTAGTATTAGTAGTAGTAGTATTAGTATACTTTAATTTTTTCTCCTCTTTTTTTTTAATTTTCTGTTTTGATTTATTATTATTGTTATTATGATTGAGAATAGTACTAAAAGTATTTTCATTTGTAGTCGATGAAATAGTTACCCCAGTAATAGAATTGGTAACTATTGGATCGTTTATGCCGTTAGTGGTTTGCTGTAAATCCATAGAGTTTATCGCATTCAATGAAGAGGAGTTCTTTTCCATTGATTGATCATTTAATGTATTTTGATAGGTGGTTAATGTTTTAGGCGAAGTATTTAAAATATTAAGTTGGTTTACTTTGTCTTTTTCTTCTTGTTCGACTTCTTCTTTATCTTTTCTACCTTTTTTATGTTTTTTTGATCGAGATAAACCTTTAAAACCGGATTTTGATAATTTTGATGATTTTTGATTTGGATTAGAAGACATTTTGATTTGAACTGAAATATAAGAATGAAGATTAAATAAATTCATTATCGCAATAACTGTAAGATGGTTTATTGAATCATGAAACATTATCATAGTTGAAAACATGAGACAATTGAAGCTAGACTACCAAGGAAAACCTGGAAGCACTAGACGGCTGTTTCGTCATATTGTGGGAATCCTCAGCAGTGCGCATCTACGACCTCGCCTCGCGAGATTCGAACCCAAGACCTACCAGTCTCGCGCCAGAGCACTTAACCGATAGAGCACTAAGCCGGCATCCGATAGTGTTGATATCTAACTCCAACCAATCCACGAAGTTTGAGCAACCGTTAACCAATTGTCTTCAGTGAGTTCCTTTCTCACAACAGACGTGGTTTGAACTCTCACAATAGGACGAAACGACCGTCCAGTACTTCCATGTTTTTTTAGTGGTTTAGCTTCGATTGACTCACGCTTTCAACTATGAAAATACTAAATCTCCACAAAAACCCCTTCTGATTAAATTATATTACATGTACAAAAAGAATTTTATTAATGACAAGATGTAAGAATATAATTGGGATTGAATTAAATTAAATTCATAATACAGAAGGAGGATTATAACATAAAACTTAAGTTCTTCAAAAAGGTTATTTACTGTTTAAATTGTATGACCACCTTGTTTTGTAAAAATTCATTCAATTGCTTTTGTGAAACTATTTATATTAGCCGAAACTCTAAGACTTTGTATTTTTGTGCAAGTGAACACTTTCCAGCGTAATCAAGTGAAGATATAGTCAAGATAGTAGATAGCCGAATAATAATCTATGTAGTGCAAATCGATCATAGTGCACGTATAGGTCAATCGTTCTTGATAACTTGTTGAGTTGGTAATTTTCTGAATAAGTCGGTGAACTAGCGGAGTCCCATGTCAGTGGTCTAAAGATGATGTACTTAACATGAAGTCTGATTATACTTTGAAGATATTATGCAAGGAGTATAACCCAGTGAAATAAACTTTCAAAGAGACAAAAGATAGAGACATGAAGAATTCAGAGTGGATGCACCTTCGCCATTGCAAACGATTTTGGGCCATGTCATTCAAGGTCCCCAACCAGGTAGTTTACACCTACCAACATGGCTCAGTCTAATTGTCAGTGACTTCATGGATTTGTGCCACGTTTTTGGTTTGGCCAACCCTAGCTTTTTTTCAACTTACTCCTACACCATAAAACATTGCACGTCGGTGGTTGGGCATAAGTGATATTGATTTATTTTGAAGTGATTGAAAAGGTCAATTGACAGCTCTAAGTACCTAGTGTAACTTCTTTGTCAGAACTCTCTTGATCCTAAACTATCTAGAAATTGACAGATATCATTATATCCCTCATGTATTATGTTGGCATCGATCACTAGTACAATACACCAATAAGACTTTGCAAAGATGTCAAAGATAAAATAATAATTGTGATTCATGTATCTAACGTGGCAGTGTTATTCATTCATATTTGGAACCTAGTGTTGGAAACCAGTTTGATAACAACATCTTACATTTGAAAAGTTAAAAACGAATTTCGGAAATTTTGGGATTGTACCTCAATGTGTTTAGGAATTTCTGAATGTAAACTGACCTAAAGGGATTAGGTATTATTTCGGTAAAAAAAAACACTTTCCTCAATAATAATCATTATTATGAAGGTGAACATAATTCAGGGGAAGCGAAAAGTTTCAGCAAAGGTCATCTGACACCAAAATTAAGGAAAGAGGGATTAAATTTATGACAGTTTTTGAGTTCAACGATGCATCTTTTCAATATCCTCTTTCCATCAATAAAAATTTCCACAACGTTGGAGTTAAGTATTAAGAGTTGGATGGAGATATGATTAACATAAATTTGAGGACAATTTTCAATGCTACAAGATGTTGTAAAGTAGCTTTTTTCATAGTTTTAAAACTTTTAACCAGTAAATACTCACGAATTCGCATACAGGGTTAAAATCTTGACCTTGATGTCTAGAGGAAGAGATAAATACAATATCATCAAGATGATAATCAGTTTGGGCACCTGGGCAGTATCACTGCCCACACAAAACTAATGAGATTTGTGTGGCGCATATGTATATGGTGCTCCTTTGTACCAATATTTATGTGTTCAAATAAATAAAAAATAAGATGACAATCAACAGAAATTCAATGATTCATGAGAGGCGGTGGAGATTTGTAGCTTAGATAAAGTTTTCTTCTCTTGGCTGTATGGTTTCGTCGTGATGATTACATTGTTCTTCCGAACAATATCATTAGTATAGACTTCTGCTAAAAGTAAGGTATTCGAAATTCTCCACATACGACTCACCTAGTCCTGTCGATCTTGATTGGCTATTGTGGACATACATTAGACAGGAAAAATGTTGGAATCTCGGATAGAGGTAATACTGAAAACATCAGAGAAGTTTGCACTCAGGTCAATCAGTAATCAACAAACGCATCGAAATCAACTATATCCATGAATTAATCAGGAAAATCACGAACAAATATAGGATCAAGAATCAGATCAAAGCGATACGCAATCTAAATAAAGTAGACATTGACATGTTAAAGGTCAACAATAATCAATCAAGATCGAGATTAACAGGACAGAGTGAGTCATATGTGGAGAAATTTGAATAATTCACTTCTACCAGAAGTTTATGCTGATGATATTGCTCTAAAGAACGATGAAAACATCACGACCAAACCATCCAAATCTGAGAACAAAACTACACTTAAATGTTGTTGCCATATGATTTCCTGACTAATCATCAAAATTATTTAAAACTGTCAAACCAGTCTCTAGGTGGTACATACTACTGTTCAATCAATTTTCCGTAATCACATTTAACTTTTAGAAATATATGAGATGACGAAACGTGACTGTGATCGATCACAGTGTGGCAGATGTGTCTATTGTTCATTGTCCCCTACGATCTTGGATTCTCATATACATCTTTTGAAATCGCATATATCCTCATGCTAAATGTTGCTTATCACTACAATCACTATGTTTACTACTCTATATTTTTCTTGATAATTTCATCTCGCTATACAGTAGGGATAAATTGAACCGATGTACATATATGATTAGTCCTAAGTTGATCATGACTGACTGATTGATAAAAAATATACAGCGAATTAAGACTAGAATCTCAAAATGAACAATTAGGACTATTATCAGAAGAGGTTTTGTGGAGATTTTTGTAATTTTATACAGTTGAAAACATGAATCAATTGAAGGTAGACCACTATGGAAAATCTGGAAGCACTGGTCCTGAGTTGGAGTCCCACGAGGCGGGGTCGTGGATGCGCACTGCTGAAGAGTCCTACAATAAAACGAAACGGTCATCAAACAGTATTTCCACGTTTCTCATAGTAGTCTAGCTTCAATTGACTCATGATTTCAACGATATAACAATTAGGATTATTATTAAAAGATGGAAATCATAGTAAACTAACCAAACAACAAAACATATCAATCATACAAATGACATCAAAAACAGGATATCAATAAACTAATTATGAAAATTTTTATGTATTTAACAAAATATGTATATGTGTACTATTTCGACATAAAAAGGAGGGGGGAACATGAAAAATTACAAATAATAAGTGAAGAGAAAGAGAAAAGTATAAGAAAGAAACACCAATGGGTGGATGGATGAAGGAGAGAATTCAGTGAGAGTATTTCCAAATTAAACTTTCAAGGTAGATGAAATAAGAAAGAACAAGGGAGAGAGAAAAAGGCAATCAAAACGAGTAGGTTCGAAAGTGATTATTATTACTTTTCAACTAGTGTTTACACATGCCCAACAATCAGATTAAAATTAGTTCAGTACAATTAAGTTTGATGTTCGTTAAGCATATGCTTTGAGTATGTCTATGACAGAGATTGAAAGAAGGTAGAGGAGGCGAGGATATCAAAAGAATACCTTACAGAAACGGATCTTATCAAACAAAAGATGTATACATGATGAAAAATAGAATGAAGAGATACAGAGAAATAGCTACTTTCTTCGCCTCTTTTTTTTCTTCAAGAGTATATATTACACAACAGTAGGATAAGGTAAGTTGTATTGATAAAGGGGGGGAGGAGTTAGTAAGATGAGAAATAAATAAATAAACTAGCACACAATCAAACAAGTTTACAAGATGAAATGATGAATATAGAGGAGAAGAATAAGAGGGAATAGAGCTAATGGATCCTAGACTTTACACACATCATCTGCGGAACACATAAACACACTACTTAATTAGAAAAACCATGCAAAAAAAAGTCACCGATAAATAGGGGAAAGGAAGAATGTAGAATTTTTAGAAATAAAATAATCACTGTTCGTTCCATCAAGATAAGCGCATTTGTAGGCGCACAACAGAGACTTTATTTTAACTAGATGAAACGGAAAAATAAAAAAGAGTCCTTTGAAATTTTACAGATAACAAACAACCTGTATGGTATGAGAGAGATCGTCACTTCATGAATTCCAAAAAAATAGCATATAACAAGACTCTATGTGTATATTTATGTATAAATATAAATTCAAGAAAGATAGTTGAATGACTTGATAAGATAGAGGGGGGTAGAGGGAGGATGGGGCTAGCTAACACCGTTGATATGCCGATCCAACAGTACTGAGTGATGAAAGCATTCACATAATGACAAATGACAAGATAATGAAGTAATATTTCTACTGTTGACGGTGATGATGACGATGATTTGAAAAAAAGTAGATTGTTGACCGGCACTTCTTCTTATGTGTTGTGATTATTTTTAATATAGACCAAATTGCAAATTTGAAGGTGTAATCAAATCCGATGATGTACTGGAAGCCAATTGATGACTAATCCATAATTCGTTTATACGTTTATATTCAGATTCCACAAGAAATAGAGGATTTCCACGGCTGGATATTTAAAAAACAAACAAAATAAAACGATGAAGGCAAGACATTAGGTAGCATGAAAAGAGTGTTCTGTTCATTTTCACTATTTGTACAGTCTAGTTTACGTAAGGTGATTAAACATTGTACCACGTTCTAATTCAATTACTTCACTTCACGTAATTCAATCTAGTCAGTCGGATAGTGTCACTAATCCTAATACAGACAAGTAGTATCCACCGAATCAGTTGATTATGTAGCAGTAAAAGAATTTACTTGGGTTTTCCTATATGACTGTCAACTATATTACTGATGTAGTGTTTTTTGTGATTGACTAACATTTGGCATTTTAAAACACTACAATATGTCAGTCTTGAGTGTTGTCAGATGTATGAGGGCAGTTATCACTTCCCGGTTGCCCATACCGTGGAAGGGTTCTATTAGAGGTACCTGAAAAAGAAGTTGGATTAGTGCTGTTCTTAACAACCTGGGAGCGTGACCGCAGTGCACAAGGGACAACTGCTTGAGGTCGGTCACACACGACCTTTTTGTGGGTTGTCTTTGTGTTAGCTCCGTTCTTCAAAGGACCTTACCGCCGGAGACGGATATCCGTGGGATAAGGCGAGGTGTACATTTTTAGGGTCGACCTTCTCTAACCCCACTCCTCCTTGTGTGAAGGCAGCATCGCTGTTATACTGGTTGTCTGAAGGAAACACCTTACTGTCGTCACACCTCTGTACAGTCAGCAGTACGACTTTGCCATCGGACATTGGGTTCGCTGCTTTTAGTCTTACCGCTCTTCAACCGACCTGTCTGGCATGGTAGGACCTTGAGGAACGATTGTTCCAGCCAATATAGCTCGATTGGTTAATCTCGATAGGCTAGCCCGACCACCACGTCAAGGTAGCAGCAACAGTCGGGTGTAAAATCACATCAATTCATAGTACTATTAATGACAAGATTTTGCAATTTCAACAGTGGTGTTTTATTTCAAAAGTTACCTTAACTTAAAAACAAAGTAAGAATTACTGTTCTTTAGATTAACTATGTGGTTAAAACACGAGAAATGGAAACGTATCCAATGGGTGTTACAGTTTAGTATTTATGCAAGAATTGATATAACTATTTAGCTGCTAAATGACTGAATACAATAACATCATTTTTCGAAAATCAGTAGAATAAAAGAAAACGCGATGGCGTTTGAAGAGGACGGTACTGGGTTCGAGTCCCAGAGTGAACATTAACTCTGTGATGCAGGTACATCCAACTGACGAGTCCCAAATGGGACGAAACGCGCATCCTGGAATCCATTGTTAACCACTATCCATCACTGCTCACAGAATCTATGTTGTTCCAGTCCTTTATTTTTTAAGTGATTACATTTATTTATTCTCAGATATAAACAGTTTAATGTGTTTTAGCATAAGTACAATATTCATTTATTGGTAGTAATTATAATATCGACAAAAAAGTGGATTGTAATAGATAAGAACAAAAAAATTAAACACAAACAAACTACCGTAAATCAGGATCAGTTTCACCAAAAGAATCTCGATACGGTGCAGGCATCTCAGTAATTCGTCTTGCTTGATCCGACAATAAAATTACACGACATGAATGAATACGCAGTAATAGACTATAACCGGAATGACAACGTCTAGAATGAGCTTGCATACGATAGACAGCAAACTCTTGATTATTATTACTACTACTACTGTTATTATTGTTAGAAATTATTGTTGTACTTGTACCATTTCCAAATATACTTGCATCAGTTTTTTGTTCAAATTGTCGACAACCATAACAGAATAAACAAGCTAAATGTCCACAAACAAGGCATAAACTTAAATCACTATGTGTATGACCTTCTGCATGACAGCTATAACGAAGAAAAAAGAAGACAAATTCAAATAGGGAAAATAATTTCCAAATAAATAATAAGTGTGTGGTAGAGAAATTGATTAATTCTATAAACTGATACGATTAATGTGAATGAATTGGCCGATAAACTATGTACATTGATCAGTAAAATACTTAATTTTTATATAAGTAAAAGGTTGGGTAACTCCGACTGTAGCTCCTCTGGGGGTTACTGCCGGTCCCAAGCCCGGGTAAAGGAGGAGGGTTGGGCATGGGGTTAGCGACCCCATCCCGTAGAAAATCAACTCGCTAAAAAAACGCTAACCAGAAAAAATCATTCAAACCATTTAAACTCTGCCCTGGGAGTTAAAGGAATAATTATGACGTCTCATGATGAAAGCCGAGTTCATTCGGAAGTCATGAGGCCGATGCACCTTCTTACAATCAGAGCGACAATTTTTTATAGGTACATGGAATGTCCGGACAATGTGGGAGACCGGAAGAGTCTTCCAAATCGCTGCAGAAATGAGAAAATACAACCTGGAAGTGCTTGGAATCAGTGAAACACATTGGACGCAGGTTGGACAACAACGACTGTCTTCAGGAGAACTTCTGTTATACTCCGGTCATGAAGAAGAAAATTACCCACATACACAAGGAGTTGCATTGATGCTGTCCAGAAAAGCACAAAATGCACTTATTGGATGGGAATCTCATGGACCAAGGATCATCAAAGCCTCCTTCAAAACAAGGAGAGAGGGCATTACAATGAACGTCATCCGATACTATGCGTCTACCAACGACTACGATGAAGACGCTAAGGATCAATTCTACGATAGGCTGCAGTCGATCGTCGAGAAGTGCCCAACCAAAGACCTGACAATTCTGATGGGAGATCTCAATGCCAAGGTTGGAATGGACAACACTGGATACGAAGACGTTATGGGACGACATGGACTAGGAAAAAGGAACGAAAATAGGTAAGCCCTCACTTAGAATCCTGAGGGTTAAAGGAGAAGAGAAAGACCAAAGAATACATTACGCCGAAAAAGAGACAGATATGAAACAAATGAACAAAAATTGAATAGAACTAGAAAGGAAGGTCCAGGACAGAAGGGTTGGAGAATGCTGGTCGGCGGCCTATACTCTTTTGGGAGTAACAGGCGTAAGTAAGTAAAACGTAGGCAGCAGACTTTACACTAACCATGGTTCATGGATAACATACGAAGTGCCAAAACAACAGTTCCACATTGAAACACTGAAAACGTAAACGGGATACATTCATCTAATTTGAAGAGTTTGACTTTTTGCCTGAAGACCTTTATAGAGTATATGGGAGTATAAGTGTTAAAAATATAAGAGACTAGAGATTTAAAAATTAAGGAAACATTGAAGAATCTACATCATACAATCAATCAAATTGAATTGTTGAATAAATGTGCCATGTTTTTAGTAGCATAAAACTGACTGACTGACTGATATCCCATTTACCCATTTAATACGATCGGAAAAAAAGTCGGACGTCAAGTTCATTCAATGAATAGAAGCATTACTGATATTTTATTACGTGACAGATTAAAATAGAAATTAGGACAATGAGTAGGATTTATGCAACAAATAATTGTGTTAGCCTTCAAATGACTAAAATAAGTCATTAACAAATTACAATGTGATTACATAGACTGTAATTACAAAGGCTATATTTTCCAAAAAAAAGCAGAACCTTTCTAAACTATAGACAAATGTGACAGAATATTAAGTATTCATTCTATCATAGTCAGAAGTATATGCAATCAGTTTTAAAGTCTCTATCTCACAGTATTATTTGAACAATATACCAGTCATTATTACTAAATCAAAGGGTAACTGAATGCACTATGCCCAATTTTCCATCCTTTAACCATCCTATTATAGACTCGTCAGTGAGTCCCGCTGTTAGCTACTATCTAACAGTGCTTAAAATGTTTGTGACTCAATATGAATAACAAGTCAATCTGCATAGGATGTATACTTGCCAAAAGAGAAGTGTAGATTGACATATCTTAGAGTGCCTGGTCCTACGTTGTAGCTGACTGACTGATATCTTAAAGTACGATCGCTTTTCTATACCATTATGCTAGCCAGCAGAATAACACAGATAAGATCAATACACTCGGGGACTACAAAATGTTGTCAAGAAAGAATACCGATGTACTGATAATGATAAAACATCCACATCAACTGAAGGCAAATAGAACTTTCAAGGAACGGGTAATAGGCTATGAAGGTCTAGAAAAAGTATACAAATGGACAGAAGCCTGAGAGACACATCATTTTAAAAGTAGATGATAAGTGAGCCATTATAAACGAAGTGAGCTATTGAATAAAGTTGATCATGAACAACTTCAAGGTGAAAGCCTACATGTCCTTGTCCGGATTAGGAAAGCAAACGTAGATGTATCTACGTTTTGTGTACATGATACTTTGATTCGACAACTAAACCTTCCAACCTATTTCAAACTTCTCATATGCATAGTTTGTTATATCTTTCGGATTGTATATCGTAACTGAGTCGAACTACTGAACACAACAGATATATACATGAGCGGCCTATGCTCTCCTACGAGGGGTGATAGGCGTAAGTAATTAATGAAAAAGAATAAAAACTTTTTAACAAAAAATGAGAAGACCTACTCCATATCTGTAGCTAATAACAGTAAATTAGTATATTCTTTTGGCAAGTGAATTAAATTTGGTAAATGTGCATGTGGATAAGGGATTAAATCATGTATTATTGATAACGTATTATCTGTTTTGTCGTTGGTTACATAACGATTGATTAATGATTGATAAATTTGACGACTTAATGACTGACGACCAGTTAAACACCAACTTGTTATTAAACGTGCTAACCATAATGATTCAGATAACAAAGAAATATGTAATAATTTTTCAGGTTGAACAGAATTTAATGAGTTTGTCGATGATGATGTTGTTGATGCTGTTGTGTTTGGTGGTGATACATTGAACGAGTTGGATTCAGGTGAGGTTAACAAGATTAACAGATCACTAGGCGTTAATGGTAAGCCTAAGTACGCTAACAGTAGACTATGTTCATTCATAGTATCTGGAAAGAAAGAAACGAGAGATTGAAGAAAATGAAGGAGTAAATATAGATGAATGATAACTAAGTAATGACTAATAACATATTGATGGAGTTTCATAGCGTTAATCGAATTCTACCGATAAAGTTGTTGTAGTCTGAGTGACGCAATAGCTCAATGCTACAGGACCTTGGTGGAAGTTTGAATAACTTTATGTCAATGCCTAAAACTGAAAAAGTGTGAATCGGGTTCAAATTCCATAGAGAGCAACAGTCCACCTAAGAATATAAAAACATAGGCGTTTCTGAAGTGCGCTAACGAACACGAAATCTAAGTTCAAATTATCCCAACTATCTACCCCAAACTACTTCCAAAAACGAGAATAATTACTGAATAATCCTAGTGTGTTTTATTTTGATACATATGAATTGGGATTAGCTCAATTTAAAGACAAATTTCGTATTACAACTGATATTATAGCTTCTATATTTTCATCGATAAGAAAACCATGTGCTTCAGTTTGGGCACCCGGCAGTATCCCTTCCCTCACATAAATCTAATGATGAAGTGTGGCACATATGTATTCCGTGCCCCCTTGTACTGATGTTTATGTGTTTGAATAAATAAATAAATCGATAAGTTATATAAAAAATAATGATCAACCAGCCGGAAATATAATGAAAAATAAGTCCGAAAAAGAGTTTTATTTTCGGGGAATTCATTTCTAAAGCTGTACAATCGCATATATAAGCAAAGATAGATAGTGGCTAACAATGGATTCTAGGACGCGCGTTCCGTCCTATTTGGGACTCGTCAGCTGGATGTACCTGCATCTCGGAGTTGATGTTCACTCCGGGACACGAAACCCATACCTTTCGCTTTAAACGCCATTGCTTTATCCACTCACCTACTGAGTCCTGGCAGCCAGTTGCTTGTGAAATGGGGTGAAAGTTTAAATTCAAACAAACAATACTAAGTGAATTTACAATTATTAATCGTTTCATAGTGATCAAAGTATACTATTTCTTTGTTACGACGAAATCATCCACTTAAGCTGTACATTCGTACTTATAGCTGTATGGCATATATATATATATATATATATATATATATATATATATATAGCCATCACACGGAATCCTGAAAGCCATAGGAGAAGAGGAAGACCAAAGAACATATTACACTGAGAAATGGAGACAGACATGAGAAGAATGAACAAAAATTGGATAGAACTAAAAAGGAAGGTCCAGGACAGAGTGGGTTGGAGAATGCTGGTCGGCGGCCTATGCTCCATTGGGAGTAACAGGCGAATGTAAGTAAGGTGAATATATATGAGTCTATAGAAGAATAGAAAAGATTGCATTATAAAGTGATTCGAGAATCCAAATATCAAACAAGGTTACATAACAATCTGATGGTTAGAAAAAAAAGAAGGATGAAAATAATTTATGGGTCAGAATTATGAAAGATAATTGTCCGCTTGACAGATATGGAGAAAAACGAAAAACAGAAAGGTCATAATAACAAAAATTGAATAATAATCATGAAAAATACCTAAAACATACTACTGAAGGAACTTAAGACCAAGGAATGATGAGAGGTTGGACATAGAGTTCGAATTAAAAGTGATTCTAGGCACATGTCCTGATTCTGTAGAATTTTTCATCAGTCTTACATGTCACGTGAAAGTTATTTTTCAATGGTAACTAACTAAGTAATCCAATAGCGAACAATATGGTTTGGAAAAAAAACAACTTGGAAGAAAGAATATATGCGGATAAAAACAAAGTATAAGTATCTACCTACCTGAACTGGTTGATTGATGCAAATCACTTGGCACATTAACACCTGTAATTTTATGTATAACAAAAGCAGCAATACGTAGAAATGGTAAACAATTAGCACGTAGAAATAAACCTAATGATTGAGCCATAATTTGTGGATCATAATTATGATTGTCATCATTTATAGAAAATGATGAATTCATTGTAGAAAGACCGGATAGATCACGTAATAAACGCCATACTTCAATTAACTTGACAAAATGAAATAAGAATAAAAACATAAAATCGATACTGAAAAATTCTGGAAATACAGCATACACACAATATCAAAAATAACAAAATTAAGAAAAAAAATCTAAATTTTCTAAAGAATAACGAAATATAAGCATGACCTTTGTAAATGATTGAAATCAAACTAAAGTTTTAGGTAACACGTAAGAATTGACAAAGATGTGGATTGATACAAAATTTGCTATGTTGTATCCCGAAGAGAATTGTGAATGGTAACTTTGAGGACTATTTATGGACCAAAATGATAAGTATATTTCCAATTGTATAATTGTTAAGTAACTAAACTATTCATATTCGTGTTCCTCTTATCATAAGCTTTATTTTGACCTATAGACTATTATGATACAATTTACCATTCTTGAGTTATCCCTAGTCTATTGATTACTGTTCCCCCTATTCACAGCCACATTTGACTAACTCTTGTACATATGTTATTTTCTATTTGATGGTACAATGTGGTCTGCCTGTTTGGTATATAAACTCAGTATGTTTGTGAATAATGATTCATATTGCAGAGGCTGTTATTGATGTTCTGCACTTAACTGACTGGGCTAGGCAGATAGTAGAGTCGATACGTACTCTAGACTGCTCGTACGGTTTTCGTATGTCACTGTCCCAATCTATAATTTGCTGTTCTCTGATTGGCGGTTTTATCACGTCATACATTAACAAGTCATCCACTAGGCCACATGATATAACACGCTACACTTCAAATAATTATAAAAAGTGGTAGGGTTCGAAATAAGTACACTAACAGAAAATAAGAAATGATAGCAAGTTCAACATTCAATTAAGAATGAATGAAACTATGACCTTTTTAGGACAGGTTATTTCAATTCACCCGGTGTACATTATATTGCAAATACCCGTCAGGTATCAACACGAAACAACTATGAACGTACTACTTAGAAAAGTCAAGAATTTTTTCTTCAACTTAAAATGTTCTCACACGGCTGTAGTTTTTTACTCTCACTCAGAAAAGTCCTACTCACTCATTTTAATGATGTATTTACAATATAGACGAAGGAAGAAGCAAAAACCTACCAACTAAATCAGGTTTGTACAGACAAAAGATTCAACTAGAAGAGTTGGAAAACGATGATTTCACATCCAGAGAGAATAAATGACACATAAAGCTATTTTGGTTACTGGTTAGTATGATAATGAATAGCCCGATTTCGTTCTGCTGCCTTGAAGATTGACTCCTTTACATCAAAGGGTTGAAGTTTGGTCACTTAAGAAAACAATTTACCTCTATTTGAGCACCCGACAAGTATCCCAAGGCACATATAATTAGCGTACAAAGAAATTGTTGAGGATGTCAAATCCCCAGAACTTACTTGCTAAATGGCTTAGTTTTGTAATTTATTTTGAAAATTTGAATTTAGCTGTTTTCGCGCAAAACGTGCTCTTTTTACCTTCACGTCATATTTCCCACCTGTAAACTATCTTAGACGCTATTGGTCCATTGTTTCTTTGTGTGTGCTATTTAATAATGATGCTCAAGGACAAATTGTTGCTGTGTAAATGCGCTCAACTTTTTCTTTTATTCGATTGCTTGTACTCGGCTGCTTACGGAATACATATATATTCCCCTACTTGCCTTGGACTTCTTCATCTAGTTAGCGGGGCCTGGGACAACAGATTAGAATAGCTTATCGTGTCATAGTGTCATTGGCTTTCGTTCGTTACCGAAGAATCGATTTAGCATCAAGCATATCAGAAATTTTATTTAATTTATGAGAAAATTAGAAATAATAATACTCAGTTAGCTACAACGTAGGACCAGGCACACATATGCATCGGTTCAAGTTCACATACCTCGTTAGCCCGACCGTTTTTGCTACTATGACGTGGTGGTCGGGCTTGCCTATTGAGATTAACCAATCGAGCTATATTGGCTGGAACAATCGTTCCTCAAAGTCCTACCATGTCAGACAGGTCGGTTGAAGAGCGGTAAGACTAAAAGCAGTAAATCCAAGGTCCGAAGGCGAAGTCGTACTGCTGACTGTATAGAGGTGTGACAGCAGTGAGGTGTTTCCTTCACACAACCAGCATGACAGCGATGCTGCCTTCACACAAGGAGGGATGGGGTTAGAAAAGGTCGACCCTAAAAATGCACACCTCGCCTTATCCCACGGATATCCGTCTCCGGCGGTAAGGTCCTTTGAAGAACGGAGCTAACACGTCAAAAATCCCCCACAAAAAGGACGTGCGTGACCGACATCAAGCAGTTGTCCCTTGGGCACTGCGGTCACGCTCCTACGTCGTTAGGACCAACACTAATCCAACTTCTTTTTCAGGTACCTCTAGAAGAACCTTTCCACGGTATGGGCAACCGGGAAGTGATAACTGCCTTCATATCTCTAACAGCACTCAAGACCACTTCAATAACAATACTAGTGACTATAATTATTCACTAACCTGAGGTGTATTCCAATGAGCCGATTTTGTATAAGCATCATTCCATGTACATGAATCCGGTATAAGTTTATGCTTTTTTAAATAATTTAAACAATCCATATTAGGATTCCATGCTAATAATGTTTGTACTAATAATGCTGTATAACATAAACGTAATAAATGTGATTCATGACTATCACCAATTGGTTGACGTATTCTTCCTTCATCACAAGCCAATAAATGAGCACCCAATGAAGCTGCACCAGATTCAAATGTGATATCAGCATCAGCTTCACTGGCTAAACGTGTACACTGACAATCGTGAACATTGAATTCTTCAAGACCTGGACGTAAATGTAAGAGGCTGATAAACAATGAAGTGATATCCACCTAGGGAAAAAAACAACAGAAAATAGTCCATACATTTGAATTTTTTGGATAATTTTTGTATAAAACAAAACAGTACGACAGAGACGAATACTTTGAGCGGTACAGTGAAGTGATTTTGATATTTCTGTAAAGCTTCATAATCCCATCACAAGCCGACATACTATTTACGGATCAGTTAAGGATAAACATCCGCTTTCGCCTCATCAATGCATATCTATAAACTTACTTGCCACACAAAGCGATCACTTTCTGAAAGCATCTCAAAATACTACCCGGAGTGGCTTTTAAAAAGAGAATGCAAAATAATCAAGAGTTCAATACAGGAGAATTTGATCATCTCTGAACAAGTTGCTTTAAAAGAATTTTCATTCAAAATAATCTATACAATCAAAGGGACTGGATTGAGGGGAGATCGAATCAAACACTTATGCATAGCTGACATGTGACGATCCACTCGTTCACCCCCGAACTCTGAGTACTTATTTATTTTTAATTATTTAAACACATAAATATTGGTACAAGGAAGCACCAGATACACATGCGCCACACAAATCTCATTCCATTTGCGTGACGGGTGTGATACTGCCCAGGTGCCCAAACTGAAACAGGTGGTTTTTTTAGGAGGCCACACCCGGAGACTTCGACCTAAAGATCTAATCCACAAGGCAGTAGAGCATCGTAAGGATATGCAGTCCCATGGTAGCCAGTGACCAACAATTGGTTTATACGCCATTTGTTCCTTCAGGATACTAGAGCCCATGTGCACCATTGGTATGGAATCAGGGTTTTCCGACTCCCCTAGGTGAACCTTCCGTGTCCACCAACCCGGTTAAGGCGCCGGACATTCGCTTTTCGTCCTCTCGATTCCGTAAACAATACCTCCGACACGAGAAGGCAGTGAGTAGGACTTTCCTTTCAGGGGCTATATATTTGCGTGGCCATGTGAGAGCATTTCGAGAGGGAGAGCAGACTCTCCCCACTCTCAGCCGTACCAGGGCATTTGAGGGCTTTATTAGCTATAAAACCTTTTTAATCATGCCATGAAAGTCGGTCGAGCTTCGTGGGTTGGCATATGTAACAAATGTCCCAACCACCTCACTTAATGAAGATTTACCACCTCATCAGTCGACTTGTCAATCTTACCGAGTACTCCATTTCTAACCGAGGCCTTGCCTACTCCGTGGTCCCAAAGTACGTGACCAGCGCTTCGAAGACACCTATGGTCGAATGCTATTAAAATACGAATATCCTCTATTCATAGTGGCCACGTTTCACACTCACATATTAGGAAGGTTCACACTGCTATACAGTAAATTCGTCTTCTGTTTAGCAGATACGACTCAAGAAAAAATATATATTAGTGAAATGAAAAACACGAAAACGCTGTGGCAAATTTCGAATCTTAGCGAACTCTATTCTTCTCCAAACCCCTGATCGTTATGCGATCTTTTGATAATTGAAATCTCGTATCATTTTGTGATGCAACCTTTGCTATGTTTCTATAGAGTTATATATCCATCGAACAACTATGTCTGGCTTATATAAATAATTTCATTGAAAAGAAAAATCCCTTTACTAAATTCTCTTCACTTTTATTTCACGTATGTTCTGAAGTCTTCCATACATGCATTGGTTTTATAAATCAATCATGGTTTTTTACGGAGCATGCGAACAAAGTAATCTAGTCTATTGATGAAGTGTTTAATTCACAGAGGGATAGAATACTAGAGAGAGAGAGAGGGGGGAGAGCATAAAGTAACCGACTAAAACAAGCCTGCACAAATTGTCATAGTTAAAGTAGAAAAGAAGGTGGAATCGATAGTAATTACAAAAATCATTGGTGAAGTAAGCATGGTAACGGTGAATGAAATATTAATATAAATTTATAATCATCACAGACCTATCTCAGCTGAGATGCCGATAGAAAACAAGAAGCAATGATAACTGTTTTGTCCAAGTATAGAACCTATCTGTAGTGCGCACGCACGAAACCCCAAGGAATCGATTTGTGAAAAATACCAAGCAAAAATTAACCATCTGTCTATGAAACTGTTCTCATCAATACAACACAAGGCGGTATCAAAAGTCAAAAAAAGCATAAGCACGTGGATGGGAACAATAGAAGTGTTAAACGAATACTTAATAAGTTCAAAACAAAAAATGAAAATCTTGCCTAAATGAACGATGATGATAAGGATGTGGTGATACAAAAAGTTTAAGTTTAGAAGTGAGGAACTTACATCCCAAAGAAGACTAGTAGAAGGCTGACTGTTCATAGTTACAGAATGTGAAGAACAATGCATTTTAGACATAGGAGACATTGAATCATGTTGATTTATTTGTTGTTGCTGTTGTGAAGAATCCGTTGATATGCCAGGATTACCAATAGTGTAATTTTCCAATGGTGGAAGTAATAAACGCCACAGGAAACGAGCATCTTCTGTTGCTGCAACACATACAGCTGATTCAGCTACGTCTAATATAGTTGGTGGATTATTTAAACGACAACCCTTTGGAACTGAAATGTTTTCAAACAGACAAAATAAGATGATATAGTAAAATTTCTTCAAGAGAAGAACCATGTATAATGTAATATGTATTGCATTTACTACTACTAGAAGTTCAAATTCGAGCCACAGTTTTGTTGTAGAAGCCAAGTCAGTTGTTTGGGAAGAAATGAAAAGATAACTGGAAACGGACTGTTTTAACAACCAAGCTATTAATTCTAATGTTATCTTCCAGTAGTATTGACGAAAATATTGGCGAGCGAGCTTCTTGATGTTCAACCCGAGAAGGTCGTGTATCTGGGTAGTTGTGTGAGTGTTAGTAGTGGTGTTGTGACTGGTGAGATCAATCTATACAAAGCCAGAGAGGTAATATGCCGATTTCGGTTGTATTTGATGTCGTCATGTTGGTCTGGCTGCAAAAAGTCGAGTCTACAACGCGTCGACGAGAGGATCTTGGCTTTATAATTCCAAATACTGGTCTCTCCAAGTTGAGAGTTAGTCTGTTCATGAAATGGTGCCGAGGTATAAAAGACAGCTGTATAAGAGCAGCATCTATCTATGTCTTTGGTTAGAGTCCTAGAGATAGTGCAACGTAATGGTTTGAGATGTTATCAGACATGGCTCAAAAAAAGTCAGTGGTGATCCTGCAGTTGTCGTTACTTACACATTCCTTTTAAGCGAAAATGAAAGAAATTCCCTTAACTAGAAGTCTTTCATAATTGTATTTTCAACTAAACAGTATTGCCTATTGCAAATTATTTTTGCTAAATTACTATTTGACTACACTCTCTCTGATCCTTTATATTTTTCGTTATGTCATCCCTTTATTTTATGTTTGTCTTAGATGCCCAGTTGTACCAGGATGTGTGTGAATCAAATAAATAAAATCAAAAAATGACATCGACTCAAGTAACCTTTCGTTGACTGATACAGAGTGTCACAACTTTCTCTGATCTAGACTTTATCCAGTGTCGAGCTACTGACTGACGTGAAGCTTACGGATAGAAAACTGAACAACCTGGTCAATATCTTAGCTTTTAATTCGTATCCAATGGAGTGATATACAATACTGAGTAAACGAAGAGGCTAATTCCTTAATAATAACAGTTAAAGATAAGAAAAACTATGTTTAGCACTATGCACAGTTCAATTTCAAAACGTTTACATTCACTTCAATTTGAAAAAAATCCTCTAACTAGGTATTAATGTGGAGGTGAATTCAGTCTCTTCATTTTTCCATACCGATACATTTCTCGTCTATTTACTTATGTCAGAGGTTAGTGATACCCAACGTCTAGTATAATTGTTCTACATCGAATCTATCAGTTAAAAAAATATAAACCCACTTACTATATTTTAGTTGTGATTTTGGTACAACATCAAATGGAACACAATAAGACCACCACCACCAATGAATAGGGTGAGTTTTTAATTGTGACCAACAATATCGATGTCCTGAAGTCTTACAATCACTTGCATTGCATGAAAATGAACAACCACGTGAAACAACAGCATGACGAGAATGTGCTGTGAATGAAGCTCTTAACAAATGTCCAAGTCCATGAATTCGTCGTTCTGCTAAGCCACCATTAAAGAAATGCTCGTTACAACCATGTAACCTTAAGGTCTAGAAAAATTAGAGATATGAAAATCAAGAATTAGTCATGTCGAATATGTGAAAACGTCGTGGCGACCAACAACAGAAAAAACAACGAGGTAGTCTAAAGCCGGACATAATAAACTGCTAAGATATGGCATCAGTTCATGACTATTGGTACAACCAGTGCATCAGGAAGTATGCCATCTCAAGTTCCAGGTCACAAAGAGAAAAAAAGATTCATGGGCTCTGTTTAGGAACAGATTAAATGAAATTATGAAAAATCAGTTTCTTTGTCAAAAATACACTGATTTGTCACAAAAAAAGCTTCCGACTCTTTACCACAATAGTATTCATTACTCTTTGAACTTTATTCTCTATGTAGATATCAGGTTCATACACCATTTAACTTATTTCAATCTGAGAAATTGGGTAAGACTAACAGCAGCCTACAAACACCAAGCCTAACAACCGATTAAATAAAAATCTACTAGGTATATCATTAATGAACAAAACATTGGAACAAGAAGAAGAATGAACAAATTAGGATAATAGAACTATAAATAGGAATCTGTACACAGAGAATATCAGTTAGTTTTAAGTAATGTAGACGTCAATCAACACATCTTGAGGAATACTACGATAAAAGAAATAGTATTAGTAGTGGCGGTAGCAATATCAGTGATTATATGTAGAGAATACACTATAAAAGATTACTTACACGTTCGGAACCAATCAATGTATACGCCACACTATGTCTCAATGATCTCCATTCACAAGCAGCTGACCAAATTACATTACGAGCGCGTTGTGCAACACGTTCTAGATAATGTTTGGCAGAATTATGAGAATTAACAATAATTTTATGATTAATATCTTCTGTAGTTTTGGTGACACGATCAGATATTTGAGGTTTTGTAGAGTTTGATATTCCTACTGTTGGTGTTACTGGATATGATATAATAGTTGTAGTATGTGGTATAGATGAGCCAAGTGTACGTAAACGTTCGTAGAAACTCATAAAATCTAAATGAAAACGTTCAATCGCTTCGGAAAGACTTAAATTGGCATCAAATGGAACAGTTTGTGATAATTGTCTGACAGGAGAGTGATTAGATGTAGTTGATATTGCTGAACTACTACTAACAGCAGTAGGAGTAGTGGATGGATTATATTCTGTTTGTGTAACCAACATTTGAATATTTGAACCAGGCACTGTAGGTGTATCATTGTCAGTTGGATATAAATTGACTTGAATTTCTGTATCTGCGACAACAAACGCTACAACTTGATCATCGTCTTCTTCATTAATTTCATTTGGTAGAGGAATAATTGTTTGTCCATTATTAACTAGAAACATTGATGATACAATAGAAAGCAATATAAATAACTTATAGACAAAATGACTATGTAATAGATAAAAAGTTATGGTAATATATTTAAATTTATTTTATAAACATAGTGGCTCATAAGGTCGGATGTTATGTACTCACATTTAGGTCACATACTTTTGTCTAATTGTGACTAGTGACTATTCAACTGGTGAAACCAAGTTTATACGTGAAGTAGAGTTTGAAGCTGTTACTCACTTACATAACTCTGGGTGCAGCCTCTTCTGGCGCTACTGCCGGTCCCAAGTTCGGATAAATGAGAAAGGTTGGGCATAGGGTTAGCGACCCTATCCCGTACAGAACTAACTCGATATAAAAAACACTAACCAGTAAAAATTATTCACTTACAAACGTACTCATACCTGTTACCCTTCATGGAGGAACATTGACCACCCACTAGCATTCTCCATCCAACTCTGTTCTGGGCAATCCTTTTCAGTTCTTTTTAGTTTACATTCATCTTTTTAATATCTGCTTCTATTTCCCGGCGTAATGTGTTCCTTGGCCTTCCTCTTTTCCGCTTCCCTTCACCATTCCAAGTTAGGGATTGCCTCGAGACGCAGTTCGGTGAATTCCTTAATATATGTCCGATCCACTTTCAACGGCTTTTCCAGATTTCCTCTTCAGCTGGAATATGGTTTGTCCTATCCTATAAAACACTGTTGCTGATAGTATCCGGCCAGTGGATGTTGAGTATTTTGCGTAGACAACTGTTTATAAATACTTGTACCTTTTTGACGATGGATGTAGTAGTTCTCCACGTTTCAGCTGAGTACAGTAGAACTGTCTTGACGTTAGTATTGAAGATTTCCACTTTGAAGTTAGTTGACAGTTGTTTTGAGTTCCATATGTTCTTCAATTGTGGAAATGCTACCCGTGCTTTACCAATCCTCGCCTTTACATCTGCATGAGATCCTCATTGTTTATGAACGATGCTTCCCAGATACGTGAATGTTTCCACCTCTTCAATTTAGTTTTTAGTTGTCAAGTCCTGCCGCTTTCCCACTTTTGATTTGTCTGATGGCCATCTTGACTTCTTCGATCGTTGGTGGAGTGACATCTATAGGAACGTTTGTTTGTGCTGCTTAGATGTCTAGTGGATCCAATGGGCTGGTCTATTCAGCAGTTCCTCCAAATATTCTACCCATCTGTTCCTCTGTTCTTGAATCTTCGTGATTTTTTTTCCTTCTTCGTCCTTGACTGGTCTCTCAGGTTTACTGTATCTCCCTGTTAGTTTCTTTGTTGTATCATATAGTTAATCCATATTCCCTACTCTTGAAGCTTTTTCCGCCGTCGTTGCTAGTTCTCACATGTATTCCTGCTTAAAGGCTTCAATGCTCTTTTTCACTTGCTTGTTTGCTTCTGTGTATTCAACTTGTGAATTGACTTTCTCTGCTCATTATCGATTGTTGTTAATTGCTGTCTTCTTGTTCTTCCTTTCTTCAATATTGTACAGCGTTCACATAGAGATCCATTCCTTTTTTGGGACCCAGAACCTCCTGACACGTTGAAGTTAATGCTTCTTTTATTCTTTTCCCGTTCTTCTCTATTTTATTTTCTTTCATTAAACCCTGTAGAGTTTGGACCCTGTTGTTGAGAAATATCTTGAATTCGTTGAGTTTGTTAGTATCTCGAAGGAAGTCTGCATTGAACTTTTGTGATGCTGATCCACCAGTTATCCATTGTTTCTTTAGCTTCAGTTTCATATTGGCTGCAACCAAGTAAATAGTGACCTGAATCTATGTCAGCTCCTCTCCTGGTTCTCACATGTTTCATTGTCCTTCGGAATTTTTTGTGGATACAAATATGATCTATCTGGTTCTGTGTAGTTTTATCCGGTGAGATCCATGTAGCTTTGTGTGGAAATATTGTGCCGCCTATAACCAACTTGTTGGATCCACATAGATTTGCAAATCTCTCCCCATTTTCATTTTTCTCTCCTAGTCCATGTCGTCCAATTATATCTTCATATCCTGTGTTGTCCACTCCAACTTTAGCATTTAGATCTCCCATCAGGATGGTGAGGTCCTTTCGTGAGCGCTTCTCTATAATTGATTGCAGCCTTTCATAGAACTGATCTTTATCATCGTCGTTGCTATCATTGGTGGGTGAATAACATTGGATAACGTTCATTGTGATCCCTTGTTTCTTTGTTCTGAATGATGCTTTGATTATCCTGGGTCCATGGGATTCCCATCCTACAAGTGCATTTCGTGCTTCTCTGGACAGCATTAGAGCAACTCCCTGAGTGTGTGGAGCATTTTCCTCTTCGTGACCAGAGTACAGCAGCATCTCTAGTCTTCGCTGTGCAGCTTGGGTCCAATGTGTTTCGCTGATTTCAGGTACTACCAATTTGTATCTCCTCATTTCCATTGCTATTTGGCTGGTCTTTCCTGTCTCCCACATTGTCCGAACATTCCATGTTCCTATAAAAATTGTTGCTCTGGTTGTTAGAAGGGGCATCGACCTCGTGACTTCCGAAGAATCTCGGCTTTCATGATGAAGCATCATAATTCTTCCTTCAACTCCCAGGGCAGAGTTAAACTGGTTTGATTTGTTTAATCTGGTTAGCGTTTTCTAGCAAGATTTTTTCTACGGGATGAAGTTGCCAACCTCATGTCTAACCCTCCTCCTTTACCCTGGCTAGGGGTCGGCATTAACTTTAGAAGAGCTACAGGCGTAGATTGAAGCTGTTACTGTAGTATACTTTCAAATGCTTTTAGTTATCCAAACTCTTCATTTTAACAATCGACTATACTAACTACACTATTGAATGACAAATGTTATTTTATCGATTCGAATATTGTCTAATAGGTCAAAAATAGTATTAGTTATAAGAGGAAAACATGATATTCACTTAGTATTGTTTTGTTTGAATCTTCCCATTGATGTTTTAGGGCTCAACTAGTCAGCCTCTTATTGGCACATGTGCATACTGTGCGCATTGCTTCAATATAGCCTAAATTCACAAGCATGGTAAGTAAAGATGGATAGTGGATAGCAGTGGAATCCAGGACACGCGTTTCGTCCTATTTGAGACTCGTTAACTGGGTTCAAGTCCCAGAGTGAACATGAACTCTGAGATACAGGTTCATCCAGCTGACGAGTCCCAAATAGGACGAAACGCGCGTCAAACTGGATTCCACTGCTAGCCACTATCCATCTTTACTTACCATGCTTATGAAAAAATGATATGTTTATAAGAAAATTGATTGCATAGTTAACTACCTAAATTGATGAGTAATAATATAACTAAATTTACAAATGATTAGGATTCCTTTATAATGCAACTCATTGACAGAATAGAACATTGTGGACCATTCAATATCCCCACTAACGTACAATGAACATAATTGCTTTTCTATATTATATCAATTTACTGCCCGCTCTATTTGAATGTCCATTATTTCAGTTAGGACGAAATCATAGAAGATTCAAAATAATTGAAAAAGTGATACTAAGATCCCAACTGTAGCTGCTACCTTCACTTAATGGTTAACCCTCCCTATTACTTCGGCACAATCGACATATGATGACTGAAGTGCAAGTTACTTTAGCTCTACAAAACAGGTCGGTCGGGAAACAGTGTAAACTAAAGGCAGTAATTTAAAGTCTGAGAGGTAAGTTGTACTGCAGTGTAAAGAAAGAATGGATAGACAGCTATGCTGTATTCCTCAAAAGGAAGGAATGAGTCGGAAAAAGTCGCTTTTAAAAACAGCACAGCACACTCTACTACTCGAACTTTGGTCGTCGACAGTAAGGCTTTATAAGCATACACGTCAACAGCTACTCGCAAATAAGTTGTGGGTAATTGGTCTCAAGTAGTTTTACCCTGAGCTCTAGGGTCATGCTCACAGGTCGCTAAGATTACTACTAATCCACTTTCCTCTTCATTATTCTTAGGAACAAGTATCTTTCCACGATGCGGACAAGCATGAAGTGATAGCTGCCTATAAACCGCTCATAACACTTGATATCATCTGTAACTGAATAATGGGTAAGTAACATAAGATAATTTAGGTGGACAATATGCATATCATATGTAAATTAAAGATTGCGCCTCCCCCCCATTAAATTCAATTTAACTATGTTACGTGACAAGATGCAAAAATTAGTCATCTAAAGTCAGTTTAAGTATATGTAGCCTAATGAATAATAGTGGCACAAGGCTCAGTGGATTCTTCGATTATCAATCATAAGGTTACAGGTTCAAACAACCCGTCATCGATTTCAATTTGACCAGCCGTCCGGATAATATATGTGTGAATATATAGACATAAACATTGATATGATTCATAATCTAGTAAAGGAATACATAAACGGAACAGTAGTCATTGATATTTTATTTGTCCAATCTTAAGCAGTGATTGACTTTTTATCGATTAGGTTTTGGCTAGAACAAAATCAAGAAGTGAAGCTATCAGTCAAATCACTATGACCATTCAATTTTTTCAGCTGCATTTCCATTATAAAAATGTAATATCGTTAGTGAACTTACCGACTACCTCAGCAGTAGTAGCAGCACGTCGACCACTTGGACGTTGTACAAGTGTATCCAATGATTTCGGTTGACATAAACTAGCTAATCGTTGAACTAGCGTAAATAAATTCGTGGAGACTAGAAGAGATGAAGATTGTGGTGGTAAAAGATTCCTTAAAGTGTTTCCACTAACTTTAGCATTATTATTATTGCTGCTTCTGGAGTTAGATGAATTCATCGTGGTATTGTCATTATCTGAAACAGAACGTCTGGAAAAGCGTCTAGATGTCCAAAATTGTCGACTTAAAGGATTTAAACTACTGCTACTACTACTGCCGCTAACTCCACAATCAGTAGTTTTCACAGAGACTTTTGAATTTTTCTTATTATTGCCTATTTCATTATTATAATTATCAATTTCATTATCTTGGACGATTAAACTATACTTTATTCGTTTCACTATGGAATTAATTAATTTTGAAGCAAGTTCATAGTTTTCACTGAATGCCAGAAGTTTTGCACTTGGTGGATTATTATCAACATCCATATCAACGGATAATGATGACGATGATGTTGATAGAGAAGAAGTAGAAGGACCAGAGTAATTTACACTTGCATCTGATGAGATAATATTCCCAAAATTCCAAAATGTATAATCTTCTAATGATGAATCTACAGTAGTTGACTGAATTAGAGAGAAAAAGAAATAGAAGTCGGTTTTCTTTGAAAAAGCATACAAAATATAGATAAATAGTTATGATTATTCTATTATTTGTCAAATATTTGCCTTTGCATTTAAAAATTATACAGGAAAGTCCGAAAACAACCACACCATTTTGATGATTATCCTAAAAAAATACATTAGGGATTCCCTGGACTCCGGTTTCGTGCTACTTGGCACTCGTCAGCAAGAACTTGACACGCATGACATTGATCAACACCCAGTGATCAATCAATTGTGATTACATCTCAGTCCTACAGGAGATAGTTTGCGGACCGAATAGCTAAGTGGTAACGTCTCTGACTGTGAAGCTGAGTGACACGGGATCGAATCTATCAGGGAGCACCAGTGACAGTAGGGATTGTTATGAAACTTTAGCTATCATTATGTGATTAGGGACATGCACTTGAAATAGTGCAAATCCCTAGGATGTGTAATTTTATTAGATACCTATCAACCTCTTTATTTAAATCAGACCGAGATGCAGATACAGTAGAAATCATGGATACGGGTAAAAACAAAAAAAGTCCTACATCACTGTACCTAGAATATCTACTATATGACGAAAAGATTGTAAAAGGTGATCAAATAAAAAATTTATATTGTTAAAGCAGTTATTATTTATGCACGTATGTATGCACTTATTCATTAACTTTTGTGATATGAGAAAACTAAAAGTAACATATTGGAATATTGAGTGCCAAGAATTCTAAATTGTTCTAGATATATAATACCATTTAGTAGAGACTTTTCAGAGAACTTACGGGTAAACAAAGGGACTGTGTTATATCCTGATTGGATACTTATCGATTTCAGCTTGTTTCCAGGAGCTTTTAAAATATAAAAGTCACACATCGGCTGGTAAATATGATTGATGTTCCACACCTAAACTAAACTTGGAATTGTGCCTTCTTTTTACAGAATCTATCCGAAAATTTCTGTTTAAAGTTCAAATGCAGGAGAATTCCATGGGTTTTCACGGAGAAAGAAAGTTAGTACCATGGGTTCATTAACCTAGCATCCCAGAAGCGTCATTAGACGCATAAAACAGTATTGAGTTGATATTGTAGAAATAAACATTATTATTGTCATCATCAAAGGTAAATCTTCTACTACAGAGAACATTAAACTGACAGAAAATAAAAACTAAACATAAATTTCACAAACTCATTAGTTGAATTTATGATTAAACATACCGTATTTTGTAAACGATCAGCAATTGATGTATGTTCAGTTATAGTAGATGGGAATAATGGACCCAAAATAAAATCATTTATATCTGATGACATATCTAACCAACGTGAAAGATTACGTAACCAAGAACTTAATGGTTGAAAATTATTATTATTATTATTATTGTTGTTAGTAGTAGTAGTGTTAGTAACAGAAGTGAAAGGTCGAGCTTGATTTGATTGTTCATCATTCGAAGATAACAGTCTTGATTGTAACCATTCAATAGGAAGATCTAAATAAATTGGACCTAACATTGGTAAATCCAATGTAGATATACATTTACATAATGGACAACGAAATTCAAATACCACCATTGATGAATTACGACTGCTAAGAAAAGACCAAAAAAAAACAAATAAATAAAAAAAAAGAAATCTGATCAAAATATACAACAATCAAGTGAGTAATATACATCCACCTGAAGCTTCTCCAAAGTTATTGCTGGTCCCAAGCCCGCATAAAGAAGTAGGTTTGAGGGTGGGGTTATCAATATCACCCATAAAAAAACAACATCCTCACAAAAAGGCTTACGATGGAAATCAATCTAATAAAATATTCATAATTACTTCTTATCATGTACTTTGGTATCACGAGCAAGTACGCAAACAAAGTAAGCGAACTGAAAGAGATTGATCGGAATTCACCCCTTAACATCGAGAACGATAAGATTAAAACAATTACAATTATATAATTGATTATTCAGTCAGGAAAACTTGCTGAAGATGATATAACTTTATACATCATAGGATTTCTGGATTGGGAGAATTAAAGTATTTATTGATTTATCCTAAAGTAGCTGCGTATTTGTTTACCGAATGGAGAAAATAGTATAACCACCTCCCGTCTGTCTTTATGCGGGAATCAGAACATTGAGGACGATTGTCTGAGTTACTTCAAGAAAATTTACACATAAAACTTTATACAACTCTCGCATGGTTACACATGCATTAAAGACATTGTGCTCTAGCGAAACTTAATATTGCCATTTAGTTTAATCGAAGATAATTTTCAAGATCCTATTCTGCTGATTCGAAAAGGGGGTTTTCGAATATACAAGCTTTTTAGTTGGTTTCAAAAGAAATTCAGCAAACAATAATATAGTTAAAAATATAATTGAAAAAGTTATTCACTACCAGACACTCGAGTGAGTTAGTACAATTTGAAGGTAAGTCGTTTTCGATGGAGCGGTGGCTTAATGTCTTAAAACAATGCACCTGTAATCAATCGATGGCACGTATGAACAATGTGATCTTCCTACATCAGGTTTGTGTATGCATATTGTTCACACAAGCAATCTAGCTCAAAAGCGGATTATGTAAACCTGATTACGTAAAAAATGAATTAGGCAGTTGAAAACGAAATGTTGATGATGATCATCAAAATATACTTACCGATTTAGATGATCTACTCGACCTTTTATTTGTCTTGCATATTTTGTTTTACATGCAGCATGCATAGGATGTGAACAAAAAGTGAAAAATGATCCTTCTTCTGAAATTGGATCACGACTAGAAACTAAAGGTCGTGGATGCCAAGGATCTAATATAAATGAATGATTGATATCTTGATCTGATGATAATAGACAATAACTATCAAGTAATTGATCAACTAAGCCAGGACCAAGAGCATCTATAATAATTATGATTATGAAGAGAAAATTACATTTAAACAATATCAAATATCAGGTCATTTCATAAACTGATTGCATTATTAACTTGTATTAATACGAAATGTGTGAGTAAATGTCCGGATAAAATGCATAGATTTATTGTATGTACTCAGTATGGATAAACTGTAGACACTATCATTTACATCAGCAACAAGTTACTGTGGGAGAGAACAAACCAGATTCCAGCAGAGGAAGAAATCAGGAAGAAGCGCTGGAAGTGGATAGGGCACACTTTGAGGAAATCACCTAATTGTGTCACAAGACAAGCCCTCACATGGAATCTTGAAGGCCAAAGGAGAAAAGGAAGACCAAAGAACACATTACGCCGAGAAATAGAGACAGATATGAGAAGAATGAACAAAAGTTGGATAGAACTAGAAAAGAAGGCACAGGACAGAGTGGATTGGAGAATGCTGGTCGGCGGTTTATGCTCCATTGGGAGTAACAGGCGTAAGTAAGTAAGTACTATGCTTTACAGGAATACCAACGTCACAACGGTACAAAGATAGGTTAAATTGACTAAAATTGCTTCAACAAACAATTAGAATTATTGCCAACAAATAATATTTATTTAAACAATCCTATATATTATAGAACAGAATTTACATACTTTTATTTGTGCAATCAATTGACATAGAAGTATCCTTTCGTAGCTCTAGACATCGTATACCAGATAATAATTCAGGAATTATTCGAAGCCCCATCCTCGATGAACCGGCACATGTAGCCGCAGCTGTTGTTGATACTGATGCAAGAAAAGGAATAAGCTAAAAAAAAACAGAAGAAAGGCATGATGATTTAGAAATGTAATAGGTCTAAAAAAGTTACTGATATTGAAATAAGTGATACAAAACGGAGACACAATTTGTAGTTCAAGAGGATGCTTTTAGTATTGAGTATATCAAAATACCAGAGAATTTCTACAAACACAGAATCCAGATCAATCAAGGAACGGAAAAACTCAACCAATAATATCATAGTAACGAGTAAACGGAACAAAACAGTTCACATATAAATAACCAGTCACAAACAATATCATCACAAAGGTTAAATAAGTATATCAAAGGTAGACTCAATTTTGTTTAAGCACATAAACATTGGTACAAGGAGGCAATAAATTGACATGCGCCACATAAATCATTCGATTTGTATGAGGACTGGAATAATGTCCGGGTGCTCAGACCGAAACAGGTGGTTTTCTTGGGGGCTACATCCTGAGCCTTTGTCCTTAAGGTTACGAGATGCAGTCTCATGGTAGCTGGTGACCAATAATTGGTTTATACGCCACTTATTCCCTCACGATCCTAGGGCGCATATGTACCATTGGTTTAGAATTAGGGTTTCCCAAACCATAGGTGGATCCTCTGTGTCCACTGACCCCGTTAAAGCGTAGGATATTTGCTTTTCGTCCCATCAATTTCTTAAACAACACCACCGCCGCGAGAGGTCAGTAAGTAGGGTTTCTTTGATAGTGTCTGTATACACATATGAGAGCATTTGGGGACGAAGAGCTGACTTTCCTCATACCCGGGCATTTGGAGGACTTTTTGGTGTGATCATTAATGTACATAATCAAGTGAGTTTCAAGTGAAGAAAATAGAATCATGAATGCTTGTTATCATCGACCTCTGATCACAACACTGATTAGAAGAGGTTTGTGAGCCGATAAGGGATAAATGTTTCCTGTAATGTATCACAGTCAATTAGCTATTGGTCTGGAGTGAGTTGTAGTGCTGGTTGAACGGAAGATTGTTGGTCCGATCATCATAATGAAGATACAGTCTATAAATGGATCACTGGACGGTCAGTGGTTCCTATTATACATGGGCCAGAGTTCGCAATATAAACTATTTGAAAATAAGTTAGATGATGAAGATGAACAAAATAAACACAACGATACACACAAATGTAATAAAAATAGCTGTAATAAATTATCAATAACCTGATTGTCTTCATTATGAATTTTGTTAGCAGGAAATAGTTTATCATAATGCACTGGATGATTACCAACAACTGTTGACGATTCTGAACCGATCATTTCATTTTCAACACATAGACGCTCAGCAACAGACATTGTGACAGGACCTTCTAACCATCCAATACCACGTGAAGATAGTACAGAAGATCTGCATACATGTGCAGCCATAACCATTCGATTCGATGCTTGTTCTGTTACTTCTTCCTATCATAAAACGGTAACAACATTGAAATAAATGATAATACGAAGTGAATCTATGCTGCAGATTATCATAACAATTGATTAATGATTGGGGGCTTAAAGAGATTATTGAATTTGAAGTAAGCAAAGTAAACCGATGGGTGCGAAAGTCAGTCAGTCAGCTACAACGTAGGACCAGGCACATTTATGCATCGGTCCAAGTTGCCATAACTCGTTAGCACAACAAGATCAACACCGGATTCATAGAAGTAATTAATTTAGTGGTGGTAGTAGTATATAAATTATAGGCTGTATATAAGGATATAATACAGGAAGAAAGAGAGATATGAAGCAATTTTAATATCAAGGTTTAAGGGAAAACAGTGAGTGTATACACCTACGCCATTATGATAGATTCTGAGCATTATCACCCAGAGTCTCCAACCATTGGTTACGATAGTCACGCGGACCCCAACCAGGTAGCCTGCATCTGCCAACATGGATCAGACTAGAAGTTGGTGACTTCAAACACTGATGCCATGTTTTCGTTTGGCCTCCCCTAACTCTCTTCCAACCATCCCCTACACTAGTCATCATAGCGCGTCGTGGTAATCGGTGTTCAGGCATATGTAACACATGGCCCAACCATCTCAGTCGATGAAGATTCATCACCTCATCAACTGATTTACCATCATTCCCTAATACCCTGTGTCTAACCTCACTATTACTTACCCGGTTATCCCAGCAGATGCGAGCAATATTTCTAAGGCATCTGTGGTCAAATACTAGTAACCTACGAGTATCTTCTACTCTTAATGGCCATGTTTCGCAGCCATAGAGTAAAACAGAACGAACTGCTGCGCAGTATACTCGTCCCTTAATTGATAGACGGACATCTCGTCTTCGCCATAGGTGACGTAAGTTGGCAAAAGCCAAACGAGCTTTTTGAATCCGTGCTGAGATTTCGTCAGATACCAACCCATTAGGGCTGATCAGACTTCCAAGATAAGTGAAGTTGTCGACGCGTTCGATCACTTCACTCCCTATCCTTAGTTCAGGTGTTGACGCAGGCCAGTCCTGGAGTAACAATTTACATTTGGATGGGGAGAAACGCATCCCAAACATCCTGGCATTATTACTGAGCTCCAACAGGAGACTGTATTTTGCTAGCGTCTTCAACTAACAGGACTATGTCATCTGCATGAGCGCGAAAACAAAACTTAAATGCGCGACGTTCGTTGGTATATCTGAAAGTCCTGAGTCCGACCCTTCGAGAGGTTGAGAAAGACCACATGAAAAACATTCTCAATTCGCTAGAGTTCAACTTCAAAAATTAAAGATGTATCCATTTTTCGTATGAAGAAAACAACAAAGAATCTATTCGATTGAGACATTTATACAATAAAATTATACATTCACACAATAACATACCAAGCATAAATTACAAGTTACTAATTCAGTATTTTGTACACTTGAACTATCTGTTCCTCGTAAATATGATGAATCTGATATGATGAAAGCAGCACCACCTAAAGATCTTGTTGGACCAAGTGCACATTGTTGTACTACAGTTGAAATGATTGATTCGGATTGTGTTATTGTTGACTGATTAACATTGTTGTTCATTGTTTCAGGAGAATCAATATCCATTAATTCAGCCTAAAAAATATATATTAGCATAATAAAACAAGTAATGAATTGTACATAGACCGTAAATAGAGCTGGTCCCTAAAAATTGTGCTTGATTCAAAAATGCTAAATAAAATCTTAAGCAATATATAACTTCTTTAAATGCTGAGGAGTCCCATAATAGGACGAAACGGACGTTCAATGCTTCCAGGTTTTCCATGGTGGTTTAGCTTCAATGGACTCACGATTTCAGCTGTGAAAATATTAAATTCTCCATAAAACCCCTTCTGTTCTTTAAATTCCTCAAAGTTACAGGGAGAGAGTAACCGTGACCTACGGAGTTAACATCGAGTTGAAATGTAGAAAGAAACCTTGAGACGTACATTGGATTTCAATCCATCTATAGTGTCGACAATCCATTATGTAGTCGAACAATAATGTATTTCCAGAAAGTTCTTAATGTGTTAGAATCAAAAATTATGTAAAATGGAAAGTACATATCATTTCAGGATACTAAACATACTTCGTTTGTAGTTGCCTCATTCTGTGATAACGAATCCATAAAATTTCTTTGCATATTTGACATACGTGCCATAATTCGTGCACGTCGAGCTCGTGCTTTCTCTGCACGATCTTGTTTAACTTGTGCACTTGACAACTGATAAGATGAAGGTTCCTAAGATAGTAAACAGAGTGACAGGTAATTTATTTTATTTTTTTTAATAAAAAACTAGGGATATTTTTAACACAATTATAAAAAAAACATCACAGAACCCCATAAAATATAAGCCATTTATGGTAAACCGAAAATTCCAATTGGAACATATGGTAAAACGATAAATACACGGGAGAAATACTTCTTTAGTTTTTCATCATGGCTCTCTCTCTCTTGAATGAACCCGCTAAGACGGATGCAAACTAACCACAGGTCCTGTCCTATGTTGTCTATGACTGACCAACTGAAAAATTTACATGCTTAAAACATTCATTACATAATCATTGTGAATAAACACGAGTCATTTGGCCTCCTATATGTGTAAACCACAAATTCAAGAGATTTAATGAAATACAAGGAATCGGAGTTACATTTATTTATTTAAACACATAAATATTGGTACAAAGGGGCACCAGATACATATGCGCCACACAAATCTCATTTGATTTGTGTGAGGGCTGCGATACTGCCAAGGTGCCCAAACCGAAGCAGGTGGTTTTCTTAGGGGGCCACATCCGGAGCCTTTGACCTAAAAGTCTGATCCACAAGGCAGTGGACCATCGTGAGGAGATGCAGTCCGATGGTAGCCGGTGACCAACAATTGGTTCATATGCCATTCGTTCCCTCAGGATACTGGAGCCCATGTGCACCATTGGTTTGGAATCAAAGTTTTACAACTCCCTGACATTCGCTTTTAGTCCTTTCAATTTTGTAAACAATACTGGTGCCACGAGAAGGCAGTGAGTAGGACTTCCTTGAAAGAGGCTATATGCGCGTGGTCATATGAGAGCATTTTGAGAGGGAGAGCGGACTCTCTCCATTCTCGGACGTACCAGGGCATTTGGGAGCTGGAGTTACTTCACAGTTATTATATAACCTTATTCAACAAGAATAATAACATAGGGTAAAAAATTGTACCTCAATAAACTTTATTTATGCAAGAAATTACAAGAAAATAATTTGTAACCTTTTAATGAACAAATTACCTTTTCTATTTCACCAAGTTCAGACGAAAGTTTATGAACAGACTGTTGTCCACCTGTCATACCTTGTACAACTTTATTCCAATAATCTAATGTCCATCTACAATAATAAAGACGACAAAATACATAAATCATGACTAGTAAATCTTATATTTAGATATGGATAGATGTAGTAGGCGATTTAGGGTTATTATTAAGATTTACAGGAATTAAGTTTTGTTCTAGTTGGCATTCACTAGAAAAAGGAAAAATTTTTGATTACAAAGTACATGATACATCGCAGGCAATTTGTAAGTGTTACAGTTAATGCAACAAGCTTTAGATAAACATAAATTTGGTAACGACATAGTAACTAATTAGTGTAATTTTCATTCTTCGAATAGCTAGAGACAGTAGAAATACTTGTATGAACTAGAAAGAAATTTACGTGAACATTTTAAGACTTGAAACACCGACCATCAAAATATATGGTCATCAAATCAAAAAAGGAATTCAGTATTCGGACATAACATGAATACTAGACCAACCCAGCAACTACCGAGAGAAAAAAAACCAAAGGAAGGCTATGGTACAAAAAATTCATTTAATTACCTAATCAAATCCGAGTGATCATCATGATATGTAGAATTCAATATGCGTACCAATCGAGAAGTTATACAATTACTGGAATTTAAAAAAAAGACATGACTAAATACAAAAAATTAGTAGTATTTGTTCCACAATTATCATAAACTACAAGGGTCTAAAACTGGCAGAATGGATATCAATGAGACAGTTGAATAATTGCCGGAAAAAACGCGAATGGTTGAGATGGAAAAGATTATTACACTCTACTGTATTGGGAAAAATATATCTTTAATGTCTTAATGGACTTAAATCACTGAATATTGCATAAACCCCATTACCTTCAAACGCGTTGCTGTGGTAGAATGTAAAGAGATTATCATCTCTCATTGATGAAAAACACATTTGAGATTGTAACATATTTAAAAAAACACGGGAATAAAAGTGAACTTCCTGTGTATAAACCGCATTATTTGTTAGGGAGAGCATACCTTAGAGAAGAAGGGGAAAGTCACACAACTAAGAACATCATTATAATTCTAAACAAATGGTGCATATAGGACCCAATGAATGGTATACAAATTTACTTCGTTCACTTGGGGTCATGAAAAATTATTTCCTAAGACATTCAGATATTCAAATGACTGACGAATAAATTCCTACGTAAACAGCTTTCCTTTGGAAAGTCTATTCGTTTTATTATGTCATACATATATAATGAAAATCAGAGTGGACATTTCAAAATACGAATATTATATAAGTCAATCTAATCAAATCCACATGAATGCAGACACGTGTTGGACTTAAGCTACACAAATTATATGAACCAAAGTTGCTCACAATTTTTTTTGTATAGTTAAGTGCTTAAAATTTATTTAGGACATTCAGTTGCAACCACAAGCTATGATTCATGTTTGGTGAAAATTGTTCGTATTGATGGTAATTACCTTACTTAGGAAATGATGGTAAATTAGTTGATGAGGTGATGAATCTTCATCGACTGAGATGGTTGGGCCACATGTTACGTATGCCTGAACACCGATTACCACGACGCACTATGATGACTAGTGTAGGGGATGGTTGGAAGAGAGTTAGGGGCGGCCAAACGAAAACATGGCATCAGTGTTTGAAGTCACCAACTTCTAGTCTGATCCATGTTGGCAGATGCAGGCTACCTGGTTGGGGTCCGCGTGACTATCGTAACCAATGGTTGGAGACTCTGGGTGATAATGCTCAGAATCTATCATAATGGCGTAGGTGTATACACTCACTGTTTTCCCTTAAACCTTGAGACTAAAATTGCTTCATATCTCTCTTTCTTCCTGTATTATATCCTTATATACAGCCTATAATTTATATACTACTACCACCACTAAATTAATTACTTCTATGAATCCGGTGTTCATCTTGTTGTGCTAATGAGATATGGCAACTTGGACCGATGCATAAATGTGCCTGGTCCTACGTTGTAGCTGATTGACTGACAGACCTTACTTTAAAAAAATGCTAATAACAATAAACATACTTGTTTAAAAGTGTAGACAAAACAGATTTATCGATTGTATCTGACTTTAACCAATTTCTGGAACGTGCAAGCTCTTTTAATTCAGCATCTGATTCATTTTGTTCTGGGACACGGCTAACGGCCGTCAAAAACGGATATGAACCAGTTTTACTAAGAAATGAATGGAAAACAAAAGATAAAATGAAGACGTGGTGAAATTTTATTCGATATAGTTATAAATAAATTGATAAGTGTTATTCCAAATTTGCGAGATAGAGATTTATTCTATAAAACATTCAATCTTAGTGTGAGATAACGGTATATGACTACGTATAATTCGGACGTTCTTTTGCTGGAAAGTTTTCATTGTCTCTGAAGTAAAACTGAATTTAAAGTGTGAAATGTATCTGTAGTTCGAAGGGGTTTTGTGGAGATTTCAGTATTTTCATAGTTGAAATTAGGAGTTAATTGAAGCTAGACCACCATCGAAAACCTTAAAGTACTGGACGGCCGTTTCGTCCTCTTATGGGACCCCTCAGCAGTGCGCATACACGATCCCGCACTCGCGAGATTCGAACCCAGTCTCGAGCCAGAGCCTTAACCTCTATTCCACTGAGCCGGCATCCAACGGACAAAACGGCCGTCCAGTGCTTCCAGGTTTTCCATAGTGCTCTAGCTTCAATTAACTCATGATTTCAACTATGAAAAAGCATCTGTAGTTATTGAATTTGGAAATCCAAACGTTAGCACTAAGAAAATCAATTATTTAAGCGTTAAATTCAGTAGTTTTGCAAAAAAGGAACCCAAGATTTCCAGTGTTCTTATTGAACTGGAGAGGAGTTCGAAATTGAAACCGAACAGTCAGCCACTTTGTTAATATTAGCTGCAGGGAATAAATAAAATGGTTATCATTGTTGCACATCATTCTCAAATGGTATGGCTGAGGTGAGATACAAATGTGTCTTCTACAAAACAGAAGATAAAATACAACTTAATATTATCCAGAAAACTAAAGAGTAATTTAATTTATACATTCAAAAAAAATTAGCAACAATGCTTAAAAACTGTTAGCAGGATAGAGTTCTGACTGTTGTATAAACTGATTGACCGATGTACAACCAAACAGCGCTAGCAGACGAGCAGAGATCCTGCAATATTCTTGTATAAAATGTGGTGTTTTTACAAACGTATCTCTATTATTTGGATTTTTGGAATAAGAATGTTGTTCCGTTGAAGGAACGTTGAGTGAGGTATAGTGTCTAAAGCATATTAATGTTATCTGTTTTAAAAGGACGAATTCTTGTTTAATATTGCGTGCCGTATGATCAGGCCGTTATTATGGAAGAATTACTATCCAACAAGATTTATTTGTCCCATCCGTGTAAAGAGGCCCAATAACCAATGAACAATGACATAGAACTGAATGTAATCGATTCCGTTCGTACTAGTATAACCCTAATCGTTTGTAACATAACAGTAACTGCAAGTTCAACCATAACTCAATCGTAATCGTTTATCGAGTTTCAACACATAAAAATTAGAATAACCACACAAAAACAATCAGCGCTATAATAAAAACCAAACAAACTTACCTTCCATTTAATTCATCTTCATACAATGCAACAGTAATCAAATGTAATAACAAATCTAATAGACTATGTGACCACCATGAAGCTGATGTTCCATGAGAATAGGCAATATCTAATAATGTTTTAATTAAACGTACAAATGTAACACATTGAATAATATGTAATGGACCAGGATGAACAGATGGTGTAAATCTGTGTAAAGGACGAGGAGCTGGTGGTGGTATTGGAAGATTTTTTAAATTGATATTATTTTGTTCTTGAATCCATTTCTTTAAACATTTAGAAACATTTGCTTCAGCCTATTGAAGATAATAAAAACGAAGTTTTGTTTATGTACCGGGTTAAACTATTAAGCACAATTCTATTTAACCTAATATGAAAAACAACTAAAAATACAGACTCTAAGATCGTCGTAATATGTATTATACTAATGGATAACTTTTTTCTCAATCTTTTCTATGATGCATCTCCTCATTTCCATTGCTATTTGACTGATCTTTCCTGTCTCCCACATTGTCCGGACGTTCCATGTACCTATAAAGAGTGTTGCTCTGGTTGTTAGAAGATGCATCGGCCTCGTGACTTACGAAAAATTTCGGCTTTCATCATGAGGCGTCATAATTATTCCTTCTACTCCCAGGGCAGAGTTTAAATGGTTTGAATGATTTTTTCTGGTTAGCGTTTTTTTAGCGAGTTAGCTCTTCTACGGGATGGGGTCGCTAACCCCATGCCCAACCCTCCTCCTTTACCCGGGCTTGGGACCGGCAGTAACTCCAGTAGGGCTACAGGCGGGAGAGGATAAACCAGCTTCCAGATGAAGAGGAAATTAAGAAAAGACGTTGGAAGTGGATCGGACATACATTAAGGAAATCACCAATGTGCATTACAAGGCAATCCCTAACCTGCAATCCTAAAGGGAAGCGAAAAAGAGGAAGGCCGAAGAAAACATTACGTCGGGAAATAGAAGCAAATATGAAAAGGATGAACAGAAACTGGAAAGAACTGGAAAGGAAGCCTCAGGACAGAGTTGAATGGAGAATGCTGGTGAGCGGCCTATGCTCCTCTACGAGGGGTAACAGGCGTAAGTAAGTAAGTTTTCTATGATTTCAATATAATAGAGATGAGAATGTACATTTATTATATACTATGCAATTCAAAGTGCTTTCCAGAATTAGTCTACAAGAATACACTTGGCATTAACAGTTTGGAGGAATGACCACTTGTTTTTGATAACTAATGTACATTTTCATCCACTGAGCTTGAATTGTAAAAAGACAAACAACATTAAGCAGAATGTTTGAAGCGAATATGACATTGAAGAATATAAAAATACTTTTGTTGGTAAGGATACAAGCTGATAACTAAGTGTATCAGACTCTATGCAGAAACTGTTATATCCCGATAACAATAGTGAATATTAACTTTGGGATTCATTTATGGACCAATATTATGCATATAATTTTTATCGTATATTTGCTAAATAATTAAACTACTCATATTCATATTCCTTTCATTGTGAGCTTTATTTTGACCCCTGGACTATTATTGTACGATTTACCATTCTTGAGTTATACCCAGTCTATTAATTACTGCTCTCCCTATTTACAGCCACATTTGGCTAACTCTTGTACAAATGTTATTTTCTATTTTATTGGTAAGACTAAAAGCAACAAATCCAAGGTCCGAAGGCGAAGTCATACTGCCGACTAGACAGAGATGTGACGGCAGTAAGGTGTTTCCTTTAGACAAGCAGCATGACAGCGATGCTGCCTTCCCACAAAGAGGGATGGGGTTAGAAAAGGTCGACCCTAAAAATGCACACCTCGCCTTATCCCACGGATTTCCGTCTCCGGCGGTAAGGTCCTTTGAAGAACGGAGCTAACACGTCAAAAAGCCTCCACAAAAAGTTCGAGTGTGACTGGTCTCAAGCAGTTGTCCCTTGGGCACTGCGGTCACGCTCCCAGGTCGTTAAGACCAACACTAATCCAACTTCCTTCTCAGGTCTCTCAAGAAAAAAAAAGCTGAGAAGTGATATTAGCCCTCATACCCGTAACTGACTGACTGACTGTCTTCAGCTTACGTATTATTATGATAGACTTAAAACTTCAATGTAATATTTTGGATACTCATACATTTTCTACGACTGCGGAAACAAAATATTTTACATTGATATTTGAATTGATGTTTATCAAAACTATATTGTACGAACATACTAACATATATATTATAGTACACTTACAGCTGTTTGTTCCGGATGTCGATATCCCCAATAAAATCGATTAAATCGATATGCCATATATTCTGGTCGTATACTGAACACTGTACGGTTATTCACTGATGATTGTACGGCTAGTTTACGTAATATTTTAGGTAATGCGTTTTCTATAGCACGTTTATTAGCACTCCTTGATATTGAAGCAGATAAAACTGATGGTCTAGGACCCACATCCATAGGACAAGATGATGTTGATGATTGTTGTATTTCTTCAGTGCTCATTTCATGGTCTGATTGTTGATGTGTTGAATCGGATTGTTCCGTCGGATTTCTTAATAATAGACTACTTGCATTTTGATATGGAAGGACGGATAATAATTCACTGTAACTTAAAGGTTTCAGGCATAATGTATGTATAACATCATTGATTAGGCTCGGATAGTAAATTTCCGATTCATTATCAATCAGGATTTCATCCAAACAACTCAACAGTTTATTATTAGAGTCGTTCACCATGTAGTAATCTTTGGTAAAATAACCCATTGAAGGACGTGATCGACTAGAAACACATGCTAATATTACGCGTAACAACATTTCCACTGCGTGCACACGACCAAGACCGGGTTCTTTAGACGAGATATCACTAGATTATTGTTTTGTTTGTGTATTTTTATTTTTATTTTAAATAAAAGTTAGATAATAACAAAGAAACATTTAATAAAAGACAACAATTTTTAAAGTTCAGCATTTATCAACTGCTTACTTATAAGTAGCTTGTTGTTCTATGGTTCTTTCAGTCACTTTTGCAACTAACAAAACAATCCTCTGTCTATTAGTTTCATTCAAACACAATCTTCATATTACTGTTAGTCTTAATGTAATGGCCATCTTAAAAGTCGGGAAAAACGTTTAAACTGTCAGAGAACTTCAGTATAAACAAGTGATTGAGATTTCAACATACCGCTATGTAGTATTATTAATCAGTCGGACAGTCACAACGTAGAACTTCGTTCGTATGCACATCAGTTCCAGCTGCCATACCACATTAGCACAGAGATTCAGTTGTCGACTCAAATCCCATAGTGGTAGAAGTAGTAAGAGTATAAGCATTATGTGAAAGATTAGGGTTTGAAGATGTTATTCAAGGAGTATATTGCAGTGAAATAAGTTTGGAAAGGAAAAAGGATATGGGACATGAAGAATCCAGAAGGTTAGAATTTGGTAGAACACAAAGAGAGGATGCACCTGCGATATTGCAAACTATTTTGAGCCATGTCATTCAAGGTCTCTATCCATCGATTGCTATCATTTCGCGAATCCTAACCAGGTAGTCTACACCTACTAACATGGCTCAGTTCACTTGTTAGCGATCATTGGATAAGAACGTAAATATATGTGATTTACCTGATGATTTATAGAATGACAAATAAACATAAATAAATAAATATCCTGTTGATAATAAGTTGAATAGCCTTCAGGTAAACGATCCAAGATTCAAATGAATTTAAAAATGACAAATTCGGTTGATTTACTTAAATGAATACAAATCAGAAAATGCATCTGCTGATTTCAATTGATGCACATGATTCCATAGTTGTTTTGAATAAATTATGCAAGACAATCAATTCAGATACGATGATTCTAGAAGAAACTTGAGACTAGTGAGATTCAATCATATAAGAAGGAATAACTAAGAAAATCACCTTTATTACCAACATTGCATAGTTATGATTCTATGTCATACGAACTGTTCAGTCAGCTATAACGTAGGATCAGGCATATTTATGAATCGGTCCAAGATGCCATACCTCATTAGCACAACAAGATGAACACCGGATTGATAGACGGATATTTCGTCTTCGTCATAGGTGACGTAAGTTGGCAAAAGCCAAACGAGCTTTCTGAATCCGTGCTGAGATTTCGTCAGATACCAGCCCATTAGGGCTGATCAGACTTCCAAAATAAGTGAAGTTATCGACGCGTTCGATCACTTCACTCCCTATCCTTAGTTCAGGTGTTGACGCAGGTCAGTCCTGGAGTAACAATTTACATTTAGATGGAGAGAAACGCATCCCAAACATCCTGACATTATTCCTAACAGAAGACCCTATGTTATCTGAATTGTTTAGAATAGGAAATTTGGACTACAGAATTAAAACACTCAATAATGTAAAGATTAAACACTAGGCATCAAATATTCAAAACTAAAAAATGAATTCTTTGTGAAGTGAACTTTGATGATTTTGTTGCCAACGACAACAAAAGATTTCCAATTATAAACTACAAAGCTTAGAGAAGATAACCTTAACCTACCCAAAAAACATTCACATGAACTGCCAAAATTGATTAGTTCCATTGAAATAACTTGAACTTACGTCTTTAAATAATTACCCAAATGAAATTTATGTATTAAACGAACAATAAATTCATCTGGTGGTAGAACACAACTAGCAATTTGTAACAATTGTAGATCACGATCAACTAATTCAACACGAATGGATGGACTAAACAAATTTGTCATCTATACAAATGTAGAATAATTAAAAAAAGATAAATTTGAAATAAATACAACAGTTAATTATAAAAAACATACAGTCAGGCATAAAAGTGAACTAGTTCAAGTTGTCTAACTATATCATGATTAGCAAAGATGGATAGTGACTAGCAGTAAAATCCAGAATGCGCGTTTCGTCTTATTTGGGACTCGTCAGCTGGATGTACCTGAGTTGATGTTCAACCAGTACCTTTCGCTTCAAACGCCATCGCGTTATCCACTCGGCCACTGAGTCCTGATAGCCACTTGCTTGTGCAATGGGGTGAAGTTTATATCATGATTAGATAAAATCAACAGGATACATAGAAAAAAAAGTCAAAATAACATCAGCAGCAGTGAAAGTAAGGGAGATCAAATATTAAGAACATGGTTCAAGAAGACAAAATTAGGAGATATGTATAAAGAGTTACTGGGATAGATAAAGAGGATGCATCTGCACCACTAAGAATGAAACTCATCCATAATATTCAAGATTTCAAATCACTAATGAGGGTGAGCTAGCAGACTTCGACGAGGTACCTTGTATACAACAACATAAGTCATATACACGTACAGTGAAAATAAAGGGAAGAAAGGTAAGAATAACCAATGTAGTTTTTTTAACATCGAGTCGTTGATAAGTGGATATCAAAAAGTTAAATGTCAAGATGTAATCATTATTGATTAGATCACGGTGTAATTCTATAAAGACCCAGAGTACAGGTTGATGAGAAATCTAGGCCGATAGAAACTAACAGTATTAATAATATCCAGAAGTATTCAGTGCATCGAAGCTTGGAAACGACATAGGTTACATAAATATAATGAAGAAAAATAAAAGGAAATAAGACTTCATCAATTATAAAAGATCAGAATCACAAAGAAAAATAAATAAAAGTTCCGTTACCTGACCACTCTTTCTTCAGCACGGTATTCTAACAAGAGGAATATAGGAAATGTATTCATGTTACTGAAAGTAAAACTTTGTAGCATAACGGACCAACAATGATTATGTTGTGTGTGAAGCGGTTACCTACATATTATAACCAAACGCAGCTGTGCAGTAATACAACTTGACTGACAGCGATAACGTCTCTGACTGTGATGCTGGATGATGTAGGATCGAGTCCGTCAGGAAGCGTCAGTTTCCCTAAAATTTCAGGTACACCTTACTGACGAGCGTCCAATACCACGAATTCCTCCGACTATCGCCTTATACACATGTTCGAACTTGCGAATAATCAGATGAAAGCTGAATACTTTAACCACTAAGCTAACTCCCTCTCCGCTCCAAAGCTCATACATTTAGTACGTAAATTTATTCACATAAAAAAATAAGTACAGCAATAAAATCACACTTACAGATTGTTGAACAGCGAATCCATTACGAACCCACATTTTAGCATTGCATTGAGCACAGAATGCGAATATTTGCAACGGTCGTTCAATCAATAAATTTACAAATCCCTTTTTAGAAATAAATAATAATTAGAAAGCAAAGACAATATTCAAGTTGATAATGAGGTGGTTAATATCAAAAGAAAAGGTATAACAGAGAACTGCACTATGTTAAGGTATAACAATGAAGCACATAGAATCCACAAGTAGGATACTCAGGAGAATTTACGAGGAGGAAGAGAAAGTAGGTGAATAGTATGAAGATATTGGGTAGTTACAGTACTCCTTAACTATTAAATCTGTAATATCTTGTTGAATGTGGCCACAACGAATCGAATTCACACACACTAATTATGCTGTCTATAGTGTATACATGCTTTTTCTAAATGACTCAACATTTCTCAAAACCGTTTCTTTTTTCCGAATCCTTTTCAATCATCGAAAGTGAAATATGTTGGAAAACTAAGAGTAAGGTGTTAATAAGTATGTAAATACCATACAATTAGTCACTCAAATAAAAACATGTGGCTTGACGGGAGTGTGTATTTGTTGGGGATGTCAAATCCCCAGAACTTACTTGGTAAATGGCCTAATCTTGTAGTTTTATTTTGAAAATTTGAATTTAGCTGTTTTCGCGCCAAAAGCGCTCTTTTACCTTCACGTCATATTTCCCACCTGTAAACTATCTTAACCGCTATTGGTCCTTTGTTTCTTTATGTGTGCTATTTACTAATGGTGCTCAAGGACAATTTGTTACTGTATAAATGCGCTTGACTTTTTTCCCTTATTTGATTGCTTGTACTCGGCTGCTTACGGAATACATATATATTCCCCTACTTGCCTTGGAGTTCTTCATCTAGTTAGCGGGGCCTGGGACAACAGATTAGAATAGCTTATCGTGTCATTGTGTCATTGGCTTTCGTTCGTTACCGCGGAATCGATTTAGTTTCAGGCATAACAATTGGCGACGGTGGTTTGGAAACATGGATCCTTCTAAACTCGAATCATTACTTGAACAGCAGCTGAAGCTCATACAAATGCTGACAGACATGAAAGTTTCGCCCCCTTCACAGCCTAGCACAGCTAATGCAACCACAGCACCATCAGTAGACGGCGTCGCAAATAGTATTGCTGAGTTTCATTATGATCCTGATGCAAACGTTACTTTTGACATGTGGTTCCGGCGTTATGAAGACCTATTTAAATTTGATTTTGCTAATCAAGATGATGCTTGGAAGGTACGACTGCTACTTCGGAAGTTGGGTGCAAGTGAGCTGGACAGGTACTGCAATTTGATCCTGCCATTGAATCCACGTGATCGCTCTTTCGCAGACACAGTCCAGACACTAAGCCTACATTTTGGGGACAATTCATCATTGTTTAACACCCGTTACCGATGTTTGAAGCTGGTTATGAACGAAGACGATGACTTCCTTACGCATGTGGGCATCGTTAACCGTGAATGCGAACGGTTCCGGTTAAAGTCTTTATCTGAAGACCAGTTCAAAGCCCTTATCCTCATTTGCAGCCTTCAGTCCCAGAAGTTCAGTGACATAAGAACGCGACTACTATGTCGATTGGACCAAGATCCAAAACTCACACTAAATGACATGGCTAATGAATATCAACGCCTAGTAAATCTACAACGAGACACGTCGATGGTTGAGAGTGGTGGGTCTAGTCGATCGGAAGTACGAGTAATCCAAAAGACAACTAACCAGAATCAGTGCGCTCCCGCTGCATTCAGTCCAACTCATTTCAGCCCAATTCGACAGACCAGAACAAATCCCTCCACTCCTTGCTGGCATTGTGGTGCATGGCACTACGTAAGGAATTGCCCATTTAAGCAACATCGATGCAGGAAGTGCAAGGTTGTTGGCCACAAGGACGGGTTTTGCCTTAAGAGCACACCAAATCGATCCAGTAATACCAAAAAGACGGTTCCAAAGCCCTGTACCTCTTCTTTGAGCTTGGTATCTTCTTGTCAGAGTTCATCACCAGGTGAGAGGAAATTCATTAACATTAATATTAATGGACATTTTTTTAGATTGCAAATAGATACCGCATCAGACGTCACCATCCTCTCTCACAAAAATTGGATCAAAATGGGTCGCCCAAGCCTGCAGCGAACAACTAAAAAGCCTCGTACCGCATGTGGTAATTTCCTACACTTAGAAGGACAATTGGAATGTAGAGTGACCTTCCGGGAGTCGTCATTTACCGGGGTATGTCATATAACTCCAGCTGATCTAAATTTACTTGGTTTAGATTGGTTCGATCAACTGAAATTGGCTGATGTCCCACTAAATACCATATGCCACATGATATCACAACCTCATGGCACTGAATCGTATACCAGGAAGCTAATGGCGCAGTTTTCATCGATTTTCCAGCCTGGTTTGGGACAGTGTTCTACCTTAAAAGCAACGCTTCGTTTGAAACCTGGAGCTAAGCCTGTCTTTCGTCCCAAAAGACCCGTGCCTTATGCGACGTTACCAACAGTAGATGAAGAATTAAACCGCCTCCAACAACAAGGAGTAATTACTCCCGTTTCTTACTCCGCCTGGGCAGCACCGATAGTGGTCATCAAGAAAGCAAACGGCACCTTACGAATATGTGCTGATTTTTCTACAGGTCTAAATGCAGCCCTTGAACAACACCACTATCCCTTACCAGTTCCGGCAGATTTGTTTACGATGCTGAATGGGGGAAAATTCTTCGCAAAACTGGATCTTGCTGATGCTTATTTGCAAGTTGAAGTAGACGAAGCATCTAGGGAGCTGCTTACTATCAACACTCACCGTGGGTTATTTCAGTACAACCGTTTACCATTCGGTGTCAAGACTGCACCATCTATTTTCCAACAATTAATGGATACTATCTTATCGGGCATCCCGGGAGTCGCGGCTTACCTTGACGACATTCTAATTGTTGCCGCAACGTTAGAACAGCTACATGAGCGAACGACATCGGTACTGAAACGCATTAGTGAAAACGGGTTCCGGTTACGACCTGAGAAATGCCAGTTTTTATTACGGTCCGTAAAGTATTTGGGGTTTATTTTTGATGCTGACGGCCGCAGACCGGATCCTGAAAATGTCCAAGCGATACGACAGATGCCCACACCCACGAATATCTCCGCACTGCGTTCCTTCATGGGACTGGTCTCTTACTATGCCGCGTTCGTCCCTTCAATGCATGACATTCGTGCCCCACTGAATGGCCTACTGAGCAAGAACAGTACGTGGAACTGGACTAAAGAGTGTGACGCAGCATTCTGTAAACTGAAGTCCATCATCAGCTCGAAATTGTTATTAACGCACTACGATCCATGCATGCCAATCATTGTAGCTGCAGATGCCTCAGCGTATGGCGTAGGAGCCGTCATTTCTCATCAGTTTCCAGACGCAACAGAGAAGGCTGTCATGCACGCATCCCGAACACTGACCCCGGCAGAAAGGAAGTATAGTCAGATAGAGAAGGAGGCTCTCGCCCTGGTGTTTGCGGTGCGGCGGTTCCACAAATTTTTGTACGGTCGGAGGTTCACACTCCTTACGGATCACAAGCCCCTTCTCGCAATTTTTGGTTCGAAATCTGGCGTCCCGGCCCACTCTGCAAACCGTCTCCAACGATGGGCTTTGATCCTCTTGGGGTATGATTTTGACATTCAGTATCGACGCACCAAACAATTTGGTCAAGCAGACGCATTGTCACGACTCATCAACGAACACTCTACGACCGATGAAGATGCCGTTATCGCTTCTTTTTCGACAGAAGACCACGCGCAATGCTACCTGACAACCGCTGTTCGTGCTTTGCCAGTCTTAGAATCTGAGATACAAATTGCTTCCAGAAACGACCCCGTCATTAAGAAAACGATGAACTACGTCACCAATGGCTGGCCATCAACTGAACTTGACGGTGACATGAAGCAGCTTTACCATCGTCGTGACTCATTATGTGTCGTAAATGAATGCTTGATGTTTGGAGATAGAGTGGTCGTGCCAGAATCCCTACGACCGAGGGTGCTGAAGCAATTCCACATTGGTCATCCAGGCATAAAGCGTATGAAATCCATCGCCAGAAGCTATGCTTACTGGCCCCTCATGGACCAGCATATCGTGGATCTAGTAAACAAATGTGCTCAGTGTCAACAAGCTGCAAAGTCCAATGCGAAGGTACCGCCGGTCCCATGGCCACAGCCTGAGCATCCCTGGTCTAGGATACATATCGACTTTGCCGGTCCAGTCAACGGAACCACATATCTTATCGTGATCGACGCCTTCTCAAAATGGCCGGAGATTGTTCCCGTCACTCCACCAACGACCACCCAGACTCTGAAACATTTGACTGAGTTGTTCGCACGAAACGGATTACCGGAAGTGATTGTATCCGACAACGGTTCGCAGTTCGCCTCGGCGCAGTTCCAAGAGTTCTGCAAACGCCTAACCATCAGGCATCTTCGCGCCCCACCTTACCACCCACAATCGAATGGGCAAGCGGAAAGGTTCGTGGATACGTTCAAGAGGGCTCTGATTAAGTCAAAAGGGGAGGGGACGCCAGTGGAAACACTGCAGAATTTTTTATTTGCCTACAGAACGACCCCCAACGACACGCTGCCGGAGCAGAAGTCCCCCGCAGAGATCCTCATGGGAAGACGGCTGAGGACCATTCACAACTTGATGCTGCCGAAATCCACACCACCACTAATACAAACCACGTCCCGGAAGCTACCCACGTACAACGTTGGATGCCCAGTATTCGCTCGGGACTACAGAGCAAATCGTGACCCTTGGATCGAAGCACGTGTGGTTAGACGGATGGGAGAAGTTATGTATGAGGTTGAGGTAGGAACGGACAGATGGACCAGACATCGAAATCAACTACGCAAGCGGTTAACACCAGAGCGCCCATCGACCGAAGTAAAGATTCCGCTGGACGTACTATTGGATACATTTAATCTGCCGGCAGTCCCAACGCATGAAGAAGATCAAAAGGTCGATCTACGGTCCCGAAGATGGTCACTGCGCCAACGGCGACAGACAGTTAGAATGCAGGTGGACCCAAAGAATGTCCGTTACTAAAAAGGGGAGGTGTTGGGGATGTCAAATCCCCAGAACTTACTTGGTAAATGGCCTAATCTTGTAGTTTTATTTTGAAAATTTGAATTTAGCTGTTTTCGCGCCAAAAGCGCTCTTTTACCTTCACGTCATATTTCCCACCTGTAAACTATCTTAACCGCTATTGGTCCTTTGTTTCTTTATGTGTGCTATTTACTAATGGTGCTCAAGGACAATTTGTTACTGTATAAATGCGCTTGACTTTTTTCCCTTATTTGATTGCTTGTACTCGGCTGCTTACGGAATACATATATATTCCCCTACTTGCCTTGGAGTTCTTCATCTAGTTAGCGGGGCCTGGGACAACAGATTAGAATAGCTTATCGTGTCATTGTGTCATTGGCTTTCGTTCGTTACCGCGGAATCGATTTAGTTTCAGGCATAACAGTATTAACTAGGGTTAGTGGGATATGAGCTATAATTAGTAAGATAGATAAATCTATGATTGACCACTGAGCCGGCATCCAACGGTGTTAATGTCGAACCTCAACCAATCTCAAGACCTTGACTGTTAAACAACAAACACAACTCTGTTTAAATTCCACCCATTACCAATATCACAAGTAACTACATTTTATGATTGGGATATTAGTTGTCTATAAGTTAAATTATCCATGATTTCAATGCCTTGGTTGCTTAACACAAGCACATCAGCTTCTTATTCCGTCTAATCCGAATGATTATTTGCCATAATATATTCTGTCGAAAAGAAAATCGATGATTGAATTAAACACGAACAACCTTGGTAGCTAATTAAGTTCATACTTCATTCGAACTCACAGCAAAAAATGATCAATACATTCAAACAATAGTGGCATAGAGAAATTTTTTTTAGCTAAAGTGAAGGATGAAGGACACCACTCCCATTGTACATTTTCAGTGGACAAGTACAGTGAGCGATAAAAACACCAATTAGAAGATATTTTTACTACGAATTCCTCAAATACTGGATCAATAAGGAAGGAATATTATGGTCGCCCCCAAATGCCCTGGTACGGCCGAGAGTGAGGAGAGTTCGCTCTCCCTCTCGAAATGCTCTCACATGGCCACGCATATAAAACCACTAACAGGGAAGTCCTACTCACTACCTTCTCGTGGCACCAGTGTTGTTTACGAAATTGAGAGGACGAAAACCGAATGTTCGGCGCTTTAACCGGGTTGGTGGACACGGAAAGTCCACCTCCAAGAGTTGGAAAATCCTGATTTCAAACCAATGGTGCACATGGACTCCAGTATCCTGAAGGAACAAATGGCGTATGAATCAATTATTGGTCACCGATTACCATGGGACTGCATCTCCTCACGATGGTCCACTGCCTTGTGGATCAGATCTTTAGGTCAAAGGCTCCGGATGTGGTCCCCTAAGAAAACTACCTGCTTCAGTTTGGGTACCTGGACAGCATCCCAGCCCTCACACAAACCAAATGAGATTCGTGCGGTGCATATATATCTGGTGCCCCTTTGTACCAATATTCATGTGTTTAAATAAATAAATAAATAAATATTATGGTCACAAGATATAATATAAACAATAAAAACAACTTTCTACCTGATCTAATAAACCCAAGCTTTCAAAATTCAATCCCATTTCTAATCCATGTCCATATAAACTTGCCAATAATCGAGGAATTGGTTGTAATAAACTTAAACGATACACTGATACATCATATACATAAACTTCTGTTGTGACACCAAGTGAATCGAAATTTAGTTTATTCGACATGGCATTGTTATCAGCTTGATTAGATTCATCACTGCTATTAACTGTTGTTAACGGTTTAATACGAAAGCGACGATCCAGCACACCAATACGTGTTTCAAAGATCTATACAATAAAAAGCACAAATAAACAAACAAACAACAATATGAAACCACATGAGAGATTCTGCAAACAAAATACAAAAGAATAACGCCATATGCAACAACAAAATTATAGAATAATATGAATATTTACATTTTTTGAACAAACATCATTCAATTACGAAGGCTAGAAGTACAATTATAACAGGCCACAATTTTACCGGATGTGAATGTTTTAATTTCCCTTTTTCACCTTACAACAACACCATCCATTAAATAAAAATGGACAAGCATATTCTAATTCAATACGGGTTAGCAGTTATCATGTTCATAGGTTTAGGCTTTATAACGTTCTTCCTTCCTATACTATATCCTTATATACAACTTTTCTTTTATATACTACCACCACTAAATTAACTATTTCTATGAATTCGGTGTTCATCTTGTTGTGCTAAGGAGGTATGATAACTTGGACAAATGCACAAATGTGCCTGGTCCTACGTTGTAGCTGACTGACTGACTGACTGAGGTTTAGGCCCATGTGACTGTATATAAAATTGAAGAATTTTAAGCAACAGACAAAACAACTGTCTAATTTTCAGACGATATCATGTCTTTTCATAAACCATCCTAACTAAATCATTAACAAAAGCCTGTTGTCGTGGAATTTTAATGTCCTCATTACATATCGAATGCTTCACTGTTTTAAAATCTTAAAGCTGACTATTTTTGCAACAAAAGCCAATTTTAATAGTTAAACTTACGAGTCGATATAAGCTAGACTATCCTTAAGAACCTAAAAGTACTGGATGACCGTTTCATCCTACCATATGACTCCTCAGTAGTCCTCATCCACGATCCCGCATAAGGGATTCGAACCCAAGACCTTCGGTCTCAAGCGCGAACACTTAACCTCTAGACTATTGAGCCGGCATCCAATGGTGGTCTAGCTTCCATCGAATCATGAATTCAGCTATTAAAAACACTACAATCTCCACGAACCCCCCATTCTAATAAAAACCAATTCATTGAATAAAAGAGGAGTTTAATATTTCGGTATTTCATAGATAACAAAATACTAACACCAATGATTTCTTTGAGTTTTCACAATATTTCTGTTCATACTTTACCTTAAAGATAATGAAAATAGCAATGTCATAATAGTCTACGTAAGATCATTAGTTTGTTTAACTAATCATATAAAAAGGGGTCAAAATCATCCTGCGATAACCATAGAGGGATTAGTCTGACTAACATAGTATCTAAAATACTAGCCTCAATAATTATCAGGCGCCTAACTAAAACTCGTGAACTGCAAACACGAGAAAATCAGGCTGGCTTCAGACCTGGTCGTGGCTGTATCGACCACATATTCACCATTCGTCAAGTTTTAGAGCACAGACATGCTTATCGGCGTCCGACAATGATAGTTTTTCTTGACTTGAAAGCAGCATTTGACTCTGTAGACCGAGAGGTTCTGTGGCAGTGTCTGTCATTGAAAGGTGTACCTGAGAAGTACATAAACCTTGTGAAGGCTCTTTACTCGAACACTATCAGTCGGGTGAGAGCTTATGGCGAACTGTCATATGATTTTACAACCTCAAGTGGTGTCCGTCAAGGCTGTCCACTATCCCCCTTTTTGTTTAACTTCATTATAGACCTGTTGCTGCAAATGACACTCTCGTCGACTGAGTTTACAGGAATTGATCTCCTACCAGGGGGACCACTAAGCGACTTAGAATACGCAGATGACATAGTCCTGTTTGGTGAAGAAACTGACAAAATGCAGAGTCTTCTGTTGGAACTCAGTAATAATGCCAGGATGTTTGGGATGCGTTTCTCCCCATCCAAATGTAAATTGTTACTCCAGGACTGGCCTACGTCAACACCTGAACTAAGGACAGGGAGTGAAGTAGTCGAACGTGTCGACAACTTCACTTATCTTGGAAGTCTGATCAGCCCTAATGGGTTGGTGTCTGACGAAATCTCAGCACGGATTCAAAAAGCTCGTTTGGCTTTTGCCAACTTACGTCACCTATGGCGAAGACGAGATATCCGTCTATCAATTAAGGGACGAGTATACTGCGCAGCAGTTCACTCTGTTCTACTTTACGGCTGTGAAACATGGCCATTAAGAGTAGAAGATACTCGTAGGTTACTAGTATTTGACCACAGATGTCTTAGAAATATTGCTCGCATCTGCTGGGATCACCAGGTAAGTAATAGTGAGGTTAGACGCAGGGTATTAGGTAACGATGGTAACACAGTTGATAACGTCATGAATCTTCATCGACTGAGATGGTTGGGCCATGTGTTACGTATGCCTGAACACCGATTACCACGACGCACTATGATGACTAGTGTAGGGGATTGTTGGAAGAGAGTTAGGGGCGGCCAAACCAAAACATGGCATCAGTGCTTGAAGTCACTAACTTCTAGCCTGAGCCATGTTGGTAGATGCAGACTACCTGGTTGGGGTCCGCGTGACTATCGTAATAAATGGTTGGAGACTCTAGGTGACATGGCTCAGAATCGATCACAATGGCGTAGGTGTATACACTCTTTATCTTCCCTTAAACCTTGATATTAAAATTGCTTCATATCTCTCTTCCATCCTACTATATCCTTATATACAACCTTTCCTTATATACTATCACCACTAAATTAATTACTTCTATGAATCCGGTGTTCATCTTGTTGTGCTAAAGAGGTATGGCAACTTGGACCGATGCATATATGTGCCTGGTCCTACGTTGTAGCTGACTGACTGACTGACTGAATCATGTGAGAGGTGCAATTGTTTAATATCCAACAAATTGATAGTGGTATGATTTGTTCATAGATGTTTACACTTAACACATGAAAGACAAATAAATGCTGATTTCATCATACGTCGGAAGGAATATTTATCAAAAAAGGATGAACGTATGATATCATTTTGCCTTCAAACCACGTGACTTTCAGTATAGAATGGCGTTATGATATTTTTCTTAACAAAACAATCGTATTTAATCTCCGAGTAAAAAGTCAGTCAGTCACAACGTAGAACTTTGTACGTACGTACATCACACCGAATTGCCATACCACATTAGCACAGAGATCCACTTGTTGGTTCAAATTTCATAGTGGTAGAAGTAGTAAGAGCATAAGTAGTAATCCGAAAGACTAGGGTTTGAAGATGTTATTCAAGAAGTATAATCCAGTGAAATAAATTTGGAAAGAGAAAAAGATAAAGACATGAAGAATTGAGAGGATTAGAATTTGGCAGAACTCAAAGAGTGGATGCACCTTCGCCATTGCAAACGATTTTGAGCCATGTCATTCAAGGTCTCTAATCATCGATTGCTATCATCTCGCGAATCCCAACCAGGTAGTCTACACCTACCAACATGGCTCAGTCCACTTGTCAGTGACTTCATGGACTTGTGCCACGTTTTGGTATGCTGGATTAAGCAGCATGTTACTTCTTAACAAGCCTTGTTTTCTAATTCATTTGTCACACTTATTTTTCATATGTGTAATTGATATATCTTCTGATTTTCATGATTCAATGATAATAATCTGACCTTTTTATAATTTTCTATTTCATGTGTTGAATGATTGGTTCCTTTCAAATTTCTATGACTGACCTAAACAGTCGCAAAATCTGGTTACAATCACCCAGTATTTTTGTGTCATAATTATACATGGAACACATTATTCTAATGGAATATTTTAATTTATCAGAAGGCGTTTTTGTGGAAATTTAGTATTTTTCATAGTTGAAAGCGTAAGACAATTGAAGCTAGACCACCATGGAAAACCTGGAAGCACTGGACGGCCGTTTCGTCCTATAGTGGGATTCCTCAGCAGTGCGTATCCACGACCTCGCCTAGCGAGATTCGAACTCACGACCTACCAGTCTCGCGCCAGAGCACTTAACCGATAGACCACTAAGCCGGCATTTCATGGTATTTATGTCTAAGTCACAACCAATCCACGAAGTTGAAAAACCGTTCACAAATTGTCTTCAGTGACTTTCTATCTCACAACAGACGTGGTTTGAACTCCACTGGTCACTGCTTCTCACTAGAACTCCTGGATTTACCTTTCGGAGTCCCACAATAAGACGAAACGGCCGTCCGATGCTTCCAGGTTTTCCCTGGTGGTCTAGCTTCAATTGACCCACGCTTTCAATTATTTTAATTTAGACAGTCTATCACCTCTAGTCGAAATTGCCAATTCATCCTGGTGTTCAGGCATACGTAACACGTGGCCCAACCATCTCAGTCGATGAACGTTCACAACCTCATCAACTGATTTACCATCATTCCCTAATACCCTGTGTCTAACCTCACTATTACTTACCCGGTTATCCCAGCAGATGCAAGCAATATTTCTAAGGCATCTGTGGTCAAATACTAGTAACCTACGAGTATCTTCTACTCTTAATGGCCATGTTTCGCAGCCATAGAGTAAAACAGAACGAACTGCTGCGCAGTATACTCGTCCCTTAATTGATAGACGGACATCTCGTCTTCGTCATAGGTGACGTAAGTTGGCAAAAGCCAAACGAGCTTTTTGAATCCGTGCTGAGATTTCGTCAGACACCAACCCATTAGGGCTGATCAGACTTCCAAGATAAGTGAAGTTGTCGACACGTTCGATCACTTCACTCCCTATCCTTAGTTCAGGTGTTGACGCAGGTCAGTCCTGGAGTAACAATTTACATTTAGATGGAGAGAAACGTATCCCAAACATCCTGGCATTATTACACAGTTCTAACAGTTCTAACAGGAATAGATCAGTTTGAGTGAATTTGCTGTATTCATGTTCTGACTCATAGATCCTTGTTTTAATTAATCTAATTATCTCCGAATATATTTTACAGAAGCTGTTATGTTTTGAAATTTTTAACGGGTTATCACTGAAATTGCGAGACCGAATACTACATAAGTGGTTTAAGTTTGTATTACATTAACGTCCAATGATTAAATTTGTTCTCTTATAGCCTATTTGCTTGGATTTATTACAGAAACCAAAACAAGGAACTTACTTGACGAACTTCACGTAATACCAAATTGTAAAGTTCATAATCTGAACTTGCCACTTGTACAGTTAAACCAAGTAGACTAATTAGTAAACTCATGATATAAAATCCACTAGCCCATTCTAATTCTTCTTCAACATGATTTTGTGTTTCACGTTGCATACCATTCATATCCTATAGGTGGGTAAAAAAGTGAATAAACAGTGCAATTATGTAAATGTAAATATATGAGCAGTTAAACTGTCCTAAAACTGAATATACAATAGAGTATCTCATCTTAAAGAAAATATTTTAGTCGTGATATTGTGCTTTTTGAGTTAACCTGACAGTTGTTTTGAACAGAAACATCAGTAACTTCTAATAGTGGTCGTCTGCTGAAACTGTGCTCAAACAATTTATTTATGACAAGCACCAATTTTAAGCATAAAGAGACATTGTCTGAAATGGCAGTCTCCTGCACCAAACAAACGATGAACTCAAATAGACCATATTGCCATCAGTCATCGTTGAAGAGGCTCGATAGAAGACTGTCGCTCGTTCTGGAATACATGTTTGGACTCCGATCATACTTTAATACAAACACGTATTTATTGCGCCTCACTAGACACAGAAAAGCCACATCAACAAGACCAATTCGAATTGAACTCAGTAATGAGAAAGCCAAAAGTAGATTCCAGGAACAAATAAAGTCACGTTTGGGCACTTTCAAGAACGACGTTGACCCAGATGTTGCTTGGAAAGATATACGAACAGCTGTGGAAACATCAGCCACATCTATTAGTGGTTTAAGCCAGTGTCACGAAGAACTAGTGGATTTCTAATAAGTCTATTGCACTGATAGACTCTCGTAAACTCATCCCATCAGGCTCTGAAAACGATGAAGAGCGATGACAAATCAGATCTAGGTTAACCAAAAGTCTGAAGAACGACCGCAAGCAGTAGTGGGTAACGAAAACAAAAGAGATGGAAAAAGCAGTCGCTGTAGGTAACACCAGACATCTTTTCGGACTATTAGAAGAAACTAGAATTAAGAATGATATAACGGATGGTTTACAATATGTTTCCTCTCACACTTATATTACGATGATACATCCCTACTTTAGTAACACTAATTATGTTATATCAGAACCAGGATTCGCGATCCAAAATAGAAAACCAGATTAACACTAGAGAATACTTTAATCAATACAACTAAAAACAGTCACACACGGTGAGTCCAGAGTAGAAATAATTGATAAGAAAGAAAATCACATATTCAGTCCGTAGGCTGTGGCTATTTGTCCACGCTCAACGACCAATCATAATTAACTTTCACTACCACACATCAGATAAGTCAAGTAAGAGACAGTCTGGGAAAAAGACGGAACTCATATCTGCTCTAACTCTACACGTTTAGAACGATGAGCAGAACACATTGAGGAGCACTTCAGATGGCTTTCAGTTACTCTACAGCTACCCATGTGTTACATATGCCTGAACACCGATTACCACGACGCGCTATGCTGACTAGTATTGGGGATGGTCGGGAAATTGCTTTATATCTTTCTATCAACTAATTCTTTCTTCCTGTATCATAGCCTGATATGCAATCCTTCTTCTATATATTACTGCAATTGAAGTAACTACTATGAATTTGGTGATTATTTTGTTGTGGTAATGAAATATGGCAACTTGGACTGAGGCATATATGTGCCTAGTCTTATGTTTTAGCTGACTGACAAACTTGAAGCGAAATGAACTGTTTTTGAATTTTTCTTCAAATTTAGACTGTTTTTTCGATAGTTTACCAGTATATTTGTTGGGACTTAATTGTTTATAGGTTTAACGTAGGACATTGTTTAAAAACCTCCAACACAGTTCTGCTCCTCTAATTCAAATAATATATAACCATAATTTCTTTTCCATACCCTAGAATCGCGTAAAAATGGTTAGACTGTACCAAATGTATTCGAATATGTAATAAAGTATGCTCTGAAAAATCTTAAATTATTCAAAGGAAATGCCAAGTGAAATTCGGTATAACAATCGATGCAACAAAAAATGATATTTGGTTGCCTGTCAAGTGTGTAAAAACCCATCACAGTAACTGTTTGCAGACCGTAGTGATTTTATCAAATTTTTCAAAGAGAGTAATTAAAGAATGAGACTTTAAGTACGGGATTATCGCAGAGAATTACTCGACTATATTGAGAATCTTATAGTTGAAATCATGAGTCAATTGAAGCTAGAACACCATAGAAAACCTGGAAGCACTGAACGTCCTTTTTCGTCCTATTGTGGGACTCCTCAGCAATGCGAATCCACGATCCCGCACCACGAGATTCGAACCCAGGATCTATCAGTCTCGCCCGCGAATGCTTAACCTCTAGACCTTACAAATTTTTAACTTATCACTGAAAGTATATTTCTATCACAAAATGTAAAGTGGAACAAAATAAATTCTATGGTAGAATAAAAAAACTGACCAATAAAATTATACACATGTCATATATTAATGTATGAACATCGTAACTGCGATACATATATTTGTTACTAAGGAGGGAATAAAGATGACAAGTCAACTTACTTGTATAAAACTAAGCAATGATAAAAATTGTCTTATATAATCAAGAAATGAATATCTTGCAGCTTCCGTCCACCAAGTAACTGAACAATTACCATCATTATCTATTAAAATAGGTCGAACATTAGTTAAACTGGCCAGAATGTAATTCACATCACGTATAACATGAAATAATCGTTCAAATGGATGAAATAATGAACGAGCAAGTGTATTACCAGCTTGCCATGATAAAACACGCGGTTCTGGAAGGACACCATTTATTGGATTCATAGTAGTTGATGATATTGTAACATTGTTAATATAAGATCCAGTTGATGAACCCCATTCGAATGGATTTAAACGTCTAAGTAGGTCAAGTACAGCACTAACCCATGATACATTTGTATCAGCATTAAAATTAGATATAACTAATTCTTCTTGAATATCAGCAGGTATATTTTGATTATTTGTTTGTGAATAGAAATCGGGTAAAACAATTGAATTCACTTGAAATGCACTAGTTAATCGAGAAATTAATCGTGTCAAAATATTGTTCTGCTCTAAAAGCTGACGTGCCTGTAATACAAACAATAATAATAATAATATTACATTATTTTTCCAAGTTGAAATCATGATTCAATTGAAGCTAGACCACCATCGAAAACCTGGAAGCCCTGGACGGCCGTTTCGCCCTATTATGGGACTTCTCAGCAGTGCGCATCCACGATCCCGCACTCGCGAGATTCGAACCCAGGACCTACCAGTCTCGAGCCAGAGCCTTAACCTCTAGACCACTGAGCCGGCATCCAATATTGGATTACATATTTATTAGGTATGATATCCTCTTCTAAGTTAAAAAAAAACTTTATACACAATACTTTATACTTTCGTTATGGACAATATAGAAAACAGGTACAACTATATACCAAGCTGTGTGGCCAAAACGCCAATTGTAAGAATTTCTTTTATGTCCATTGTTCGTATACAAGACAGAATTGTGATTAACATTGGTTGGTAGCATATAGGTTTCTTTTTAATTTCGTTTTGCTTCAGTTAATGACAAAATGACAATACAGAGTGCACTGAAAAGGGCATCATCATAAAAGACTGACTTGAGTAATATATCATTTGATATAACAGTTCACTCAATGTTACAATTTAAAGCGCTAGTCAATAAGATCTTCGCGAATCCATGCATTATTACCATGTTATGAAGATGAGTGATGAGTGAAATTAATTCAATAAAGTGAAACATGGCCATTAAGAGTAAAAGATACTCGTAGGTTACTAGTATTTGAACACAGATGCCTCAGAAATATTGCTCGCATCTGCTGGGATCACCAGGTAAGTAATAGTGAGGTTAGACATAGGGTATTAGGGAACGATGGTAACACAGTTGATAACGTCATGAATCTTCATCGACTGAGATGGTTGGGCCATGTGTTACGTATGCCTGAACACCGATTACCACGACGTGCTATGATGACTAGTGTAGGGGATTGTTGGAAGAGAGTTAGGGGCGGCCAAACCAAAAAGTGGCATCAGTGCTTGAAGTCACTAACTTCTAGTCTGAGCCATGTTGGTAGATGCAGACTACTTGGTTGGGATCCACGTGACCATCGTAACTAATGGTTGGAGACTCTAGGTGATATGGCTGAGTCTATCATAATGGCGTGGGTGAATAATTTCTTTATCTTCTCTTAAACTTTGAGATTAGAATTGCTTCATATCTGTCTTTCTTTCTGTATTTTATCCTTATATACAACCTTTGCTTTATATATTACCATCACTAAATTAACTATTTCTATGAATTCGGTGTTGATCTTGTTGTGCTATGGAAATTTGGACCGATGCATAAATGTGCCTAGACCTACGTTGTAGCTGACTGACTGACTGAATTCAATAAAGTACAGAGACTGATTACAACTGATATCTTCTTGATGAAAATATCACATAGCTAATACTTTATTGATTCATTTTCTGCACCGAAACAATATAGGATGCAAACTGAAACTTGGTCATAAACATAAAATATGCAAAATATCATTGAGAAAAAAATAATAAATTGTGTTATAACTAGGAAAATAAAACAATACCATTATCACAAACTGAATATAGGAACTTCGATTAATTGATGTACAAGATAATACAAAAACGAAGATTTGTAGTTCAGAGGAAGAATTTTGGAAGTATAATGTTCTCTGATCTGGATAATTTAACTGTGTAGTATTTATTATCTGTTGAGACAAATTCAGCAACCTTTAGTTTCAAAAGTAGTAAGCTTATTTATTTATTTGAAAACACAAATATACGTAAAAAGATGCACCGGATGCATATGCGCCACACAAGTCACTTGATGAAGTATCATGGTAACCGGTCACCAACAATAGGTTCATACCCCACTTTTCTTCCCTTACGATCATGGAGTCCATATGCACCATTGATTTGGAATCAGAGTTTTCCAACTCCCCTAGGTAGACTCTCCGTATCCACTAACCCGGTTAAAGCGCCGGACATTCGCTTTTCGTCCTCTCAATTTTTTAAACAACACCCCCGCCACCAGAAGGCAGTGAATGTATACGCGTGGCATATGAGAGCATTTCGAGAGAGAGAGAACGCGCTGACTCTCCCTACCTTCAGCCGTACCAGGGCATTTGGAGGCAAAGTGGTGTGTGTCGGCTATAAAACATTTTCGACAACTAACTAACAGCGCATCATCCTGACCTAGAATTTGATTGGTTGTTCCATATAAACAGACGAATCTGTTATATATATAATTTAGGAAGAGTGTATCTCTAGATATTGAGCTGCATCATCTGAAAATACAAAACATTGATCTAATTTATCTCGTTCAAAACCGATCAAGGAGCATGATTTATGTGTATCTTGCCATCAACTAGTTCGAACAAACTGATAAATAAATCTCGATATTCATAATGAATAAAAGATCTAAATGAGATCAGCAAATTACAAATCACTTCAAATTTTACGTATATAACAAAGTTGTATTAAGGAAAAATTAAAAACTAAAACCTTTTTTTAAAATATAAATGCATGAATCTACATAGAACTTACCAAACTGATAACAGTGTAAAATTGACAACTAAGACCGCACAGACTGTCTCCGACTAAATGATCATCGTAAATATGATTTTGAATTAACGATGAATATGACTGAGTATACACAGATGACAAAAAGGACATACAGTTTGTTTGATATAGGGAATCCATAGATGAAGTAAGTTTTTGTCGAAAACAAAATCAACACAAGAACAAAAAAAATCAATCATATGAATAGTAAATAAAATCAATCGTTTCATCTGACTACAATCATGTACAGTTAACATGGCGTAGTTACTATGGAAACAAAACACAACTGTCAAACAAAAATAATATTTAGTTTTTTGTTATAAAATTGACTTTTAAACAATAGTTTGCTGGTTCGAACTCTGCTTCACTTCATTTTATTTAGGTGACCCCCAAAGTGTATGTATGATTAACATTGAATATACAGATCGAATCAAAGCCAACTTAATACACCTAAACATGATAAATGAGAAGCATTATTAGTATTACATTGTAAGATTCAACTCTTAATCAAGAATAATTTTATGGTTGAAATCATGAGTCAATTGAAGCTGCACCACCACTTGATTTGTCCGTTGTTACAATTTCTTTTCTGGTGTACACTCATAACCAGCAGATCTAATGAAAGTGACTAGTCATAATGAAAGCAAAAAAGATGAAGAGGGTAATGATGAGAGGCAACACTAGACAGTTGTTTAAACTCATTGAAGAGATTGAGGTTGAAAATTCAGCTATTTGCTGAAACAAAACAGAAAAGATATAACCGTTATCTACTATTCAGTGGTTTAATACTTACTAAAATCTTGAACAGGAGATTGACTTCAAGATTTTAACTAACAGATAAATAAACTAACTGTAAGATAATAAGCACAGATTACGATGGACTAACTCGATAGATCTTCCGGAAAAATGGTAGTGATCACCGACCATTTCAGTCTATAAAGAGAACCACCACATTCATCGTCAAGAGGATACAAGTATTTATAAACAGTTGTCTACACAAAATACTCAACATTCATTGGCCGGATACTATCACCAACAGCGTTTTATGGGAGAGGGCAAATCAACGTTGGAAGTGGATAGGACATACATTGAGGACATCATCTAACTGCATCACGAGGCAAGCGCAAACTTGGAATCCGGAAGGGAAGAGGAAAAGAGGAAGGCCAAAAAGCATATTACATCGGGAAATAGAAGTAGATATGAAAAGGATGAATAACAACTGGAAAGGATTGCCCAGGACCGAGTTGGATGGAGAATGCTGGTGAGCGGCCTATGCTCCTCCACGTGGAGTAACAGGCGTATATAAGTAAGTAAACCTATTACGATAATCAGAGCAATGATCTTGGCTTATTTTTTTTAAATACTATCATTCATAATTAGTCTACATTTAACTTAAGCTCTGAAAAAATGAATCAGAGAAAATTCAACCCATCTTAAACCTAGTCATAGATGTGTTTGCCGAATGCTTTACACTTCATCACGTTCAAATCACTCCGATGGGTCTGTCGATGAAGCTGCATATAAGTTTTCGTTTACTTTATACCAGCCAGGTAAGATATCAAGTTCAACCATATTTTAGTGCCGACCTTATGTGAAATTATATCATTTCTGGCTACAGTGAAAGTTACATAAATGAAGGACTCCCTAAAGAAAACCAAAAAAAATTCCAAAGGATTAAGAATGGTTTTTTCTTATAGCTAAAGTATCGAGACTATAATTTATGAACGACCTATGGATGAATCTCGAGTGACATTGAGAAATATTAGCCAATCAGTAAACAATCAGTATAGAGTAAAAATATATTATACAAAACTAAAGAATTAAAGTGGATACACTTCTTTTACATGGTCCGAAAACTTGTCAAGGTTAGAAAGAGATTCAAAGGTTCTGAAATGGTAATGCATAAGGTAGAAGTACTCATCCATATGGCTCCATAATAGTTGGTCTCTGGAGCCATGATAAGGTCATAAAAACCCTCTCAGCCTCGACCACATAGCTTCATTATTGTTTGTTTGTACTCCGGCTGTGTAAGTTCATCATAATTATTATGGATGTGTCCCTACAATACTCATACCACCGAACAGACGGAGTTTCATTGACATCTGCGATTATTGCAGGCAATTTTACTGCTTCTTTTATTATACAGTTCGCGACAATTATTATAATATGCCTTAGTCTCAATCTGGATCGAGCGAAAAATTTTCCTATTCTAGCAAACGTCTTCCTTCAAATGATGTTACATCGAAGGACATCACGGGAGTTTGCACAAGGTTTACAAGTCATTTGATCACTGCAATTTCAAATAAAAGAACTTTTTAGTGATTTCACTTATTGTAGCCGCTTAATTGTCAAGCCTTCTCTAAAATTCTCTGTGAACCGATCATACATGAGCACCAGGTACTGAAATTGGCGCAATGACCTTGAAATCCCTCAGACTCTTCTGACCGGCTCGTCCATAAATTATAGTCTCGCCGCTAAAGTAATAAGGTACAAAGAGACATTGAGATACCCTACAAATACCCTTAATACATCATGATAATTATCTATTCTTCATAAGAGATTTTCAGATTTCGTTTAATTCTTCTTTAATAGTACTAATTTTTCACATTTTTTTGACGATAGATGAAGGCAATGAATATATAAAGCTTTTATTTTCTCCGGTTACAAGGTATTCAATATTGTAAAGTGAAGGAATTGTGCATTTTGAGAATTTCCACAGACTGAGTTGTTATACCCTTTTTTCAACAGACGAAATGATAAATTTGATATCCTCTTCAAAATGAATTTGATTAACAATTGATCACTGTCGAAAATATGTACTAATTTATTCAATTTCTGAAATATGAATAGTCCATCAATCATTCAGGCTAAACCAGTAATCACATAATACAATACACAAAAACTATTATCCATCAGAATAACATTTCATGAAATAGAAAAATAACTAATGTGTGTGTGTACAAATTAAGATTTAAAGAATAAATAAAGTCATCAGTTTTTTTGGGAAAAAATAATATTCCATTGAAAGTTCAGCTGACAACAATGAATTCCCATTCAAGTTACCCTCAAATTAGAATGCACAATCATGTATGTACTTAAATCAGTCCACAAAGTTACTAATTTCTAGTATTAGCCATGTTAGTAGATGCAGACTACTTGGTTAGGGTCGGCATGACTATCGTGACCAATGGTTGGAGACTCTAAGTGATATGGCTTAGAAACGACTACAATGGTGTACGTGTATACACTCTTTATCTTCCCTTAAACCTTGAGATTAAAATTGGTTTATATCTTTCTTTGTTCCAGTACTATATTCTTATATACAATCTTGACACGCATGACATTAATTACCACCCAGTGATCAATCAATTTTGATTACATCTCAGTCCTACAGGAGGTCGGTCGCGGCCCGAATAGCTCAGTGGTAACATCTCTGACTGTGAAGCTGAGTGACACGGGATCGAATTTGTCAGGGAACACCAGTTCCCTCAAGATTACAGGTACACCTTGCTGACGAGTGCCAAGTAGCACGAAACCCAGGTCCAGGGTTTCCTGTTGACCACCTCCCCAACCACCATCTTATCTCAACATAGTGCACGCAGTGTCGAGCCACCTAGACTAGTAGCCAGATTGCAACTTGATCGATAGCATTTGATCAGCACTAAGAAGGACTTGACAAGCATGACATTGATCACCACCCAGTGATCAATCAATTGTAATCTTTCTTTTATATATTACCACTAATATATTAACTACTTCTATGAATTTGGTGTTCATCTTGTTGTGCTAATGAGGTATAGCAACTTGGACTGATGCATATATGTGCCTAGTCCTATGTTGTAGCTGATTGACTGACTGACATGTCAATAATACAATGTAAATAGATAGTTGTTTTCTTTTTAATTAGAGATAACAAAAAATTTATTTGTGCACTTTATATTTAATACCAAGTGAATTTATTTATTTATTTAATCACATATATAGTGGTACAAAGGGCACCGGATACATATGTGCCACACAAATTAATGAGAATGGGAAGAGAAGGAAGATGCGTATATATAAAGGAAGGAAAAAAAGAAAAGGAGAAGAGTAATGATGGGGGGAACTGAAATGTACAACCAGAAGAGCTCTCTCAGTTAGGAAAGCTACAGCCACTCTTTATGAAGAAAGTAGAAGAAGGTTAAAGCAGGATCGCCACTGGCTTCCATACTGAGCCATATCTGATAACGTCTCTAGCCACTGTGTTGCACCATCTCAGTTATTTAATACCAACTGAATAGGTCTTTTTAACGGGCATTGATTTGTAAACAACAAATATTGATTATAAACAAGAAATACATAGTTGGACTCATTGTGAAAGTAACCTTATTGATAAAATTTATCTAAGAATAATTAAAAACTTTGGATTAGTGTACACTTATATTTCCCCTATTTGTAAGTTTTCGTTAGGGTACATACACTGTTGTTAAGCCATAGTGACAACCATTTTCATTAAAATGAAGCTTAAATCATGTAATTTTTGATTACTATTAAATACTCAAGTATCGGTTACAGATTCGTGTACATTGATTTAAAGAAATATTCAGAGTGTGAAGACTGATAATACTACTAGGCTGATCAAACCAAAGTAGGAAAAGAGGAAATCACACCTGAAACCAAGATGTTAGAAAATTAAACGCGTTGACCACTTAGCCGTTGCTCAACAAATGATAACAGGGTGGATCGCAGAAATAGTATGAAGCCCTCTTCGCACCTCACAATAGTACATGCACTGTTACACCTTAGAAAATCAGGTGGACCTAAAGTTACACAGACATATTTATTTATTTAAACACAAAAATTGATACAAGGAGGCACCAAATAGATATGCACTGCACGAATCATTCAATTTGTGTAAGGGCTGGAATACTGACTAGGCACCCAAACCGAAACAGATGGTTTTCTTAGAAGACCACACCCAGAGCTTTCGACCTAAAGATCTCATCCATAAGGCAATGAAGCAACGTCAGGAAATGCAGTACCGTGGTAGCACGTCACCAACAATACGTTCATACTCCAATTTTGTTCCCTCAAGATCCTGGAGCCCATGTGCACAATTGGTTTGGAATCATAGTTTTCCAACTCACATACGTGGATCCTTTATATCCACAAAGTCGGTCAAAGCACCGAACATTCGCTTTTCGTCTTATCAATTTCGTAAAAAACACCCCCGCCATGTACCCTGAACCTTAAACTTATCAGCAGGGCGTACTTGCAATCTTGACAGAAATAATATTACCAGTAGTGAAGACACCCAACTTTTAGTTGGGAGATAGAAGGTTCGAGATCCAATTCAACTAATTTTTTCTGGTCACTCAATCGTGTTCCTTGAACATCGACTACATGTTAACCAGTACTTGGTTAGCAAGTTACAACTTTCTTATTAAACACAAAAGTGTAAGAATGTCCTAGATTATTAAACAGATTAACTACATTAATTTGATCCAACATTAAACAAAATGATAACTAAGTACATGACTTTAAGAAAACTATCTCAGTTGAAGTATGTTGCGATTAACGAATTTGGGTCAAAAGATAATCTCATTAAGATGAGGTTAGTTAGATGGAGTCAATTATTCATGTCATTTTATTATTTTATTCTGATCGAAATACTTTTAGGTAATTGATAGACATCTCAGTCAGTCAGTCAGCTACAGCATAAGACTTGGCACATATATGCATCAGTCCAAGTTGCCACACCTCGTTAGCAGAAGATCAACACCGAATTCATAGTAGTTAATTTAATAGTGGTAATATATAAAAGAAAGGATGCATATAAGGATATAGCACAGGAAGGAAGACAGATATAAAGCAATTTTAATCTCAAGGTTTATTTTATTTATTTATTTAAACACATATATATTGGTACAAAAGGGCACCAGGTACATATGCGCCACACAAAATAATGAAAGTAGGAAGAGAAGGGATGAAAAGATAAGGCGGACTGAAATGTACAACCAGAAGACTCTTTCAGTTAGGAAAGTTAGAACCATTCTTTATGTAGAAAGTAAAAGAAGGTTGCAGCAGGATCGCCACTGGCTTCTATTCTGAGCCATATCTGATAACGTCTCTAGCCACTGGGGTGCACCATCTCTCGGACCCCAGCCAGGGAGTCGTGAAGGACCAACAAAAGCTAGCCCTTTGCAGCTCTCTTTCATGCCACGACACCATGTCATACACTAACCTCCTCTCCGCTTTTTCCAACCAGTCCCAGGGTCGGCAAATAATGCACGACGTGGAAGTCTCTGGGACGACATTCGTAAAACATGTCCAAGCCACCGAAGTCGGTGTTTCAAGATGGTGACACCAATTGAATTATCGTCTCTGCACCCGAACACACGATGCCGAACCTCTGCATTGCTAACATGGTGTTGCCACTGGATGTCAGCAATCCTTCGGAGACAACGATGATCGAACACAGAGAGTCGTCTAACATCCTCAACTCGGAGAGGCCAGGTTTCACAAGCATAGAGCAAAACTGCTCTCACCGACGCGTTGTAGATCCGACCTTTTACAGCCAGACTAACATCACGAAGGCGCCAAAGATGGCCCAGATTGGCATAAGCCGATCTGGCTTTCCTTATACGTGCATCAATCTCATCACTCACGCCACCACCAGCACTTATATAGCTACCTAGATACACGAACTTCTCAACTACTTCGATCTCCTCACCATCCAGGGTGAGTACAGGATGAGAATCCTGCCAGTCTTGTAGGAGTACTTTGCACTTGGAGGGTGCAAAGCACATGCCGTACCTGCGGACACTGATTGCCAACTGATTAAGTGCGAATTGCATGGCTTGAGCATTATCGCACAGTAAGACAATATCATCCGCATACTCGAGGTCGAGAAGTCGTTCTCCAGGCAACATATCCACACCGCCATTACTTACATCCATCACAGCTGTTTCCAGGATGTCATCGATGGCAAAGTTGAAGAGGAATGGTGAGATTGGGCAACCCTGTCTAACCCCACTGCTCGAATGGAACAAGGGAGAAAGGTGGTTGTATGCCCTCACTCTGCCTGAGGTGTTCGTATACAGGGCCTTTAAGATGTTAATGAACTTCTCAGGCACACCCTTCTTCAATAGACAATCCCAGAGAACAGTCCTGTCCAACGAATCGAAGGCCGCCCTGATATCAAGAAACACTACGATTGTTGGGCCTGCGATAAGTATGACGTTGTTCTAACATTTGGCGGAGGGTGAAGATGTGATCAATGCATCCTCGACCAGAACGAAAACCAGCCTGCTCCTCGCGAGTCAATCGTTCTCGGGTTTTAAACAACCTACGAAGAATGATAGAAGTCAATAGTTTGGACGCAATCGAAAGTAGACTTATCCCCCGATAGTTATTGCAGGAACAACGTGAACCCTTTTTAAAGATAGGGACGACTATTGACTCATTCCAAGATGTTGGAACACTTTCTTGCTCCCAAACCTTTCCAAACAACACAGTCAATTCCTTAGTCAGAAGGTCACCACCATCTTTAAAAAGAGCCGGAGGTAAGTCATCTGGCCCCGGTGATTTGTAACGTTTCAAGAGTTGGAGTTCCTTGCGGACTCTATTGACGATACATCTCAAGGTTTAAGAGAAGATAAAGAGTGTAGACACCTACGCCATTGTGATCGGTTCTAAGCCATGTCACCTAGAGTCTCCAACTACTCGATACGATAGTCACGCGGACCCCAACCAAGTATCTGCATCTACCAACATGGCTCAGACTAGAAGTTGGTGACTTCAAGCTTTGATGCCACTTTTTGGTTCGGCCGCTCCTAACTCTCTTCCAACCATCCCCTACACTAGTCAGCATAGTGCGTCGTGGTAATCGGTGTTCAGGCATACGTATCACGTGGCCCAACCATCTAAGTCGATGAAGATTCATCACCTCATCAACTGATTTACCATCATTTCCTAATACCCTGTGTCTAACCTCATTATTACATCTATTTAATATCGTATGATGATTAGTTTAAATTGATGTAGATTACATTCACTGATATATATATATATATATATATATATATATATATATATATATATACATAAAAGCACGAATAAAATCACTTACTCTTGTAAATTTAATTGCAAATACACATCGATAAAAGTTATCTTTTAAGAGTACACTCATAATAAGACGTAACATTTCTTGTCGAACAGCTGAATAAGTAAGAAAACATAAGGAAAAATAATATACTAAGGTCAAAATTAACTGGGTTAAACAACAAATAATGTAATATATTTATGTTGAAAGCGTGAGTCCATTGAAGCTAGACCACTAAGGAAAACCTGGAATCTCGCGAGGCGAGATCGTGGTTGCGCACTGCTGAGGAGTCCCACAATAGAACGAAACGGTCATCCAGTGCTTCCAGGTTTTCCTTGGTGGTCTAGTTTCAATTGACTAACGCTTTCAACTATGAAAATACTAAATCTCCACAACATCCCTTCTGATATATTTATGTGTCTACCAATGAATGTGAAGCTTCTGTAAACTGTCAAAATATGAAATATAACAAATTATATTATTACCAGGCAAACAAAATAAATTAGGTTGTAAGAATATTTAAACACTAAATATTCAGCCTCACAATTTCGGTCCTATGATGAGTGGTTAATAAAACAATTATGAGTGAGGAGGTCAATTCATCCTATTAATCTATGAAATGTTTAATTCCTGGACTTAGCCATGTCAGAAGATGAAGATTTCATGATTAAGACGTATGCAGTACTCGTAATTAACAGTTGTAGACTAAGAATGACATGAAGAGAAACTAGTTGCAGTGGCATAGTTCCATTTGTTCAATTTATCTAATGGTCATTTTTAACTCTGTGTCATTGAATTCAAATAGTTTCCACTGCTATTGATAATACTTTTACGACTATACTTCTTAGTAGATCAATCGCCATTCTTGCTAAGACATATGGTACATCGCACTGATGGACAGTTTTGGCCGAATCCTACATTGTCTTTGGGTGACTGGAAGACCTTCAGAATACAGTACAGGTTATTTAAGCTTTTTAAGTTCCCAAGAAGTATGCTTGAATATTAAGGCCCGAACCTTCTGTATAGACAAGTGGGTGTTGTCAATAACTGTTACACCATGAGTAATGGCTTGGAATTGAGAGTAAACCTTTTTATGTTTATGTAGTTCTCTAACAATTGAATAATGACAAGACACCATGCACCGAAAACTATTCCATATCCCAACCAAAACAAGTAAATATTACTTACATCTCCATGTTAAACTATGACGTTCCAATATATGATTTAAAAATGAATCTTCTTTAACAGTTTCTCCGGGCAATAATATTGGCAATATATCATTTGATTGACTGGATTCACTAATATCTATACTATTTTTATCAGCTGGTAGATGACCCAAAATAGCATGACAAATAATCGGTCGTAAACTAGGTACTTGATCACAGAAACGACGTAACCAACGGATAAATAATGTGAAGAAAACTTCCATTGAATAAACATCCGTATGTTGAGCTGCACAATTTATTGGACGTGTAGATAAACTTGTAGATGTACGCTGGAAGACGCAAGTGGAATACAACAGTAAGATCCGTGTTCAAACATATTATTATTCAATAAAATAGATGAAAATTGATATGAAGTTGTTCTAGGGAATAGTGTATGAAATAATTAAAAACTAGAAGTACTAGAAGATGGTTTGGTGGTTAGTGTATTTTAACATTCAGAATCAAGTCTTACTTGACTTACATCGGTTTAGATAAACGGATAATATCAATAAATTTCATGTACGAAAAGTCACGACTTGAATATTATGCTGATACAATTGAACTATACTGGGTGAAACAAATTTTTTTAAGATCTTACCACAGAAGGCGTGTTGTTTGAGAGGTGATAAAATTAAATATAGAAAGCCCAAGGTCCGGGGACGAAGTAGTGTTATTAACTGTGCGTTGGTAGTAAAACACAATCTGCAGAAATGATGCCTTACCCAATGAAAGGAGAGTGCTAGTGAGGGTCAGGCCCAAAATTAGCACACCTCGTCTTGACATATGGATTACCATTGCCGGAAGTAAGGTCTGAAAAGTACGAAACTAACGTATGAGAAACTATTCACAAAAAGGCTTTGTATGACAGGTCTTATAGAGTTCTCATTGAGCTTAGTAATCACATGGTTGATAAGGTAAAACTCTTCAATAGTGTACACTTTCAGCAAATGAGATCGAACATTCTTGATCATGTTTTCCAGTAAGCATGATACACGTAAAACAGTTTCGGAGTCCATCAATCTACACTTTAACTGCAGCCAACCAGTAACTTCAACCTATCATGAAGATTGTAAGTTATTTCGGAGATCGATCAATAACTATACTGATTTGTCTTCAAAGTAACTTCAACTAAAATCTTTCATTTTAGTAATTTAAACCCTTTCGTAATTATGATTCTCAAAAATCACGGGTTGTAAGTAGCTAACGAGAACTAGACGAAATAAAATGAGCTCATGCTAATCTGCTAAAATATTTGGTTCTTTCCGACAGGGAACTTTATGTATGAAGCATCCATCATGTGGAACAACATATATTGAAGGTGCTTAGTGTTGAAGAATAGAACAAACGAATCTAGTAAATCCACAGAAAGATTCACAAAGAAAACGAGATGAATTAATCCGCAAATAGAAAAAGATACAAACAATCAGCATAAAACACATTATGTATAACAAATGTCATCAGTGAATTAACGAAGTTAAAAATAGCTCCACTCCGATGAATTACCATCAAAATTGACGCCAAATTAGATGCTTGTGAAGCGGTGAGGTTTGTTTGAAGAACTGCACGGCCATCACAATTAACAAGTACCGCATAATGTGTACCCTGTTGAGTTGTACAATCCAGCACACGTCTTAATGTCTTGATAACCTAGAATTAGTTTGACGTAAAAAAAACAATGGTAATTGTTAAGCTGTGTAATAAAAGTTAATGTATTAGAAGGGGATTTTCTGGAGATTTTAGTAATTTTATATAGTTGAGATCATGAGGCGGGATCGTGGATGCGCACTGCTGAGGAGTCCCACAATAGGACGAAACGGCCGTCCAGTGCTTACCGGTTTTCCATGGTGGTCTAGCTTCTATTGACTCATGATCTCAACTATATAAAAGTTAATGTAGCTGATTAGTCTTTTTGTATAGAAAGAAAAAATACTTTAAAAATTACTTGCTCATAATTGTGATATTCATTGTTGTAAAGTAAAACTAAAAATGATCGAGAAGCTGCGGTTCGCTCAGAAGCTGTACGCATAGGTCGTGGAGGAAATAATCTAGGATGATACTTTCTAGCTCGTTCTAACTGAGCTAAGCATCTGGCCTCTACATCCACTGCAGAACGACGTTTGGGAGCAGTTCTTGGCCATGCATCTTGTCCTAGCTTTTCAGCATCCTCACTAGGTGAGACAAGTGGAATATGCGATAAAGGAGGTGGCCAATCATCCCATGAGTTTTCATTATCCATTTTATAATCAACCACACCGTCATCTGTCGACCATAAATCAACAATTGTCTGTTTTTCAGCACCATTTTCATCCAATGAACATTTTTCCTGATGCAGTCGACTACTCAAGGGTTCTGTTGATAGACGAGGTGTGCCCTGAAAAGGGATATTAAAAAATTCACTGAGATATCTATGGGGTGAATTATTTTAAAAACAATATACAACGAACAATTACAAAAGTGAATTATAAATAACAAACTTAGCATCATATCAAACCAATTTTATATGGATTTCAGATATGCGAACAATTAGAACATAATTTACACTACAAATGTTGTGTTCGAAAGACAAATAAGCAACCCTCACCTAAAACCGACACCAATGTAGATAGAACGTGGGAACTCGCATCTTACTGATTAAAAGTCGCTTGTTTAAGCTAATCTGACACACTTGATTATTGTATGAAAGATCAAATGGATAGCTTGTCATTATGCTAACATCTTTGATAATTTTGAATAAATTGATTTATTCTCCGAAGAAGTGGCTTACACTGAGTGATGAAAAGTCAGAAAATCTAATTTTTTTTCTACTCATTGTGATATTACAAATTTAATATTTATTTATCTTTGATAATTGACTTTAAAGTTTCTTTAAACAATCGACGATCTTGTATGACCACAAACAACCTTGAGTACAGACCTATTGGTTGGACCTAATTAATGGCCAAATTTTACGGTCGAAAAAGCTGGGTAGCATTTCGCAAAAACTGGTTGCAGTAGCGCAGTTGTATAAAATTCTTTCATTCCCCCAAATGCCATGGTACGACCGAGAGTGGGAAGAGTCTACTCTCCCTCTCCAAATCTTCTCACATGGCCACGCGTATAAAGCCTCTGTCAGGGAAGTCCTACTCACTGCCTTCTCGTGGCACCGGTGTTGTTTACGAAATTGAGAGGACGAAAAGCGAATGTCCGGCGCTTTAACCGGGTTGGTGGATGTGGAGTGTCCACCTAGGGGAGTTGGAAAACCCTAATTCCAAACCAATGGTGCACATGGGCTCCCGTATTCTGAAGGAACAAATGGCGTATGAATCGATCAATGGTCACCGGCTACCATGGGACTGCATCTTCTCACGATGCTCCACTGACTATTGGATTAGATTTTTAGGTCAAAGTCTCCGAGTGTGGTCCCCTAAGAAAACTACCTGCTTCAGTTTGGGCACCCGGGCAGTATCATAGCCTTCAAACAAATCAAATGAGATTTGTGTGGCGCATATGTATCTGGTGCCTCTTTGTACCAATATTCATGTGTTTAAATAAATAAATAATTCTCAATAGTTCCGTTTCAACCGTAATTCATATATCACGCTTACAGTGGATTTGATATTACTTTCACTGTGATGATGTGAGGTATGTTAGAATTGACTGATACCAGACTCTACGTTAGCTATGGTTGACTGATTATCTGTGAATGATGTCACCTTAAGACAAGTTAAATCATAAGTGTTATATATATATATATATATATATTGTAAACGGACACCAGAATGTCAAAAGCTGCAAGCCAGAACAAAGATGCAGATTTTTTTCCTTTAGGATAAGAAATAAAAGTTTTAGAAAATGTGTCACTTGAAAATGACGTCATAAAAAGTAACTATGTATCTGGTAATTATTAAATATTAGGTAATCTTACTTGGATTAAATCAGTAAGACAAAGAATTGCACTCTTTATTAAAGGTTTCAATAATTTCCCCGTACGCATAACAATATCACTTGGAAGACCATTAACTCGTCGACGGAGATTTTCAAGTTCAGCTCTTAACTTTACATCTGTATTTTCAGTATCAGTAAGTTTGGATACGTTGTTCTCTTCACCTCCTTCGTCTTTTGATGTGTTTTTGTGAAGTTTACACCAAGCATCTGAACGCCAAGCTTCGGGATCTCCGCAATCACAATAGCCGACACCAATGGATGTGCTTATCTAAAAAATGTAATATAAAAAGTAGTTAAAAAAAATAAAAATAGCTATACATTCGGTTTAGTAGTTTGTCTTGATTACGCTATCAGTCAAGATAAACCAACGGTTTTTACTCGGAATTATAACATATTAGCAGTAGATAACAAGGAAAAAACATCACTAACATCGTGATCATAATATTAGACTTTTAAACAAGGGTAAGCATTCATTATGATCCTATACTTGACCCGAGGATGCGTAAATGAACATTGAGTGCATTCACTTGATGTCTTTTGTGACTTTGTCAAACCTCCTGCCTTAGAGGAATGGGTTTTTACAGGCTTCTTAAAACCTCTCGAGGCACCACAGTCTACTCCGGTGAATCGAAAGTCTGATTGAAATGTCAGAAAGTTTAAGTAAAAGAAGATAAACCTAGTGATCAGAGCGTGTCTTCCAGTTAGAAGCTGCTGCTGCTGCTTTTACTAACTGGCAGAAGCTATTTTAATTCATCCGACCCACTAGCAGCAAGAAGCCTAGTGTAAGTGAAACAATCTGCGAAGTTGGTGGAGTGCCAATAAGCGATACTCAAAGACATCTTGGATGATAAGCAGTTCTCTGAGTAGCATTTCAGCTGACCTGTTTTCCCACCAATATTGAATACTCTGTCCTGCAGTTCATGGATGGTGACGACCGATCCCACAAATGAGGCGGAGGTCCACAAGGAAATTCAACTCTTGAAATAGTACAAGTTACCAAGACTAGATGCCTTACTCCTGGTTCTTTCTAAGCATGATGGCAAACTTCTGGTTAGGCAATTGACTGGCTTGTTTGGGAAGACTCGAAAAACTTGTATCACCCTGTATCACGCATATGACAACTATCACGTGATTAGTCTACTTCTGATTGCGTCCAAATTATTGGCTTGTCATACTTCGTAGATTGTTCGAAACCCGAGAAAGGTTGACACTTAAGGAATAGACTGGTTTTCATTCTGATAGAGAATGTATTGATCATATCTTCACCCTCCGCCAAATATTAGAACACCTCCATGCTCAAGGTAAGCCAACAATCGTTGTGTTTCTTGATAATAGGGTCGTCTTCAATTTGTTAGACAGGACTGTTTTCTGGGATTCTGTTGAAGAAGGGTGTGCCTCGGAAGTTCATTAACATCTTGAAGGCCCTATGTATGAACAACCCAAGCAGAGTGAGGGTACACCGGAACCCTCACTCATTGTTCCATCCAAGTAGTGGGATTAGGCACAAATGCGAATTCTGATCATTCCTCCTCAACTTTGCCATCGATAACATTCTAGAAACTTATTTATTTAAACACACACATATTGGTACGAAAGGGCACCACACAACTTAGATGGGAATATGTAACGGTGGTGTGGATGTTACTCGGAAAAAACTTTCTGACCTTCAGTAAGTGAACAAAATTGTCTTACTGTGCAAGAATACTCAAACCATGCAATCCGCATATAGTCAGTTGGCAATCAGTGTCCGTAGGCATGACTGTGTCTGAACCTTCTAAGTCCAAAGTACTTTTACAAGACTGGCGCAAGTCTATACCATTACTCACTCCTAGGAGTGAAACGTTAAAGTAATCGCGAAATTCATATATATGGGTAGTCTGAGTGCTGGTGGTGACGTGACAGATGAAATCAACCTACGCATAGTGAAAGTCAGAGGTCAATCTGGGACATCTTTGGCGTTGTTGTGATTTCAGTTTGGATATAACGTTTAGGTGTACGATGCGAAGGTGGGAGAGGTTTCACTCTATGCGTGTAAAACCTGGCCCCTCCTAGTTGTAGAAATGCTGGACCATTCTGTGTTCGATCATTGTTGACTCTGAACGATCGCTGACATTCAGTGGCAAGACCATGCCAGCAATGCCGAAGTTCGTCAAAATGTTTAGGTACAGTGACGATAATTCAACTACTATTACTATCTTGAAACACCAGATTCGTGGGCTTGAGCATGTCTTGCAAATGTTATTCCAGTGGCTTTCACATCGCGTATTATTACCAACACAGGGACTGGCTGGAAAAAATAGAGATGGTCAGTTTATAACATCTTGCCATGGTATGAAATAAGGCTGAAAGAGACTGGCATTTGCCTGTTCATCACAACTCTCTGGTTTGGGGGAGGTCTCAGAACAATAACCGATACTTTGTATGGCACACTTCATTTTCGGGTACCATGTTTTGCCAGATGACGTGAACTTTTCATATCTCTCCATATCTTGAATTCCACTATCCCTTGATAAATACATTCCTATGTTATGGTCCTTCTTTTTATCACTGCCACCATATCATTTCGACCTTTGTTGCTATTTCATCTCGTCGTGCCAATCTAATATGACAAACTGGAAAGACTCACATGCGTCATAACATAAACAGGGGGGAAAAAAATTTGATAGCCTATTAAAGTGTTTAAGAACCTATTTACTAACTGTCCAAATACTGAGATTAAACTACCTGTATTATATATGTTTAAATTAAATGATCACGAATGGTAGTTATCCGTACTCACGAGTTAGTATGGAAATGTTTCAAATTATTGAGATGCTGAACACTAGAAAACTCAAATAGGAACACTGCAATTCTTGGAGCATTTTACTTTTAAACTATCCTCGGGAAAAATGAGACGCAAATAGATTGGAGTTCACAAACCTTACACATGATGAATAGAGAAATAGCTGTAGCATCAAAATCGACAGAAAACTTTAATAATAGAATACAGATGCCCGACACTAACTGCTGAGAATATTTGTAAAATATGCTTTGGATAATTGCAATTTCATTGTGTATTAAAGAGACATTTGTTGTAATATTAGACGATCGGTCCTAAGAATTCTTTTCTGTAATAATTTTTATAGTATTGAATAAAGCTACTATTGGCTTTTTAGTGAAAAAATACCACAAAAATTTTAAATATCGCCGGAAACTATGCTAAAAATTAATCTGTACGCGGGATAGAGTGATATTTAATTAGCTAATCATTATTGACAGCATAATCTACTTGAATGTAATAATTAGTCAAAAAGTATATGTTCCCCTCATTTATGACCCAGTTAAACATATATCCTTTTGTGTATCTCAGTGCGACAAATGTGAAATTACGGCATAAAAGCGAATTTAGTGTCACATTAGAATTCGTAGTAAACCGTACAATAGTTTGTTTGAATCTTACCATTGATGCTTAGGAGTGCAAATGACTCTTATTGGCATATGTGCATACTGTGCGTATTGCCTCGATATTGCCCGATCGTTGCTGCTACCTTGACGTGGTGGTCGGGCTTGGCCTGAGTCGACATCTGAACTAAGGATAGGGAGTGAAGTAGTCGAACGCGTCGACAACTTTACTTATCTTGTAAGTCTGATCAGCCCTAATGGGTTGGTGTCTGACGAAATCTCAGCACGGATTCAAAAAGCTCGTTTGGCTTTTGCCAACTTACGTCACCTATGGCGAAGACGAGATATACGTCTATCAATTAAGGGACGAGTATACTGCGCAATAGTTCGTTCTGTCCTACTTTACGGCTGCGAAACATAGCCATTAAGAGTAGAAGATACTCGTAGGTTACTGGTATTTGACCAAAGATGTTTTAGAAATATTGCTCGCATCTGCTGGGATCACCAGGTAAGTAATAGTGAGGTTAGACGCAGGGTATTGAGTAATGATGGTAAATCAGTTGATAACGTCATGAATCTTCATCGACTGACATGGTTAGGCCATGTGTTAAGTATGCCTGAACACTGATTACCACGACGCGCAATGTTGACTAGTGTACAGAATGGTTGGAAGAGAGTTAGGGGGAGGCCAAACCAAAACATGGCATCAGTGCTTGAAGTCACTAACTTTTAGCCTGATCCATGCTGGTAGATGAAGACTACCTGGTTGGGGTCCGCGTGACTATCGTAACCAATGGTTGGAGACTCTGGGTGACATGGCTCAGAATCTATCATAATGGCGTAGGTGTGTACACTGTTTATGTTCCCTTAAACCTTGAGATTAAAATCGCTTAATACCTTTCTTCCTATACTATATTTTTATATAAAATCTTTCTTTTATATACTACCACCACTAAATTAATTACTTCTATGAATCCGGTGTTCATCTTGTTGTGCTAACGAGGTATGGCAACTTGGACCGATGCATATATGTGCCTGGTCCTACGTTGTCGCTGACTGACTGACTGACTCGACATTGCCTTAATTCACAAGCATTATAAGCAAAGATGGGTAGTGAACATCAACTCTAAGATGCAGGTACATCCAGCTGACGAGTCCCAAATAGGACGAAACGCGCGTCCTGGATTCCACCGCTAGCCACTATCCATCTTTCCTTATAAGCCGTACAATTGTTTGAAAGATCAACATTTAACCAGTAAATTTTTGGCTTCATACGCATAACAAGAAACGATTAAGAAGATTAAATGGAATTGATGAGCTTAAATTTTAAAAGGACATTAGTGCATACTGTCAGTTAAAATATCAAATATCAGAGACTTTTGGACACAAGTTTGTAATCAACGAACTGTGAATTTTGTTCAATGTCCAAGAACTTAAGACTTCTATGATTGATGAGACCCATGAGCAAAAATGTGTCTAAGACATTGAGGACATTTATGTTTGTTCAAATTTTGCACATTGCATTACCCAGCGCCGCAGTTCGAGCTCCAGTATGGTCTTAAATGTGTGTGTTGTCAAATGGACTAACAAAACCCATACATAAGGTTACTTTAACAATGGTATAAATTAAGTCATTTAAAGTATTGAATATCTTATGCAATAATGTATCCTATAAGTTACAAAAAAGATAAAAATTTTAGCTTATTGGATTAAACTTTAATTGCAACTGACTACTGTTGTCATGGTCTTCAACCAGAATAATTTATACGTCCATATTGTTGTCCTCTCCTGTCCTTTGATTTTAACTTACTGTTCTCAGATTTTTTGGGAACACTCTCACTTATACTCTCTTTAAGCGTGCAAAAAACACTGGATAAAGTATGTTTTATAAAAAACAATAAGTCGAACAAGTAGAGAGTTCAAATATTACGAGCCATATACTTCACTTTGAGCACTCGAATGATATCATTATTCCTTATACAAAGAGTAGTTCAGAGTTCAATTTATAAATCATTTATATTCACCCTCTTATGAAAATATCGTAATAATAAAAACTTTGGAATAATAAAAAATACCCAAAATAGATACTGCCAATAACCCACTTTATAATTGTGTTTAATGTGAGCACTGTTGAAGAAACATCCCCTGCATAATACACACGTTGAGTCAATTGCACAATCCCTAGAATTTGAACAAAGATGAACAAACAGTTCCTAGAAAAAGTTAATGTTACCTAAATGTAAGTGTCGTAACACACAAAAATACGATGGGTAATAAAAATGTCATGTGAACGGAACAATGTCCAAACCTTGAAATTATCATGAAGTATAAAACTCTGACTCAGAATTCATTTTGTTACGCTGATGAGGTATAGTAACTTGGACAAATATATATGTGCCTGGTCCTACGTTGTAGCTGACTGTCAGTCAGTCAGTCAGTCAGTCACAACGTAGAACTTCGTACGTACCTACATCAGTTCGAGTTGCCATACCACATTAGCACAGAGATGCAGTTATCGATTCAAATCCCATAGTGGTAGAAGTAGTAGGAGTATAATCAGAAATCCAAAAGATTAGGGTTTGAAGAAATTATTGAAGGAGTATAGTACAGTGAAATAAATTTGGAAAGAGAAAAAGATAAAGACATGAGGAATTCAGAAGATTAGAATTTGGTAGAACACAAAGAGTGGATGCATCTTCGCCATTGCAAACGATTTGGAGCCATGTCATTCAAGGTCTCTAACCATCGGTTGCTTTCATCTCGCGAATCCCAACCAGGTAGTCTACACCTACCAACATGGCCCAGTCCACTTGTCAGTGTAGCTGACTGACCTAAACATTGCTTGGTATTCTACCATAAGATCGATATTCCAAGCCCACAAATTACACAAAATTCATTAAGAAACAGTAACTACCCAAAATGACGTTACTAATAGTTCAAATAGCTGTGAACATCCAACTTTGGATGAACGATCAGTAGGTAGTGAACTGCTAGGGGCCTTTACTGGCAGAGGCCAATCAAGCTATGAGAACTAAACCACGGATTCGAGTGAAGTAGCTCCACAAATTTTATAGAAATTCATTATCGCCAGACAGTACTGTTTAATTATTTGACAGCATTTAATGACACATATTCAAATAAAAACACAAACGTTTTGATCTGGTGGGAAGATGTGGTTAAACCACTTACGTAACAACACGAGTAAATGAACCTATCATCAGATCTTAGCACAGTGTAAAGAAAAAAACTTACTTCGACCAGTACCAGTTAACATGTCAACACAACTCATCAAAATACAAATCACATAAAAAGAAATTGGAACAGTGGTGACTAGGTATCAAATAGCAGGCCTCTAAGGCGTATGTTACCAAGCACACTTTCTAAAGATATATATCCATGACTAACACGTCTAACTGTCGAAAAAACCTTGAAATTGAAGCCTAGCGACCCCATATAGCTTAACCAGAAAATCGATTTATAAATTATTAGATAATTTCTACATCCTTGATACAACATGTATGACCTAACACACGTATGTGTATATGTATATTAAGCTATTACTTATTAACTGTGGATTCGAAATTTTCAATATTTTCTCTCAAAATTTTCTTAACTAAATCCCTAACCCTGATCAATTCAAGCAAGTTGAGTGTTATGAAAAACCCCTCCACTGACTTTAAGCTGGTAAAGGAAAATAAATGTACATTACTGTATGTTTTAGAGCAAGGTCAGAATTACCGATTGAATGACATAGTTGCACCTCGAAGGTGATGAAGAACAGGTTAAACTCTGAAAACCTAAGATTAGCAAAGCAACTAGGCACACTGGATTAGATACTTGAGAAAAACAAAGATGTTTCCATATTTCTGTATCTGGAACCACGAATATATGAGTTAAATACTACTTCAAGGTTGTTGGGCTATAACAAACTAAGCAACTAATAAATATAGCAATGACAGATTGTCGCTTTGCATATAGACCTAACTTCAGATATTATTGCTTGTGATTTCCATAGGTGGGGGATTCGTGAGATGTTCACTTGTAAATTCAATCTTAATAATTGCATATTAGCATTTGCTTTTATTTTTGTACTCTGATTTGTCCGATCGACGATTTTGTACGAGGAGCATTAGGCTATGAAATAAGTAATACACTTACCAGATTATGATGAAGGTTGTTTCACTACCTCAGTTGTCGAAAGTCATATGTCTTGATGACCTATGAGTTTATAGACATACTGTGCATTCTACCTGTTAAAGCTCTCGATGTTCAACCAGTAGGTGACAGGCTAGAACCACCAACTATGATCAAGGACAATAAACTACATTAATAACTATAGTACGAAGTTCTTCAAAATCAAATACATAAACTTCGTTGAAGCATGAAAATTCATTGGGATTCGTTAATATTTGCTAGTTAAATTAAGTTCATTATTAGATTTCGAGCCTATAAATTCGCGTAAAACGTTAACATTACACTACATTAAGTAGCAAGCTGGTCATAGACCAGAAAAATCGCCCTGAAAGGTTTTCTTACAATAACCTCAGAATCGAATAATTGCATGAACCGCTCCCAAACTCTTTTTGCAATGCTGTCTGGAGTAGGAATAGCTTAGAAGCAAATCAGCTCTCAAACCAACACAGGGTACTAGTACAAGAAGCAACTGCTTATTTATCTGAGCCACGTCAGCAGGTCTAAACTACATGCTTGGAATCAGTGTGATAACTACGGTCAATGGTTGCAGAAGTTAGGTTATATACGTTAGAAATGGTCACAGTGGTACAGATTTATTCACTTTATATTTTGAATTCCGGTGTTCCCTCATCCAAAACCGTATTCGCAATGTTCGGTCCATCATACTATCATTGGTAATACGACTATTTATTTTGTCGCACTGGTGAAGTAGGGCAAATTAGGTTACTCCACATTCCTGCAAGGATATATATTGATCATAGCCCAGACCGAGACTTGGGGTCATTTCCCGGGTCACTGACCTAGAGGTTTAATCCACAGGGCTATGGAGTTAGATGAGGCATCATGGTAACCTGCGACCAAGAACAGGTCTTTACACCATTTATTCTTAGGATTTTGGAGCCCATGTGCACAAGTGTTTTAGGATTAGGGTTTTCCAACCCCTCTACCTGGATCCTCCGCATCCACAAACCCGGTGTAAGTGCCAGAATTTCGAATTTTATCCTTTCGACTACCTAATTAACACCACCGCCAGGACAATGCAGTAGATAGAATTACCGTGGCAGTGACTATATACAAGTGACCATATGGGAGTATTTCGAGAGAGCGAACTCTCCTCACCCTTGGCTGTACCAGAACATTTAGGGCTATCTTACTATTTCCTTAGTTTTCTGCTTTTCAGATAAGATGAGACTTTACACCAATGCAAGTTGTAAGACATTATGTACACAATCTACATTTTTATTTTTAATACTGGACTAAACGACAAGAGAACAATGATGTTAGCCATAATAAACAGAACAGTATCAAGACATCTTTACCCAGAAACAATCCAAAATCTCAGCCACGATTTCTACGATTGCTCATCAATGTTAATCCCTGACTAGTATACTGAATATAATACATACGCTAGTAAGAGCTTATTACGATCGACCGGGACCTCAGAGTCACGTAACACACCCGACCAGTTCAAACAGACAACGTTGTAGAAAACTTAGCTTTACTACCTGCAACAATAGGTTGGTTCATTGGCTTGAAATATTCGACCACATATACCCTGTTCACTCGGAGCCACGGATTGCAGGTAAGCTTCAAGTTGATTAGCACATTCACTTGCATCCTGATTTTTGATTAATTCCCTCCCAGCAATAAATAATTCAAAACTACGAAATAGTGTTCGTTCTAAGGCAGCGTATTCTGATTTGCTTGACTCGAAGTCACTCTCGCCAAATGGTTCGGTTGATATATTCTCCGAAGGTTTGAAAACTTGAGGAGTACATACTTCAAGAGCCTGCGTTCTAACTTCATCGAACAACAGACGCTCAAAACTTGCATCGTCTGAAGACAGCAATGCCTCTGTAAATTGCTGAAAATATTATGATTTAGAAACAACTATTTGGAATTCCGCTAACCATTTAGAATCCGCCGTAACCACTATCTTTATAAGTTGCGCTACTTAAGGAAAGAATTCTAAGCGCTGGACAGTGGCAAGGTGGTTTGATGGAGCTTTGTAATTCCAGTATTGGATAGACAGGATGCAGTATGTTTTTGTAGTCCTCAAAAGATCTAATTTTTCGTCGACAGGTGGGATTTCAACTATGTGTTAAGTAATGAGGTTTCATGTGCCCAACTTCATTTTTAGTTGTCAGAACTAGTAGACAGTTGGCACTCTTGGATCTGTAACTGGGTAGTAAGAGAACTTCCCTAGTAATGGGTAGGTACGATTCTTATTATAATCCTTTCAGAAACTATAGGGCAAAGCAATTTATTTAAATAAAAGAGCATTAACACAGTAATCTCCGTTATTATTTCTTAGTACTACACTAGTGTCAAATCAACCCGTTCTTACCTAAGGTTACAAAACGCTGAATAAAGGAGAATAAGTCGGTATGCGTATGTAGCTGTAAATAATTCCCCAAAATCAATAGCTCATTAAGTGTTCGACATTGGATGCTGACCACGTTGTTTAAGTGGACTGGTTTAACTGAAGGCTTTCGGTCATGCATCAGTACCAGATCACGTTGCAACACGGCGTTGAACACAGCTCCTACGTTCATTAGCCAGCTTATAGTAAAGGTTCCTCGATATATTGGTAACGCATCAAATATATCTTTCCTACCTCTCCTCGTCTGACTTCTGCTTTCTATTCGACTGGGAAAGAACGATTATAGAAGATACTACTGGTTGCTAGTTGCCAAACTAGAATATCAGTGGGATCCTCAGTGGTGAGACCGACGTGATCTGGTACACCAAGTCAATATACTGTGAGTCTGTTCCATTTTGGAATATTATTATTCATTGTTATTCTTTATTTGAATTTTATATATTGTGATATACTGTTTTTTCGCGAATTTTTTTCCCCAGATATATTTTAATTAGACATTTTTCGTTATCTATATTACTATGACGAAACACTCACCCAATGTTTTTAAGTTAAAGTCTATTCCCCCTATTTCAATTCAGTTAACGCCATTTCGGCCCGACAATATCGAGTCCTGGTTCTGCTACGCAGAAGCTGATTTTTGCATGCACGGAATCACGGACTCGCGCACACGATTCCTCGTGGTAGTTAAGCCGTTACCGCTCGAGTTTAACAGTTACGTAACACCTAGTATGTTTACTAGTGATGTTCCCGAACCTTACGAAACTCTTAGATGTTCGATTCTCAAACGTGGAGACCTAACCGACCGACAACGGTTAAACCAACTCTTTCATAACATCAACATGCAACAGGGTTCTGCGACAGACATGTTACTAAGAATGAGAGAAGTTATCGTCCAACGAACTTTCGATGATGGCCTATTCAGACAACTTTTCTTGTCTAAACTTCCTCATCAGGTGCAGGCAGTGATTGTTTCATTTCAAAACAACGCCATAGATGAGCTAGCTGCATCTGCCAACCGAATCCTAGAAATCACCAAATCCACTAGCGCCGAGGTCTTTTCCGTCAAAAAAACCTCAAACGACCCCGTCTGACATAACCGAACTATGTCATACACTGACACGATATCTTAGGTTCCGTAATGACCGTAGTCGGTCAAAAACCCCGCGTAGAAGCGTTTCACGTAAGCGATCTGGCTCTCGACCACGAGAGACAGACAATCCCGACTGGTGCTGGTATCATAACCAGTACGATAAGTTTTCCAGAAATTGCAGGAAACCTTGCAATTATCCTACCTCAAAAGCGAGTGACACGAAAAACAGTTCGGGAAACTTCCCAGCCGGCACGCATTAACGGCAACCGTAGCCGGCGAACACAGCCGCCTCTTATATGTCACGGATGTGACTACGAAAGTTCGCCACCTCGTCGACACTGGCGCAGAAGTTAGCGTTCTTCCAGCGAATTCCAACGACAGACTTAGCTAGTCTGTTTTAAGTTTACAGGCGGCAAACGGAAAGCCGATCGCTATTTACGGTAAAAGGTACGTCTACCTTAACGTAGGTTTACGCAAACCCATACACTGGATTTTCGTGGTTGCATGTGTCTCTATGCCAATCATTGGTATAGACCTGTTACAATACCACAATCTACTCATCGACACACGCGCACGAAGGTTAATAGACGGAAACATTAAGTTATCTGTTAGCGCAACTCCTTGTTCTGGTTGCAGGTTATCCCCAGTCACGATTAAGCACACTATAGACCCATTCTACCAATCGGTACTCGACAAATACCCTGGGATATACCAATCGCAATCGAAATTGCCTTGTGTAACCAGCAATGTTACACATCACATCTCCACTACAGGACCGCCTGTATTTTCTAAAGCCCGTCGACTCGCTCCCGAAAAACTTAGGTTAGCCAAAAACGAATTCGACCACATGATAGATTTAGGGATAATTCGACCATCGAATAGTCCATGGTCATCCCCATTGCACATGGTCCCTAAAAAGGACAGCAATGATTGGCAGCCAACTGGTGATTATCGGCGTCTGAATGCTAAAACCATTCCCGATCGTTACCCGCTGCCTCATATTCACGATTTGACAGCTACCTTGAAAGGTACAACTGTCTTTTCGAAAATCGACTTGGTTAAAGCTTATAACCAATTCCCGATGGCACCTGGCGACATTCCTAAAACCGCCATCATCACTCCCTTCGGTCTTTACGAATTTCTACGAATGCCTTTTGGTTTAAGAAACGCGGCTCAAACCTCCCACAGGTTTATAGACGACGTCTTCCGAGGTCTCAACTTCGTACATGCGTATGTTGATGACTGTCTGATAGCAAGTTTGGACAGAGAATCGCATCTCAAGCATCTGGACATTGTTTTCGATCGACTCCAAAGGCATGGCATTACTGTCAACATACAGAAATGTCAAATCGGAACAAACTCCTTAGACTTCTTAGGACACACCATTGATGCCCAAGGCATCCGACCCCTTAGGAGCAAAGTGACGGCCATTCTGGATTACCCAGAACCGACCACGATCAAGCACTTACGAACTTTTAACGGACTCGTAAGTTTCTATAGACGGTTCATACCCAAATGCGCATCCCTAATGAAACCGTTAACCGATCAGCTTCGTGGAAATGCGAAATCAATTAGTTTAGACGACATAGCCCGTAAAGCATTCTCCACAGTTAAGGAACACATCGCTAAAGCAACCTTGCTTGCTCATCAGGACACTCAAGCGCCCATTAGTATCGCCGTAGACGCATCCGACTCAGCAATCGGAGGAGTCTTACAACAATGGGTTAACAACTCGTGGCAACCTTTAGGATTTTTTACGAGACGGTTGCTAGACGCTGAATCTAGGTACAGCATGTTCGGTAGGGAACTCCTAGCTATGTATTGTGCTGTACAGCATTTCCAACATTCCATCGAAGGAAGAGAATTCACGCTTTTACCGATCACAAACCTCTTACCTTCTCTTTAAATTCATCTTCAGACAAGTACTCACCGCGAGAGTCTCGACAACTCGACTACATTTCGCAGTTTACTTCACATATACAACATATTTCCGAATCTAACAATGTAGTCGCAGACGCCTTGTCTCGAATAAGTTCCTTGAACAGTTTCCAAGGAATCGACCTTCTTAAACTCGCTCAGCTTCAAAAAGAAGACATTGATCTTCAGCATGAGTTATCCTCGACAACTCTAAAACTAAGTATTAAGCAGATGGGAACAGGTAAGGAAACCTTACTCTGTGACACATCTACAGGTAGGGATCATTCAATAGTACCAAAACATTATCGACGCAACGTCTTCAATACGTTGCACAATCTTTCTCATTCAGGTGCTCGTGCAACAGTCAAACTTATAGCCGAACGCTTTTGTTGGCCTGGCATGAATAAAGACGTGAGGGAGTGGGCACGCTCCTGTGTAAGCTGTCAGAAATCTAAGGTCATAAGACACAACAAATGTCCCTTAGGTTCTTTCAAAACCCCTGACGCTCGTTTCGACCACATCCATCTAGATTTGGTAGGACCCTTACCCGACTCGAACGGATACTCATATCTCCTAACATGCGTAGACCGTTTCACTCGATGGCCAGAAGCAGTACCGATTAAGGACATTACTGCTGAAACCGTGGCCCGCGCTTTCGTCGAACGATGGGTAGCAAATTTCGGCTGCCCTTCAACCATCACTACAGACCGCGGACGCCAGTTCGAATCTGGACTTTTCCGTTGTCTGACCACACTTTTAGGAATCACGCGCTTCCGAACGACCGCCTACCACCCACAAGCAAATGGGTTGGTAGAACGTTTTCATCGACAACTAAAAGCTTCATTATCAGCTTCAAACGTTTCACAGTGGACAGACGCTCTTCCACTCGTCTTGCTAGGTATCCGCAATGCAGTGAAAGCTGACATTGGATACACGGCATCTCAACTCGTTTACGGAACGACACTCCGACTCCCAGGAGAATTCGTAGATCCTTAAGCTTTTTCATTGAACATGGATCTAAACTCTTACACGAGTAGGCTTACAAACGCTATGCGTTCAGTTAAACCTGCTCACACTCGACCTCAATCAACTGATGTTTTCGTTCAACCCGAATTACGACATAGAACACACGTCTCCGTTCGTCGAGACTCACATCGACGACCCCTTGAATCAGCATATGAAGGATCCTTCAAAGTTCTTCAACGCGAACCCAAGTACTATGTTGTCGATAAGAACGGTACGAACGATAGCATCAGTATCGATCGACTCAAAGCAGCGTACCTAAAAGGAATCCCTAACTACGTCGAATTTCCTTCGGTATAATCGTTCGACACGGCTACTACACTCGTAGTACTCTACATGACAGCCGACACACAACTTGATACTCCGTCGACATCGATAAATAAACCTAAAACAACGCGTTCTGGAAGACGAGTAAGATTTCCAGAACATCTTAACGAATATTGCAAGTAGGACATAAGCTTTATCTTGAATTACCCTTCCATAGTTTATTATAAAAAATTTTTTTAATATGATAATTTTTTATTTATATAAAAAAACTAAAATAACCTTTTTTCCGATCGCTTTCACGCTGTTTGTAAGTGTATTAGTTTAGTCATTTTTTCCCCGCTCATCTTGTGTCCTTACGCAAGTACGAGTGTATTTTCGACATGCACTCACACGTTTTATT